CGGGGTATTGTAAGCAGTAGAGTAGCCTTGTTGTTACGATCTGCTGAGATTAAGCCTTTGTTCCCAAGATTTGTTCAAAAAGAACATTTCTTCTGGGCGGTGAGGGGTGATATTTTAGCACACTCGCTTCTTGGAAGAGATGTTTTTTTTGGCGAAATATTTAAATATGTTTTGCATGAATTTAACTTTTGTGCCTGATAAATTATAATTCCACTTTTATAGAATCATTATTAATTAGAATCATTATTTTGTCCAGTGTTGCCTAAGTTTATTGTTGCCTTAGTTTAAGAGGTCGATATATTAATAGTTAGCATATAATTTTTTTTAATGCCATTAATTTTAATGAATAATCTATTTATTGAAATATAATTTTAGATAATATTTTCTGGATATTCTAACTGAATATACATTAAAGTTGAAAAGAATAGAAATGAAGAAACAGAGAATAAAAAACTTTGAAATAAATTTTCCATTGTATTTAAAAAATTAGGTAATAATATAACATTTAAAAAAGGATAAATTCTGGAAATTTACTAAAAATATTCAATTTGTATGCATGCTGAAAAATAAAGTAAATTATTTTTTTCAAAATAACAAACCCTAACCTAATGCGGCCTTATCTAACTTATCTAATGAAAAATAAAGAAAAGATCCAAAAACGCACAAGCGCGATTAGGGTTAGGGTTAGTTTTAAACAGCTAACAAATACGATAAAGATTTGTATAATAAATATTTAATTCATTTTATTAGCTCTGTTTTATTTAGAGAAGATAAATAATTTAACGAAATCATTAAATTTTGTATAAAATGTCCATTCCAGTTTACAATGAGAGGTTTAGGATTAATTCGTCCATTGAAACAAAAATCCTTTGCTTTAGGAATATGTAGATATTTTAATCAATTTAAATGGCAGGAAAAAGGAAGTTCTAACAAGTTAGATGAAAAAATAATACAAAAACAATGCAAACAAGATATTCAAGGTAAAATACAACTAGATTTATTAATTATGATAAACTTCTAATCTTGGTTAATTTATTCTCCACATTTATATTTAAAATATATCAAGTTTTTTTTAAATTTAAGACTTACTAAAATAGAAATATACCATAGAGGAATTAAATGGTCTTTCAGTAGAAGTAGTGGACCTGGAGGGTAGAACATGTAAAGTATATATCAAGAAAAGCTAACTTAAATTTAGTCAAAATGTAAATAAATTGAATACAAAAGTAGCGCTTCATATTGATTTAAAACGAAAATTAAATATTTCTCAAGAAATAATAGATGCAATTTATTCAAATGTAGATCTTTCAAATTAAAATAAAATCAATATAACTAAAAGCATTTATAGAACAGTCAATATTTTAACAAGAAAGGAGAACTAATACTCCGTTCTCAACGTTTTCGAACTCAAGAAGCTAATCAAAGAGATTGTCTAAAAAAACTTCATGAATTAATTACAGAAGCAAATAATAGCCTAGTGAAAAAGGAACCATCGTATAAACAAACACAACGAGTAAAAACAATGTATAAAATATAGGCTTATGGTAGCCTTACTAAATATATTCAGGATAGAAGCTTATAATGAGCGAAGAATACAAAAAAAACGGCAACATAGCGAAAAAAAAAAAGCAAGGAAAACTCAATTCCAACCGAATTAAGCAAACTCTATAAAAGACAATGCTAAAATCATTGTAAACAAATACTGTCTAATAATATTTTCAGCTTATTTGACATAAGATTCTGTATTTCTAATTTCTTCAATATAGAATATAGAGAGGAATTAATAACAATTCGAAGATTTTTATCCAAATTTTCTTTCTCAAGAAACTTACCTAAAAACAAACAAAATTTCTCATAAGATATTACAGAACAATTATTTTTCTCAATTAAAGTATTAAATCCCAAAATAGATGATTTTAAAACTTTAGGAAATGATATATCCAAAACATTTTTTAAAAATTTATTTAGTGGCAATATCAATAATAATATTTTCGCTAATTCTATACTGGATTCCTGATGCTCAATTAAAGAAATAATTTCATTAAGTAATCTATCTCGACATATCAAATTCTCAAACGATTCGATCATATAATAAAATGATTCTAATAAATCTATATTTTTCGGCATATATTCATTCGCTGTTTTAATTATAATAGATACAATTTCACCCTTCATTATTGGACTGTTTTGGAAATCTATCACAGAGACATTTTCAGAATCTAATAAACCTGTTTCCATATTCTTAAAGATCAAATTATCTTTTTTGTATTCCTCATAGGTTATTTCAGGAATCATAATCATATCTTTTTTCTTAGTCGCCTCATCAATATTTTTATCATTATTAAGCTCACTAATTCCTAATATTTTTTGTCTTGTATGTAACTTTATTATATAAATCAATTCCATTTTGCAATATTCAAGCCATAGTTCAGAAGAATACATATTTAATCGTATTCCTCGTTGCATTAACGTACGTGCAGCAGAAATATTACCATTCCAATTTAACTCGTGATATCCTGCAAATATCCATAATTTGGGTTTTGTAGGATGAAATTGTAATGCTCTATTCACATATAAACTTTAAACATGCAAATTCACAGAAATTTTACTTTGAAATAACTTTTCCAAGAAGTTTAGTAGATTTTTCATGCTGAGCATAACGAATATACTGTAACCATAAATCTTCATCACCATGAAACTTTTGAGTAGCCCTTTCAAATAAAAAAAAAATACGTCTTACACCTCCCCAATCAGAAATAGTAGGTTTTCCTTTAATATCTATAAAAGTAAATATTCCCTCTAAAATAAATACTTATTAAACTTAATCTTTTTATTCTCTTTTTTCTTAAAGCCTCCAAATTCATCTCATATTCAATATATTTTAAAAAATCCTCCTTCTTAACAATTCTACGTGCTAATGCATATTCAAATTCCGTCCTTCTTTTTATAATAGATTTTATTTCTACAGATGTAAATATAAGTTTTCTTTGTAAATCAACAATCTCAGGAAAAGACTACTAAAAAGAAAAAAAATATTTTACAAAATATTCTACAAAATATTAAAGAAAATACCTGTTCAAGAAAATATTCTGCCTTTTCTGCCATTCTTTAAAAAAAAATATAAATCTATATAACCATTCTAATAATATCTTCAAAACAAAAAAATATAATATATGTTTAAAACATTAAAATTATAGGTTTTTTAACTATTTTCTGGTTACTTAGGGCAATACCAAAAAAATATAAACCCTAACCTTATACACCTAAACCTACACACTAATCTTAATTTAGCTTTAACATTATTATTTCTTTGTTTAACATATCTAGATTTAATCGTTAGTGAGTTTAATTATTAAGAAAATGTTAAACTAGCAATAAAAAGCTAGTCAAAATTATTTTATCATTATAAAAGATAAATTGCCTTTGTTTAATTTAAAGAAACTATAATACTTTAGTCATTGAAAAAGCTAAAAATTTAACTTGTAAAAGCTTAAACATACGGGATTTAAAGAATATAATTTATTTAAATTATTAGGAATTCTTTAAGTAAAAGTAGAATCAAATTAACATTATTTATAAGTCAAGATAGTTTGAAAATTGAGCATAGTATCTTGCCGGTCAAGATGCATCAATCATCAACACGATTAATGCGAATGGCCGCAGATGGTCGTCCTTTTACTAATGTAAAATGAGGAATTTATTTAATGAAAGCTGATTTATCAAATAGGATTATAAAGATTTATTTTCAACATTAATAGCAAGTCTTTCTCTAAATACACATCGTGTACACTTTAAAACATTTCCTTTTTCTTTTACTACAGAAGAAGCGCTTGTTAACTTACGCTATCTTAGACTTACACATTCAACACGATTGCCAGATGCTAAGGTAAATTCTGAAGAACTCTTAACAATTTTGAAGACATGTAAAAAATAACGCGATTTGAAGAGTAATTTTTACTTTAAATTCATTAAAGTGTCTTTTTTTCAAATACTTTATTTCATTTAAGAAACCTAACAACTAATATTAACAATTAGGATCCGTCTAGAATTCTTGTTACAACAAGCACTACTACGTTTAGTATGGCAGAAGATATTGCAAAATTATTATGTCAAAGATTTATTCTTTCTCACTTTATTGAATCGGTTAATGAAAAAAACCTTACTGTTTTTAAAGATAAAGCTATTTGGAAATTAACACCAAAAGGAATCGCAATTGTATCTCGATTTGTTAAGAGAAATGGTGTAGATACACCATCTGTTAATGATCTTCTTGCATCTCCTTATAATACAATGCAACTTGTAATTCTAGAACGAGATCCAGAAACAGATGCCATACTGCAAGATCCTTTTATGATAGAAATAATATTTCGTCATTTTGTTGGCGTAGAACCAAATATTGTTTCTTCAAATATTCAAGATTCTCCAAATGATTATATTGATGGAATCACTGGTGTTCGTATTATTGAACAGAAATTTATTGAATCTTCTCGCTATTGTTTCAATGGGCTAAGTGCATTTTTATGGCTTATGAGATGTTGTACTACCATGACATATGGAGAGGCAAAAGAAATTGCTACTATATTTATTAATCAAAATTTAATTATTCGTGAAAATACAGAATCTCCTTCTAAAAGCGATAGTTTTAAATTCAGTTCTTCTAAAAATGATATATACATGCTTACTGATAAAGGATTTTCAGTATCAGGGTGGAAAGACTTAAATAATTATTCAATTAATTCAGTATCTACCAAATCGAAATTCTTCTCCATTGGAGCTAGTCGTAAGAAACAAACCATAATAAAAAATGCGCGGCCAAAAGTTATACAAAGAACTGATCCGGAAACGTATATGGCATTTCAAAAAGATATTTTTTATGATACTAATATGGGCCTTTTGAATAATGAGACAAATCACAAGCGTCTTTTTACTATTTTAAATAACCCTGCATTACGTTTTCAGTTCAGAATATTTTTACAAGAAAACTATTGCGAAGAAAATCTTTCTTTTTATTTAGAATCTTTACAATTTTTTCAACTTGCTGAGCATGCTATAGATCCTATAACTGTTCAAGAATCTTTAACAAAAGCTTATGGTAAATACATATAAGATTTAGAAGTATATTAAATCTTTAATAGATATTTATAATGCGTTTCTTGTGGAAGGATCGCCTTGCGAGCTTAATCTTGATTATGCATTAAAACAAAGCCTAGCAGATTGCATGACAACAATTGTATTAAATGATGATGAAACTATGAAAAATATTTTAGACTCTGTTGTAAAACTTTTCGATAAAGCACAGAAACAAATACTTAGACTAATGGCAAGAGTAAGCATATGATACTGGTCAATATGCATTTTTAATTATGAATAGGATTCTGTTCCAAAATTTCTTCAATTCGCTACTCAACTTAAAAATGATACCAATCAATTTCAAGAATTCATGAAGCAACCCTTCTCAACTCCTATTTCTCAAACATCATAGTTTTTTTTAGCAAATATATAAATATCCAAATTTAAATCTGTTTTTAAATTTATCATTTTCGTTTTATTATTATTTCTTATTCAAGATGCGATATATTTAATAGTGGTATGTATGTATTATATATATATTATTTATCATAATATGACAAATAATATATAATTGATGCATATTTTAGAAGACTATATTAGTAATACAATAATTTTTATTCGCTTTGATCTTCCATTTCATTCATATCTTCATTATCGGCATTCAATGTGCTCAACCGTCGTATCTGGTCCATAGATCTAATCATTATTAGCTTACTTATTATATTTAATTTATTTACTTTGCAAAAAAAGATCTAATCTCATTAATTTCCATTGAGCCTAAATTATCCATCTGAAGATGCGTTTCATTTAGAGAGCCGAGTCCATCTCTTATCTTTCCTTGTCTTGTTTCCCTTAAATCTCGTAAAAGACGACGAATTAACTCAGGTTGGTCCATATCATCTGAAGCACTAATACCAACATTAGTTCATAACATTAAACACAGATTTTTCAAGACACTTCAAGCAAAATACTAGATATCTCAAACCAACGGAGTGGTAAAGCAGAAAAACCATTTTCTACCTTATGTTCGGTCTCGAGAAATCCTTCTAGCGCTTCTTGAGATAACCATGAAGGAGGAAGAATATTTGCTCGTTTCTGACGCTTTAAGAAAATAGCCATCCACAAAGGCACTGTTACTCGGCTAGGAGGCTTAAATTGAGGAATAATTCCCTTCAAAAATAACTAAAAAATAAAAATATCATAAAATATTTTTACACCAATCAATGGCAAAGCATCCATTGTTTGCCTTGGAATAATCTCAATAGGAGAAAATTCTGCGATAAAAGAAATTTCAGATGGCGTAAATGCAAAAGTTTGACATGGTCTTAATGCCATTGAATGTACACCTTTTTTATCCGTTAAAACGAACTTCACAATTTAGGGCTTGTATCAATCATACTTATATTCTCAAATCATAATTCCTTTTTATATAATAAAAGTTCATAACAAATAGACTTTGCAACATATTTTCATTTTTTAAACTATATATTTTTTCCTTTTAAAAAAATACCATAAAAATAATTAATAAAAACTAAACCTTATATTTGAACATCTTTCCTTTTATTTTTGTATGTTTTAAAGAGTTAAATAGAGGAATTGTTATTATTCTCTTATAAATACATCCCAAATAGCTTTAAATAACCCATTTATTATCTAAAATAACTAATCACTTATAACTAATCACTTCTATCTCCAAATAGCGAAATATTATCTATAATTGAAAATAATACATTCTCTTTTTATAAACAAACATAATGTAGCATTCATTATTTTAATATGAATACTTTTTTGAAAGTTAACTTAAATGTCTACTAACAAAACCTTTTAACAAAATAAAAGAACCATTCAATTCTAATATTTAATCTTAAACTCAAAAAACTATAAATTAAACTTATAAACCTTCAAAAAACAATCAAAAATATTTTAAATATTAGATTAATTTACAAAAAAACTAACAAAAGCACCACACTGTTTCTACGAGTTTATTTAATAATTCAAGTAATGATATATTTTCAATATCCAGTAAAAATAATGCCATATTTTCAAAAAGATAGAAGAATAAATACTTAACATCAACAAAAACATAATTTGTTTAATCAAATCAATATGTAACCCTTTACTAGAAAAAAATATATCATAAAATGACCTTTAAAATACTAATAAAAGAAAATTCTAACAAGAACAATCATTTAATTTTCAATTATTTGCCCTATAACACATTCATAAACTTACGATTCCATAGATATCCACAAAATCTTAAATAATTATTAATTATAGCGCAGAATCTAAAAAAATGAAAAGTCGATAATCTAATTGTATAACGACTTTTATGCTTTAATAAATTTTGTAAACATAATGGTGCATCATAAAAAAATAATTAATTCCATAAGAAATAAAGCATTGATTGTAAAACTAGAACAAATATAAGCGCATAATGAACAATACCAAGCCCAAAATTAAGTCTTATATGCTCATAAATGATTTAAAAGTAAAATGTTGCCATAAATTCCAAAGAAAACTATAAACGAATAAAATCTTGATCGACATCAATAGAAGAAGAATCTGGACTACTAAAAGTATCTAAATCAGAATGACTAGATGAAGAACAGTCTTTAGAATGACTAGATGAGGAACAGTCTTTATCAAATGATTTCTCAGCAGTCTGAGCATTAGCATTTGAAATTAAGTCATTACGTTCAAAGTCAAAAGACGATTCATCATCGCTTGTAGCTAATAAACATTCTTTACGTTTGCGCGCAGCTCTTTCAATATGTGGGAGTCGACAATTCTTATTTAAGCATAAACCCTTCTCAGAAAAATCCGGGCATTCTCGTAAATGTTTTTCTCGACATTCAATACCCTTTTCGCAGTAACCATCTATTGCAAATGCTCTACAAATAGGAGCAGAAGGATTAACCCTAACATGGGCATATAAACAATTCTTATTTAAACATTGACCACGTAAAAAATGCAAGCACGCAGAAACACGATGTGGTGTTGGCTCATGAGACAAATCGCATGCATTTTTATTTGGGCATTTCCCCTTCATAAATAATGGACAGATAGCTACATGATCCGGGTCATGTTTATAAGAACAAGACTTTCCTTGCAAACATTTTCCTAAATTAATTTCAGTTTTTATTCGTAAAAAAAACAAAAATACCTGTTCGTGTATAATATTGACAATATTTCTCACTTTTTTTTGTAGGAGACTTATCTCTTTTATATAGTCAACATAAAATAAATAAATGTCCATAAAAAATACCCAATTTTTGACTTTATAAGTGATGTATGCCATAAGTTCCCATTTTTAGTCCTCCAAAAAACAGAACCAGATACAACAGCCTTTTTAGATGTTTCCATAAAAGGATCATTATCTTTTATGTATATATATATCAATAAATAAAATCATATAAAAATACACACCTTCTGCTCGAATAAGTTTATATCCATTCTTTTTAACATAAAATTTAACACCATCAATCATTAATTCCTTCATTTCATTCACCCTAGCGCCCTTATATTTATTTTTTTTAGATATCTCCTCCTGTTTCATTTTTTTCTGCAAACGGGTCTCTTCAATTGCTTTTACCCTTTTTTTTACAGTACTATCATAAATACTTGCATTAATCAACTGAAAATGCCTATCCTTCTTCTGTATCCATCCTGTAGATACAGATTGTGTCTCATTATTTACATTCGTATCTGAATGTCTTGTACTAATAACTAAAGACATATGTCTTGATCTATGTCTAGGATTTTTTAAATAGCTATGCGGTTTAAAAGATAAATTTTCGGCATTCTTATTTTCAATTTCTCCTACAATTCATATAGATTCTTAGATTCCTAAGACTTGTTTTTCATCTTACCTCGTTTATGTTTATGACGATTAATCGCTCCTATTTTCCGTTATTTCTACTCAAAAATAGACCTTTTTTTATGAAATATATACCTGCAACAGCAGCTATTTCGTTTAGAATAGCAATATCTCTAATCCTATCTTTTTTCTCTTTTTCTATACATTTTTTTTTCTCCATTATAAACTGGCCGAATATCAGTGGGAAACTTAAAATACTATAAATTTATAATTTTGTATATTTTTTTAATAGAAATAGAAATACATTAAAAAAATACATGAAAAGATGTAAAAACTAATAAATATCTTTGATAAGAAAAATCTTAATATAACTTAATTTTTTTATTATAAATATATACATATGAGAAAGACTTTATAAAAAAGCTTGTGTATATTATTTAATAAATAAAATTTATGTGATGTAATGTTTTTTTTTTCATGACTATTTTCAATTCAAAACTTATCTTAGTAATTAACTTTTCCTCAATAAAAAGATTTCCTTTATAATAAATAAATATGTTTTATTACAAGTGCCTGTTTTTAGTCATATAAAAAAAGATTAACAAATTAACTTAATCCATCAGTTACAGCATTTAGAATTAAAAGTACTAAACCCAAAGGAATTCAAACAGAAAATTGAATAATCTATATAAATATAGATAAAGTCATGTCATATAATTCTAAATAGCAATTTTCTGTTTTATTTTCAAATAAAACAGAAAATTGCTTAAGAAAACTTTTTTAGTCCATAAATGAATAAATCCCATTCCATAGTATGAACATACAATATAAAACCATTTAATTATGTTTGATATCTATAATAAGCCTGTGTTTTAAACGAGATACCATATCCAAAATCATAATACAAGGTATAATAAAAAAAGGTAAATAGAGAAACACAAGGATCATCTTATCTTTTAAGGTAATAAAGTATACGTTAAAAAAAATTAGTTCAAAAAGACATGCAAAAACAGTAGTTGCTACAATTGGTTAATTTTTGTATAAAAAACAAATAAAAAATACCTGTATGTGTTGCATAAATAAGGATAGGAATTTGTACACGGGGATCATCTAATTCTATTAAAAATTATACGCTTAATTTTTCTGTTACTGTAATAAAGTCCTTGAATCCCATAAAAAAACAAAGGTAATTGAAAAAAGGCTTCACACAATATAAAAGAAAAAAACCATCCTCCAGGATACGACTTCCATCCCATTAAAGGGTCTTTGAAAGTTGATAAATACCATAATTGTAACTTTGTTAGTCTTTCTAATGTCAATTTTTCCGGATAAATGGGTACCAAATCAATCAACAGCGCAACAAAAATACGTGCTATAAAATAACATGTATATAAGAAATCAACAGGCCTTTTCATAAGGCCTGGATTATCATTTTTTATTTGCAATATTTTCATATTTTATATCTTTCAAATATAAATTTTAAAGAGAAAAAATGTTTATATAATTATAATTAAATACAAAAAGATACTTTTTTAAATAATAAACAATAATAATAATAATTTCTATTAAACTTCCTCCTAGAAATATACCAAACTTGTCCTTATTAAATAATATTCTTAATTCATTAATATATATAACTTTTAAATCAAAAAACATGTCATTATAAATTCATGCGTATTCGATATTTGAAATAAATATAAACTTTTTTCAACTTTAATATATATTACGCTTAAAAATTCATTATTAAACTTTTGTAGATTCAAAACTTCCAAATCCCATTATTTGAGCCATTGAATCATCTTGAATCGATTCCTCTTCATTTTTAACATAACAAGCTTTTTCTTTACGCCTCATTTTCTTTTTTTCTTTCCTTTCTTTACGTTCTTTTTCTTCCATTGCTTGTTTTTCTGAAATTCTTTGACTTAAGCTAAATTCTGAATGTTTTTTCTCATCAACCATTTTATTTCTCAACCATGCAAGCCTTTTTCTTACATCCTCAAGCGTCGCTCGTTCTTGTCGAAGTGTTTGGTTTGTAGCTCTTAAATCTAAAAATAAATTAACTCCTCAAATCATCTATTAAACATAATTTTTACGTTGTTTACTATTAAGATGATCAATCCAGCTATTCGAATCTTTATATGTTTCATTGCATGCTTCACAATAATAACCCACTCCTTTTCCTTGACGTCCTGTTGATGCTCCATAGGGAACAAGAATAGTTTTATTCAAATTTTCCTCAAGATTTAATTTATCTCTAGCTTCCACTATTTTAACATCGGGGGGTGTTGCCTCACGCTTAAACTTTCCATGCTTCTTTTCCCATTTTTTTTTAGCCTCTTTCTTCTCTCTTTCTTCTCTTTCTGCTGCTTTCTGTGCATATTCTGCTAAGTCCTAGCTTATCATTAATTTTCAAAAACACTTATTTTCATCAAAAATATGCCAATTCTCACCCAAGTTTTTCTGAAATTAGGCTCTGTGCTATTTTCATAAATTCCTCTAGAACCCATCAAATAAAACTAATAATATCAGCTAGTTATATATAAATTTTACTAAGTACTCACCTTAGTATAAAATCTCCAGATCTCGATCACTTATCTATCAACGTTCAAAAAAAATAGAAAATGTGGGACAGCCTAGATCCAGAGATATTGAGGCTTCGATTACTATCAAGACCCCAATTTTTGGAGGTTATTCGACAAGTTAGTCATAACTTTTAAAATGCAGGTATTTAACGTATTTTCTAGACACATCCAGAGCTAGCAGAAGCAGCAGTTCATAATCCTGAAGAATTTAAAAGAATGATCCAAAACATGTATTTTGATAGAAACTACTTAGAAATCCAAAGACAGAGGGAGATTGTGAGTTTTTTATACTTTTTTGAAGTTGTTTATGAGTTTTAACGGATTTCTAGAGTGCACTGAACGCAGATCCATTGAATGTGGAAGCACAAGCAAGGATTGAAGAAATTATACGGTGATATAATTTCTTTTGGATAATGGATTAAGTTAAATGTATTTTAGTCAGGAAGCAGTGATGGAAAATCTAGAGAATGCTATGGAATATCATCCAGAGAGTTTTGGGCGAGTAACAATGTTATATATAGATGTGGAAATCAATAAACATAAAGTTAAAGCATTCGTTGATTCAGGTGCTCAAAATACCATAAGTAGTTATTCTTTTTTTTTTTTAAGTGTTAACTTCTTATCAAGTGAGTCCATCATGCGCAAAAGCATGCGGGTAAATTTTGAATCTAATAGATAAATATATTTCTAAATTTATAAAGAATTACTCACTTGATTGATAAACGTTTTTGTGGTATAGCCAAAGGTGTAGGCACAGCAAATATCATTGGACGTATTCATACTGCTCAAATTAAAGTGGGACCACTATTTTTAGCATGTAGTTTCACTATTATTGAAGTATGAAGGGTTTGCTAATATACGTTTCTTTAATTTTTTCTAGGGAAAAGATATTGACATTTTATTTGGTCTTGATGTTAGTTTAATTCATTATCAACTATATTTACTTACATTTTTAAGATGCTTAGAAGCCATCAAGCATGTATTGACTTAAAAAGGAATGCACTTGTTATCAATGATACATTAATACCCTTTTTATCTGAGACAGAACTTCCTGATAACGCTAAAATGGAAACAATTTATGTTCCAGAAACAGTAAACCATAATAACGAACAAACAGAATCCGCTAATACTCAAAAACAACCAGAATCTCGAGATAATAATAATATTTTAAATCAATCAGCTTATAAAGGACAATTAGGATCAAAATATCAAGAAGAAGATATCCGTCAATTGGAAGCACTAGGATTTTCAAAAGAAGAAGCACTACAAGCACTTGAAGCTGCAAATGGAGATGTCTCTATGGCTGCCAATTTCTTATTTTAAATTTAATAAACCTAAAATTAATATATTATATTATTAATATTTCAATTCAAAAATTCTATGACTTTAATATTATAAGCTATTAATCCATTTGAAATAACCAATATTTTGGGTAAACATATTTAAATATATCAATAATTTATATATTTTTTTTTTCTACATTTTTTTAAATTCAAATATCATTGTTTAACTTATAAAATATATCAGGTCTTTTCATAAAATCTTGTTTTTCTATAAAAAAAATATCAAAAACTAAATAATTATATCATATGAAGGAACTATGTATTTATTAAACCTAAAATCTTTGCTAAATTATAAAAGTAACACAAATTTCAAAACAAAAAAGACTCAAAACCATAAAAAATGAAACAAAAAAGAAAAAATATAGAAAAGAAAATCAAAAAAGACAACTTAAAAGTAATAAAAAGTAGAAAATTTCTAAAAAAAGAGAAAAAAATTTCAAAAAATACACAAAAACAAAACAATTTATCTATTTCTAAAGAAATATCTACATATGAAAACAAGGAAATTAACAAATCCGTTGAAGAAACAAATAAAAACACACAACTTACAAAATTACAGCAAAAAATGAAATTAAAATTATCAGGAGGAAAATTCCGTTTAATTAATGAACATTTATATAATATTACAAGCAGAGAAGCAATGGAATTCTTCAAAAAAAACCCAGAAATGTATGAAGTGGTAATATTTTTAAAGATACAACATATTTTACCTAACAAATATAGTATCACACAGGCTTTCAAAACCAGATATCATCTTGGCCAAAGAATCCAATTGATTTGATAATTGAAGACTTATCTGAATTTATAAATGAATCTACAGAAGTAACGCTCAATGTAGCAGATTTAGGATGTGGAGATGCAAAAATAGCAAGAACAATGAAAGATATATCAAATATTAAAGTATATAGTTATGATCTAGTATCTCGAAACTCATTTGTTACTACATGTGATATATCTAATGTATAAAAGTCTTTTTTGAATGCAATAAAAGCTAATTCTAATAGCTGCCGCTTAAAAGCTCAACAATTGATATAGCTATTTTTTGCTTAAGTCTTATGGGAACAAATTATATCGACTTTTTAAAAGAAGCATGGAGAATTTTGAAAATGAAGTAATATATTAGATTTTTAAAATTGTCTTCTAAATTATGAAATAGTGGAAAACTATGGATTGTTGAAATTAAATCTCGATTTATGGATAATGAAGGAACAGCCTTTTGCACAGCACTATCGTCACTTGGATTTTCGCTTGTAAAAAAAGAAACATCAAATAAAATGTTTATATATTTATATTTTAAAAAAACTAATGAACTTAATGAAAAAAATTTTGGCATATTACTCAAATCATGTATATATAAACGGCGGTAGTCATTTCAAATATCTATTATACCCTTCTAGAGAGCACTTTCTACTACATACTTCTCACGATATTCTTGTATTAATTTCAATTTTTCTTCATTTAGTTCTTTTTTGGAATAATCTATAATATCTTTGAAAGTAATAATTGCTTCTACTGGAATTTGATATTCTTGACGCATCATTTCAACTACACTTACTTCTTCGTCATTTCCTTTTTCTTGACGATCCAATATTTCTACAATTCCAACTAGTTTTCCTCCTTCTTTTTCAACAATACTTATTGCCTCTCGAATTGCTGTACCAGCTGTAATTACATCGTCCAAAATCAATACCTTCTTTCCCTTCATTGATGTCCCAACAATATTACCTCCTTCTCCATGATCTTTTTTCTCTTTTCTATGATATACAAATTCAATATTCTCTTTAGTTTTATCCAGTTCACAAAGTTTTAAAGTTGTAATTGCACCTAAAGGAATTCCTTTATATGCAAGTCCAAAAATAATATCAAATTCAATATTCAAATTTAAAATAACATGGGAAAAGGCAATTGCTAGTGATTTAAGAAGAACAGAACTATTCATAAAACTACTATTAAAAAAATATGGACTTTTTCGACCAGATTTTAAAAAAAATGTACCAAATTTAAGAGCACCAGATTTTTTTGAATGAAAAAGAACATCTTCCTTATAACTCATCTTTATCTTTATAAAAATACCTTTTTAATATTTTTTTAACCAAAAGATATATGTTGAAATCTCGATCTAAGTTTTAAAACAGATAAGCTTATCTTGATAATTATAATCTAAAAAAACCTTTTATTAACAATATCATTTAAACTATTCAAGTTGACATCATATTTTATATATATATCAAAGAAATATAATACATATATTTTAAAAAACCAATTCATATATAAAAATATGATAAAAGATAGATATTTTCTAAAATCTCAAAAGTTCTGATGAAAAGTAGAAAAAATATTTATAGAATATTAAAACAATAGATTTTTATGTCATGCAATTCTATAAAAATTAAAAAAACCAAATAATACATGATAATTTAAAGATATTTTAGATAAAATATTTTCAATCTTCAAGCATATTTTCCAAATAGAATCATTTCATTGTGTCTTTTATATTTTATAATTTTGATTTATATTATTAAATAAAACCAACTCAGAAATATAATCAATTTTAATAGATATGCTACTTTGTTCAATTATTTTTGCTGCATAATCTTGAACCATGTCAACACTTATATCAAGTAACTCAGAAAGTTTAGAGAAACTAATATTATATTATAATTTACTTATTGATAATAAATTGTGTTCTATAATAGCTTTCATAATTAGTCTTTTTATTACGAATATTCTGGCCATTGTATTTCAGACATACATTCCATAGAACTCAATTCATAATATTTCTTACTTGTTTCTAAAAATTTCTCGCTTTTATCAAGAAATTTTACTTGAATTAATTTAAAACAAAAAAAACACACTGGCTCACATGTATCTTGACCAAGATACGCAACTTTCTCAAAATACATATTAAATAAAGCTATATTTTCTATTTCCAACAAATTTCAAAGAATTCATACATAAATTTCTAATTCATAATTGTCTGAAAAAACCTTAAAGTTATATTATTCTCTATAAACTTTACACAATGAACAATTCATTTAATTCTAATGCAATTTCATATAATATTTTAATAACCTAATGATATTCACAAGTATCTTTATATATTTTTGCTAACTTTTCTTTCATCCTATATACTAGTTTAATATCCATAATTTTAATGTGTTTTAGATAAAAACATTTTAAGCATCTTCTTTTTCATTGAAACATCTTCAATTAAATCTAATTCTATACATTATTCTGATATTTTCTGTATATTCAAACATTTTTCATTATTAGCAAAAACTTGAATCAAAAGCTATTCAAGTTCTTCAAATTTTTCTAAGAATCTTGTAATTTTCTTTATATATTTACAAAATATGATAGATTATCTAATAAAAGGCATTCTTATGGACAACTAGAAACATCTTTAACCAAATTAACTTCCATCTTTAAAAATAAATTCCTAAATCTAATAATTTTTGTATTTAAAAATCAATAATAATAATATATATATAAACTAATGAATTCGCTTAACTAAAAACCATATATATATGTTATTTCATCTACTAAAAAATACTTTATAGAAATATTAGAAAAAGCATCAAGAAATAATACAAAACAAATCAATTCATAAAAATCTTCTATCATATGTAATATATAGTAAAAAAAAATTTAATATAACCCAATATATTTTACAAAAAAAACATTAAACATATTCTAAATTCCCCATTCTTTTAAATTCATTTTGATTTATTCATACTTGTCTATTTTTCATAAATAAACCATCCATCTATAATTTAACAAACTTAAAATACATCAAAAAATGACATATATATTAAAATTACACTGTCTGACATCAGATTAGATCAAGTTGAATAATTATAATTAAAAATCATTCTATATCTACATATACTAACATTTAAGGCACTAAATACCTCTAAAGAACCAATCTTTACAATGGCCTTTATTCTGGGCTTTTAAGCCTTAAAAAATAAAAGAATACATCAAATATGTCTTTCAAACGTAATTCATCACTTGTCAGACCTACTACAATACATTTAAAATTTATCTTTTTAAAAATATTACAATATTAAAGATTAAAATAATATTTAAAAATAAAAAACCAATAAATTTTATTTAAACCAAAAAGACTAAATATTTATAAAAGAGCTATTAACTTCATCTGATTTACAATACTGTTCATGTCATTTTTTCAATAGTTACAGCTATACTATACGGAAACGTTGCCTGAGGAACAACGTTACATATAAATACCCGTGGTATTAAGATAACTTAGAAATATAATTAAGATAGTTATAGAAATAAAAGTGCATTTTAAATGGAGAAAATGTCTTCATCACAAACAGGCAAGCTGCCTTATAAGTCTAAATTTCCTATAGCAAGAATTAAAAAAATTATGCAAGCAGGTACATATAAAATAGAAGCTAATTGGGATTACAATGACTAATAATATTAGATGAGGAGGTAGGAAAAGTAGCACAGATTACGCCAGTTGTAGTTTCAAAAGCCTTAGAGCTTTTTATGCAATCAATTGTAGATGAAACGATTAAACAAGCTCGTATTAAACAAGCAAAAAAAGTGACGGTTGCACACATGTAGAAGTATCATTATCGGAAAAAAAGGTCCTAATATATTGTTTAGGAGGAGCGCAATTCATTCTGCAGATCAATTCGACTTTTTAATTCATATCATAGATAAACATACCAATACAGGAGGGTCTGAAAAAGATACAGGACATTCATCAGAAAAAATACAAGAAAATAAAGACAATATAACTTTTCATGAATCTAATCCATCATCAAAAAAAAAGAGCAGCAATTAAAATAAAAGCATATTTTATGTTGAAAAAATTCGTATAAGCATAGGTTAAAAGAAAGTCTTTTTAAAACCGATGATTCAGCTAATGTGAAAGAATATCACGGCAATTTACTTTTTTTTTAAAATTTACTGTATATTAATATCAAAAAAAATACAGAATGGAATGGCGTGATAAAGGACTTTAAAACAAAAAAGAACATATAAACCGAAGCCATAGATAATATAAAAATAATGCATATTCATAAATAACAGGTATGCTACAATCGATTTTAGCTTCCTTGGAAAGCTACATCAACTTTTTTGGCAATCGCATCTTTCTTAGCACTAAAACCAGTCCCTTCACTAGAAAGCTGCAGAATCAAAAGTTTAGACTCATTTTTCATAGTACCATTATTTTGTACATATAAACTAGATTCACATACATAGCAAACTCCGGATTCACGAACAAATTGATCTAAACAAATAGTACATATAACATGACCACATAATTTCATAACTATAATATAAATTAGAAACATTTCTTATAAAAAATAGAAATGACTACTATAAGCGCCAGATATATTAGAGAGTTTTTTTTTACAAGAAGGACAAATTCTGAGGGTTTCTTTACTTTCTGTTGATTTCTTCTCAGTAAAATTAACCGAAATTAAAGACTTAAGTGATATTTTATGAGGGTTGCCTGAATTCGATGCGGGACAAATAGGTACACGTTTTTGCTTTTTTAAAATATCCTTATTATTCGCTGAAGGTGTCGAAGAAGGAATCCAGAATGATCCTGCTTTTGGCTTTGATTCTATTTCCTAATAGTCTATTTAATATCATAAAATTTCAGTCATATTAATTTACATGTTCTTTAATATATTTTAATTTTTCTCGATCTCTATCGTTTTTCGCAATCATTAGAAGCTCTTTTTTGTCAAGTTTAAATACATCTTTAACTTCTTTTTTTTGTAAAACATCATCATCATCATGTTTATTATCATTATAACGTGTATTAAATCCCATTTGCAATACTTCAAATTCTTTAATAGTACGCATCTTAACAATCTCTTCAATTCTTTTCTCTTCTATTTCATCCTGACGCTTCTTTTTCTCTATTTCTTCCTCCATCTTTTTTATCTCTTTGCGTTGTGTTAAAAGATTCTCCATAATACATACTTTGCAAAAAATATCTCCATTTTCTTCACAGGAAACTGTATCACGAGTTTGAGAAAGACATAAGTGGCATGCATCAAATAAACGAAATGAATCACTCTCAAGTCTTTGCTTTTTAGTTCCATAATCTAACATAGAACGTTCATCTAAAAAACCATATCAAAAACATAAAATATGTATTGATTGAAGCAATACAGTTTGTAAAGAAAGATAAACTAGTATTTCTTTTTGAGTGCCGTGACATTTAGAAATATATTTTTCAAATTTTCATATCAAAGTAAAATCTAAAATATAAATTAAAAAACAAACATATTGATAAATATTAATCTACCTTAATATTAGATTTAAATCTAAGAAAGATTTAAAAATATTAATATTTTTGATTTAAAAATCTAGAATTTAGTAATTTATAAGTTAACCCGTTAAATCCATCAGACTATAAGATATATTTATAATAGAAATTCAATAATAATATTAAATATATAAAAACCCTCATATTTTTAAACTGATACTCATATTCATGAAATACTAAATAGAAAATAAGCCAGTATAAACCATAACTAATTTTTAAAAGTTAGAATAATCATAAAAAAATATAAATACCTATAATATTAAACCTTAAAAGATAATAAATGATCAAGATACTTTCATAGAATCTAAAGCATTAGCATTAGATTATTTCCCAATTAATCTATAAGTATAACTGTTAAAAAATAACAGAAAAAGAATGAATAGATACACAATAACATATTCCCAAAATCAAATTTGATAAAAAATTAATAAAAAATAGAAAAAAATATACCAAAATATAAAGAAGATTTGCATTGAAAGATATTCATTGTAGAAACTTGTTTAAAATATCACAAATTAAGTAATAAGCCCATATTAAGATCCCAGATATTTTTATTTCAAAATATCTATAAATTGAAAACCAGATGTTAAATTTGATTTCTCATCACCTAAAGCAACTTCATTATAAGACGAACGTACACATGCATTTTTAAACGTAGGAATGAGACATTCAATTAGAAAACTCTGTATTGTTATATATCCTCGAGCAATTGTATCACATGCCATATATTCAATCTAAAAATATTTAACTAATTATCTTTCCAAATACTTTCCGCTTCATTTACATTAATTATTACACCTTTATTTGTACTTGCTATACGAACTATAAAATCATTGATTTCATACATATCACCATCAAGCTAAAAAAAATTAAATATATATAACAATAAAGACACTCAATAAAAACATGAATTGTTTGTCTCATATTCCAAAGCTTTGCCTTTACAATCATTTGCTCAAAATCCCCATTTACTTCAATAGTTGTCTTATTAATCTTACAAAAAAGAATTCCAGGATGATATGACATAGAAACCATATGTAAATGTTTAGAATACCTAGTATAAAGCTTATATGTCATAGACCATCCTCCTAAAATAAGCCCTTATCAATATATTATAAAAGATAAAACTCCAAAGCTACCTATTACTTGGGCTAAAAATAACTGAAGTCGCTGCTGAATAGACTCAATTAACATCATTCCTGTATCATCTTGACATAAGAAAACACTATAAAATGTTAGTTTTTTTATTTTAAAGAAAAATAACAAAACAAACCCAGAAACTGGCATATTTTTAAAGATGCTTTTTCAATAACTAACGTTGATACTTAATTAGAGAAAAAATGAATAGAATTAATGTATAATCCTAGACTATTTTAAGCAAACATAGAAAAATAGTAATTAATTTTTTAAAAAAATCAAATAAAACTCTAAAAACTATAAAATATTATGTAAATATTAAAAAGTTAAAGTCTAAATGGATAAATATTAATCAATTAAATGATTGATTTGTATTAATATTGATATAATTTAAAACTTCGATTTTAAAAGGAATTTGGAGGGATATTTTAGAAATAGAAGCAAAAAGAATGAATAGTATTTTATAATTCAATATTTTTAAAGTATAAATATAAAATTATATCTTAAAAATATTGAATTTTATTTATTAAATTTAAAATACTTTAATAAAAAATAGCCATTAATTATTCATATGTTCTAATTACGTTAAAATATTCAAGTTATTTCAAAAATAAAATTAATATATAATTGACTTACAAATTATTTGATACTGTTTTTAAATCCAAAACGGTAGAATCAATTTTTGTCTCATCATTAATTATAGAAAGCCCAGATGATTCATCATATGATAAACCCTGTTCATCTTTGGAAGATAACTCTTCTTTAATAACAGTAGAATTATTAGAATTTTCATCTTCAGAAGCTTCTAACATATCTGTTATCATTTTTTCAACTTGTTGTTTCATATCAATAACATGATCTATTTTTTTTTGAATTTCATTGAGTTGTTCATTTTCCTTGCTCAACATAGAATTATTCTCTTCAAGAAGAGCTTCTAATTGCTTGATAATATCTTCACGTACCAAAATTGCCGCTTTAGAAGTATTATAAGATAATTTAAGGGATTCTAATAATTGAAAAAGTTTTGAAACATATAATGGCGAAGCAGGTGTAGCTTCCGCTTCTATAAGTTGTGAATAAAAGCCAAATGAAGAGCCAATTGCCAATGACGATGATGAAATTGATTCAATAAGACTATGATACAATAAATTAATTCTAGACTAACCATTGATAAATATAAAAAAATAACTATCAATAGTAATTTACCAATTCCGGGGCTAATGATGATTTCAATGTTCCCCCCAATTTATTACCACCAGATAGCGTTTTTTTTACACTTTTTTCTGCAACTATAAAAATTATTTTAAATTAAAAAAATATTCAAAAAAATATACTTTTTAATCTTTTATTAACATCCATAATTACATTTTCAGAAAAAACATTCCTTTGTTCCCATACATTTGCCACATGTTTAAGTCTATTTTGAACATCCTGTGTTCCATGCCGATATGCATTTTCCATTGCTTCTGCAATAACCTTGAACAAAATAAATACACAATACGACAAAAATAAACACAGACTGTTGAAAAAGCATTGACAAATTCCTCACGTTTACGAGCTTTAGACTGTTGTGTTACATCATTCGCTAAGTAAATCAAATTCAATTTTCTCAATCCAGACGCTTCAAAAAATAAGAACATATATATAACTAAGACCTTTACCATCTAAAAGACTCTGCATCCACGTCTCAACAATTTGTTTTGCACTTCTTCTATGAAATAAAACCCCTACATAAATTAACATAATTTTCTCAAAAAAAACCTAAATAAACATGATGAAACACTAGTTATCTCTTCTTGAGATCCACTATTAAGTGCTGCAAATTTAGAACGTATCAAATCAGGAGTTGCCATTGATTTAATAAGTTTTTCTTAATCACCAATAAATTGAATCTTAAATACTCAAAAAATACGTTTAAAACTCGGGAAAAAAAGTAAAAACAACAACTTAATAAGAAATACAATAAGAAATCGTGTTTCAGGACGTTTAAAAGACTATTTTAAGCCTTAATTGCCAATATTTGACTATTTCTTAAGTCTGACGACTCGATAGTAGATCGCTTGATCAACTACATAAAAATAGAGGTACAAATAATTAAGAGGACGGCGTCTAAAAATTAAGAAAAAAAGGTTTTTTTTAAGAAAAAACTAATAGAAATCATAAGATCTAATGATATTAGGAAAAAAGAGCGAAAAAAAAGCAGTATTTAGAGGCCATTTAAAGGAAATAAACCTTATAGAAGAAAGATAAAATTTCCATGTCTAATTTTCCATCATTAGAAGAATTTGATTCAGGGATTTGCTGCAAAATAACTGATAAAAACAAAGTAAATTAGGAAAAGACTTTTTTTTTGGATATTTTTATCATAAAATAGAATAAAACAGAAATACAAGATGAAATATTTATGAAACGAATACCATTGAAAGATATAGATATACAAACAAAGGATACGATATGCAAAATTCCAGAAAATACTGATGATTCTATTTTTCTTGAGTAATTATGATATTACTATAAAGTAAATAGATAACTTAGATAATGATAGAGAATGGAGACAACGAAGAGAAGCAAATATTCAGAAACAAGATGAGGAAGAACGATTGAACAGAGAAAATAAAATAGAAGAAGCCAAAAAGGCTATTGATGAGTTTTTCGAAACGTATAATGAAAAAAAAAAGGAAAAAATCAAAAAAAATAGGTTATAAAAGTATATATTATAGTTTATTAAAGATTAATTTTTAAAATAGGGAGAAACAGGAAGAATTCATATTGAAAAGAGATAAAGATATGCCAGGAATGCTATGGGAGCGTGTTGTTAAACTTCTTAATCTTTCAGAAACATCAACTGGATTAGAAAATAGTAATATGTCAAAATTTAAAGAATTATTATTAGACCTTCAAAAAGACCCAAATGCACCAAGTACAAATGACATTTAATTATTCTAATATATGATAAATTTAAATATGATTTTTGTAATTATAGATATATTTTTTAGAAAAACAGAAATGCTAATATCAATAATAAAAAATCATTTTTTGTTGTACCATGCTAGGTGGTCTAATACATTTCTCCTTTTATCAAATCTTCCCATTTTTTATAGAACTGTATCCTTGTATTTGGGATTTCATTAATTGCATAAATGCAGAATCAACATTTTTATTTAATTCGATATAAGAACCTTCTTCAACTAACTTGCCATTATGATCAAGAACAATGATTTTATGAGCTCTTTTAATTGTACCAAGTCGATGAGCTTATACGAATAAGTTTGTAAATAATAAAACGTATATTTATATTTACCAATAGTTATTGTGGTAAGGTTTTCCCGCTGAATTAAATCTTGTAACGCTTGATCAACCAATACTTCTGATTTCCCATCCTAAAAAAAAACTCAATACACAAAAACATATGAAATTATCTTACAAGTGCAGAAGTGGCTTAATACGTTAGTAAAAAACAAACGAAGAGTTTAAATTACCTTCATCTAAAATTAATATTTCAGGTTTCCTAACCAATACTCTAGCAATCGCAATTCTAAATTACTATAAATAATTGTATATATAAAATATTTATTTATCAAACTACCTTTGTTTTTGCCCACCACTAATTCAAAGTTAGAAATAGTTTATTTATTAAAAATAAATTTTACCTTAATTGTATTCCATTACCTCCAATATAAGTATCAATATTTTTAGGGAAATTCATAATAAAAGTAGAATTAGATTTTTCTATCGCCTCTATTATTTCTTCTAATGTCGCATCTGGGTTCCCATATGCAATATTCTCTTTTATAGTACCAGGAAAAAGAGCAGGATTTTGCGGCACAATACCAATTTTCTTTCGCAATTGTTTTAAATTAATTTTTTGAATATCTATATCATTAACAGTGATTTTCCCAGAATTTAGATCATAAAATCTTAAGAGAAGATATGCTATTATTTATTTTAATCAATTAATTAATTTAAAACAAAAGTAGATACCAATTGTCGACTTCCCTATATTTATTGAAAAAGTCTAAAAATAAAATCAATTAATTACCTGTCCCGCTAGGACCACATATTGCGACATTTTTGCCTTGTTCTATTGTAAATGATAATTTAGAGAAAATAGGCATATCTGGACGTGTAGGATATGAAAAACAGACTATGAATTAGTATTGTACAAAAGTAAAACATTCATTTTACCGTCTTGAAACTTAATGGATCCTTTAATACTATCGACAAAAATACCTGCTTATCGCAATGTAAACTTAAGCTTTAAAAACATAAAACTGTACCTGTAGGTTTCCTAGTTATTTTCTTATCAATTAATTCAAATAATCGAGATGATGCACCCAAGCCCTTCATAAATTCTGAATAAAAACCACTTAGTCCAACCATAGAATTTCCAGTATATGCTGTATATAACAGAAAAGAACTAAGATCACCAATAGTTATTATAGATTTATTAACCATATGACTCCCATAGGCAAGAGTAATTAATACCGTTAAATTCCCAGAAAATCCGATCTAAACGCCTTAATATTATACAAAAACTATTTTTAAGTTTTACTAATCCCAAAAATGTACTATTAAGAAATGCCTATATGTATTATGTTAAAATAAAAAAACAAACAAACATAAAATCTTTATACATCTTTTTTAACAAGCTGAAATATTTCCCGAATTTTATTATTATAACGTCTTAATTCAATTATTTCGCCTGTTTTATATAAATAACAATTTTAATTATTCAATATATACCCGTAAATGCTTTAACTACATACATATTAGAAAATATAATATAAATTATAAGATTTATCACTTATATGTATATTCCCAAGATCTTCTGAAATTTTTATTAAATCACCTAAAGCTTTCTGGATCTTTTTTGATAAAACTTTTATATATTGTCCATAAAATATCTATAAAATCAATGAAAACCAATCATATAACAATTCTTACCGAGCCAAAAACAATTGGAGGTATAATTAGCATCATAACAGAAGTTAATTGTGCTGATATACATGTCATCATTCCAAGCCCTACAATTGTACTTATTAAATATTTTAGACCATCTGAAATATTTTGAGTAAGAGATTTAGCAACAACTGCAGTATCTAAAAAATTAAAAAAAAAGAAAAAATAGTATTTTTTACCTGAAGATAAACGAGAAATCAAATCTCCACTCCTTAAATAATATCAATAAATCTCTTAAAGATAAAAATACACTACGCATTAACATCAAAAAACCCTAAATCATGCTTAAGAGTATTTTGATATAAACGTGATCGCAGCTTAGATATCACTCTTTCACAAATAATTCTCATGAGAAATAAACGACCAAAATTACATGCTCCACCAATTAAAAAAATAAAAGCAAGCCCACTATAAAAGAAAACTGGCTCAATTCCAAAAAATGCGTTTATTGATGGCTTCACCATATAATCCATAATTCTTCCAATAATATACCTACATCATATATATATATTCCAAAAAATTTACATATACATACGGCATCGACATAGAAACAGATGATCCAATGATAATAAAGACAATAGCAACTATCACAATAAATTTACTATTAAATATCTTCAAAAATTACTTGAAAGCATCCTTTTTTCTCCCTTAAGAAATCTCATAACAGATTTTGTTTGCGAAAAAATAGTCCTCATGTTCAAAATACGATCCCGTATATTTTCTTTATATACCATGATCTTTTTATCCACTTTTTCCTGTTTCTAATACTAATTAAAAAATATCTTCTCTTCCCTTATAACCCCCCACAAATTCATGATATTCTCTCTTGTTAAAATCATTATATAAATAACGATTCCGACACATCATATTCAATTCATTATTTGATATAAAATGAAATAGCTTTCCTTTTATATTTCCAAATTTATTATATCTTATATCATTCAAATTATATATATATCTCTTCTTATTCATAGAATTAAGAAAAATAGACCCCAAATCCCCCATAACCTTAACATCCCCAATATATAAAGGTGATATAAACATAATTCTATGTATTTTAACCCTTCCAAATGGTTCTTTAAACTTCTTAAAAATCATTTCCTTATTTTACAGAAAATATCCCAAAAAAAGTGCGAAAAAAAACATAAATATCCATAAAATACAAATTAAAACAATTCCGTACTCATTATATATGTTTTTATCTATTAATTCCCTCAAAATATACTTTTTTTCTGATTTCAATATTATATAACCTCTTCAATTAACCTCCGAAAAATAAGATATATTTATATATTAAAAAAATACCCATAAAAAGAGTTCTTTTCTAAGAATTCCTTGCTATAATATTAAGAAAAACGTTATTCATCATTAACAAGTCTTTTTTCCCATTTTTTTTGAGTCAAGATGGTATTAGATTATTCAAAATGGGATAAATTAGAGTTAAGTGATGATAGGTAAATATTATTAACAGTTATAAGAGAATAAAGCATAAATCTAATATTTTTTAGTGACATAGAAGGTTTTATAATTGAATTAGTTGAAAAAAAGGAGTTAAAATGATGTATAGTTCATCCAAATGTTGATAAGCGTTCATTTATTCGTTGGAGGCAACGAGATATTCATGAGAAGAGACAAGCACGAAAACAGGCTATATATGATCTTAACTGTAATCTTCAGATGAATAAAGATCTTAAAGAACAAGTTTTAAGATTGATTTGTGCATTAAAAACATCGGTGGAGGAGGACCCAGACAAAGTGATTATGAATGTTTTGGAAGAGATTTCAATAGAAAACATACCTCATACAGAAGGGGCAGTGAAATATAATGTATCTATTGGGAGATTGATTGAAAAGGTAAAAGAAACATTGGGGGAAATAGAAGGAGAAAAACGTCGTCAAGGATTTATAGAAAAATTTGAAGAAAATATAGAAAAATTAGAGGAATTGGTTAATAAAGCAGAGTGTGATCTTGAGAAATTAGAGGAGGAAGGAAAGGCGAAGATTACATCGGAAGATATACGAGTTGGGTTTGAAAGTTCTGTATGTATTTGTAAAAATAAGATTTCAACTGATAAATTAGTCTATAACAAAGCTTCCTACAACAAAGAAGAGAGAAAAGGTTCAAACAATTGAAATTCTTAATAAAAAAGCATTGGAGAGCAAAACAGAAGAAGATGTACCATTAACAGAAAATGATTCAAATATAGATGATAATACAGAGCATATTGAACCATCTGAAACAGGAAGGGAATTTTCAAAATTGGATAGTCAGGATTATAGTGCTCTCCTCAAATTTATTAGTTTACATCCTGACATTGTTCTGGATGAACAAGAAACGGACGGGTTATTAATTGATGCATTTAATTATCAAATGCAAGGTAATGAGACGTTGGCAAAACAATGTGTTCATCAAGGGCTACTTCTTCAATATTGTCGCCAATTGGGAAAGGATGGCGTTTCATTATTTTTTCAAAGGTAATATCTAATTATATATGCAATACGATTGTTAATATTACACTTTTAGGGTAACATCAGCTAATCATGCGGCATACAAGTTATTTAATGATGATGTGGAGCAAACATATTCTCGAATTAAGGTTCGAGCAGCAGAAATTATGGAAGAACGTGAAGCATCATCTGGAGTAGAACAAATTCAACTTCATGCAGTTGATCCTAATGCTAAAATCGCCATTAACATCCCATCAAAAAATTCAGAAGATCCTAATGTTCAAGAAGCACGCAAAATATTCGAATCCTTTTCTTTAGATTTACAAGATGCATTAGAAAGTGGTCAACTTGAAAATATAAACAAGGTACTTGCTAATATTCCATTACAAGAAGCAGAAAAAATTGTAGGAGACTTAAACAGAGGCGGAATGCTTAGTATTGAAAATGAAATGATTGATGCAACTAAAGGGGATTTTTGTATAAATAAAGACAAAGAAAATATGTAAAGACAATATCAATACGATTAGTTAATTATAAATATACAATTTATATTCAAAAAAACTTTACAAAATTATTTACTTAACATCATCTATTTGTTTTAGCTGAATGCTTCATTATTTTTTCGACCCACCTTAACAAATTCACTATAATCAATAACTCCATCACCTAAATCATTAGTCTTTTCTAAATATACGCCGTATCTAAGCGGCAACAATTTAACATTACCATCTACATCAGCTTCTCGAATCATTTCATCAACTTCCTCATCTGTCAACTTCTCCCCCAAATTTGTCATAACATGTCTCAACTCTGCTGCAGAAATAATTCCGTTACCATCTTTATCAAATACTTTAAATGCTTCCCGAATTTCTTCTTCAGAATCGACATCTTTCATTTTTCGTGCCATCATTGCCAGAAATTCAGGAAAATCTATAATAAAAACTTAGAAATACAGAAAACACCATTTGATACACATTTTCATCTTTTATTTTCCCCCTATAATTACTTACCAATTGTTCCATTCCCATCTGCATCAACTTCGTTCACCATATCTTGTAATTCTGCTTCTGTTGGATTCTGACCTAATGACCGCATAACAATTCCAAGCTCTTTCGTTGTAATAGAGCCTATCATTTATAAATACTTCCTTGTATTTTAATAAATAAAAAAATACCATCCCCATCCTATATATTCATTAATTATGCTGCACAATTAATAGAGTATTTCAGGAGAATAATATAAAGAAAATACTGCATAAAAGATGATCTTATCTCCAAGCAACTAAGCATATGTTCATTGCATATATTCAAAATATCATAAATTGCCCAACAAATAATTATACACCCCAATCCACATATTCCATACTTTTCCATGCATTCTATAGACTCTTTCTGTATTTTTATACATTTTCTTATACATTCATTCCTGCATCCTATTTCTTGTGCTAAATTTTATGCAATTTATCTCTCCTATTATATGCGTCATATATGCGTCATATATGCGCACTATATGCGCATTATATGCGCTATATTCCAATTCCCTATCTATTCTCTTCCAATTTCTATCATCTTTTCATTTTCTACTCCTTTTATACTCTTGCTTCAGCAACCTTATCAAATAATGAAAAAGCTTCCTTAAACTCTGAAATCTGTTCTTCTGTTAAATTCTGTTCATTACTCTTTCATCATCAGCATATAATAACTCTATAAATGCTCTTTAGACTTACCATCTTCACTATAAACTTGAATCTATAGTCCTGAAATCTGCAGCAGAGTTAATTTTAACTAGCATTCAACGAGAGACACGAAAAAATATAGAAAACCGTTCAAAAAAAATAACATAAAAAAGATAACAAATGGCAACGCGGGATCGAACGGGCCTATTTATTTCTTATAGACAATCATTTGCACATCATCCTGTGCATTTAAAGGATGAAGAACAAGGGCTTTTAGATATGGTTATTGATATAGATTGTTTACCTCCAGACTGGTCAGAAACAATAAAAGAAATAGACGGAATAATGGAGGAGATCAGGTCAAAAGGAGAAATACTTGAGCGTTTATACCGGAAGAATATGTTGCCGGGATTTGATGATCGACGAAGAGATGAAGGGGAAATGGAGCAAATATGTAATCATACAACGCAGGTATGAAAGGGAAAGAGAGAAGTATACGAGTGAGGAAAGACGGGACGCATACAACGCGCATACAACGCGCATACAATGCGCATACAATGGGTATACAATGGGTATAAAAGCTAGGAGGATGTACACTTGTCTATATGTCTCATATATATATATGTAAATATATATAAATATATATATATTTACATGTATATATATTACATCTTTTCTAGACGTTTTTATATTTCTTCTGTATATATTCCTTAGATCTTTTCAGTTGATGCAGCCAAACGTTTCTTATACATGAATTACACCATTTTTTTGGATTTAATCACTGTTTTATCTAACTTTTATAAAGCGTCTGAGAAGATGTCAAGATTTAATTAAAACGGTGGTTCCTAGACCAGGATCAACACAAACAGAGACTATTATTACGAAAAATGTTCAAATAGTATTAGCAAATAAAGTTCAAATGGAAAATATGGCATTTAGGAAGAAACAATCCGCTTATCTCCAACGTATGATATTTTTTTTAGAAATAATTAAGTTATTTTTGACATGTAAAATATAGAATTACGTGAGACATATCAAAAAACATTTCTTCCAATTGAACATACAGAAAGTTCAGAGGAAATGTTTCAATCGTCGTTAATGGTTTCAAATGAAGCGGAAATTACTTTTCGGGAACGAGAAATTGCAAATATTACTAAAGGAATTGTTGAATTGTCTGATATATTTAAAGAAATTCAGTCATTGGTAACAGATCAAGGGTTTTTTTTATTTATTTTTTATTTTTTTTTCAAACTTATTCCATCTTTAGAAGTATCATTGATCACATCAATATTTGCGCTGAAAACACTTCTACGCATATGAAAGATGCAAAAAAAGAACTCGATTATGTAATTGTTTCTTAATAAATTTTTATTCAATGCTAAAGTACACTAGGCAGAAACTTATCAAAAAAAAAATCGAAAAAGAAAGTTAATTTTTCTTCTTCTTCTTATTATTATCGGGTTATTTGTCATATTTATCATCAAATCTTTTTGATAAAATAATTTATTGTTTTTTTGATCAATTTTCGAATTTCAGAATATTTTGTTATATATCATTGGATATATCTGCATTATGTTTTTACATGCTAGCATTTGTCTATGAATATTTTAATTTAATGTATATTACTCATGGAATTAAATCGGGGAATATCAGCATATAAAGGAAAACAATAGATGTTTTGGTATAGCATATACTTATTTATTATCTTACAAAATATAAAGACAATCATTTAAATCATAAAGCATAGAAATAGTCGAAAATATTTTATTAGTGATTTCTATTATACAAAAATAAAAATGTTTATAAATGATTCATTATTTCAAACTTTTCCAAAGCAATTTCAACATCTCTATGATTTTTCAATCCTTTAATAATCTTATTCAATTCTTCTGTATATATTTCAATTAGGTACATAATAAATACTACATAATCCTTTGATATAATCGATTTTTTAGAATATTGTTTATTCATAACTTTTCTCCATGATTTTGCAAAAAAGTCGTGTGGGACTATAAGCCTATTTCGAGCCAATTCTATAGGAATAACACGCAATACATCATTCCAAACATTTATTGTCCGAATATTATTAAAAAGACATTTTACTATGTCTAAATCTATAACTATCTTGAAATCCGATAAAGATTTTAATAATAAAAGACTTTCTAAATGTGCATTCGCGACCATAAAAGCTTCCATAAACCCTATAATTGTTCCCTTTTCAACAAATGTCCTTTTTTTTTCCAGAATATGATAAATCTCTTGTACATCATTAAAACTCCCCATACACCGAACATATTCAATTATTGAATGTTTATTATCATTTATTTTCTCCAAAGATAATGCTTCATATTGACTTTGATTCCATAAAGATTTAATAAAATCATATCTATAAGTTTTGATGTTTCCAAAATTCAATTCAAAAGTTTGCCTATATAATGCAGAATAATGTTTTTCAGATAACTTCCAACAATTTTGGGTTAAAATTTCAAAACACTTCTTAAGACCGACAAAATTATCAAATAAAGAAAAACATAAAATTAAACAAATAATCGTATTTTTATGTAATTTCGCAATATTTTGTGTAAGATACTGAAAAAAATTCATAGTATTAGCACTTAAACGAACATTTAAATCTGAATGAAATTTATACTTTCTTCCAAGTCTTAAAAAAGCTAAAGCTATTTCAATTTGACATTGTTGTATTATTTGATTCTTGTGAGGATGCATAATAATAAAACTCCATAATTTATCAAATTCATAATATGTTAAAGAATAATTCGCAAGTATTTTAATAGTTTCATAATTCGGATACAAATTAAAAAATATCTTATTATAGAAAAACATAAGATATGATTCCCTTTCCTTTATATTTTTATTTAAGGAAGTTTTCTTCAATGCCATCCTCAATACATGATTCATAACTGAAAAAGGTGGAATTTGACAGTTCTTAACCATCTCTCCAAGTATATGTATAGCCTTTTTCAAATTACCTTGTATACAGCAGATTTTCAATAGATAAATTTTAACTATATTATATATATCAATTGAACATGATTCTTTTGCAAACATCATAGCAACTAAGATTTAATATTTTAATAAGCGTACAAATTTATTGAAAACTTACACATGATTTCTGGATTTTCGTATGAATATCGAACTTCTAATTTCATAATAATGATGGCAGAAATTCCCTTTAACCTTTTTTTTAAATCAGAATTAACAAGTGTTTGCAAAAAATTCTGCAAAAACATCAAGCCTTGTTTCCTTTTGTTAAGAAAATATATTTTATAAAGATAATAACGTATCAATATTTCAATCACATTTCTTGAATAAATAGAAAAAGTCAAGAACCCCAGAATCTTCTTTTCATCAAATGGTTCAAAATATTTTGCCATTTGAGAAAGTAACTATAACAAAATTAATACATATACATAACCATATTAAAATACATACAAAACATGCATTCTTTTTTTCAAATGAGTATTCGTATTTCATCTTTTTTGGCATTTTACATGTTATAATAATATTTTTATCTGATTTCTCATATAACCTCTGTAATTTACGAACTATCTTAAATTTCTTATCAGGCAAAAGACTGTCCATAGCATTTGAAAAATCCTTCAACCCATGAATAATAACATCCATATTAATACAAGGATAGAGAGCTAACTGTCTCTCAATGCCAGAATATACTGTATTTTTTCTAACATTTTGTATTTTGATACCTCGTTTATTTATATAAAAATTGTTATTTTTTCTCAGAAAAAAAAACACCATTAACCATCTACTTATTTAGAGCTGTAAAATAACCAATTTCTCATGTATTTATACTTAATTTAATATGATAAAAATCATATTAAAAATATTTTTATCGACAAGTAAAAAATTGAAAAACATTAAGATTAAAATGAACCATCATTTAGCAGTATTCGGTGGAACCGGATTTCTAGGCATGTAAAATATCTCCATATATTTATCCATGTCTTATTTGTTAAAGGTAGACATATTTGTAAAATAGCAGTTCAAAAAGGCTGGACGGTTACATCAATAAGGTATTGCTAAGAATAAAGGCTGAATAATCCAAAATTGATTTGAAAAAAAGTCGAAAAGGTGTGCTTAATAATAATCAACATGATGATAATATTTGGAGCTGGACACAACAAGTAAATTGGTGTAAAGGCGATTTAAATGATCCAATTTCTATAGAAAACCATGTAAAAAGTGCAACAGCAGTTGTATATTCTGTAGGAACCCTATTAGAAAATAGATATAAGAGTTTTTTATCTGGAAGAGATAACATATTTTCGCTTTTTCAGTTGTCTCAAGATGAAGATTTAAGTTACGACAAGTTAAATAGAGATTTTGGTAAATATTATACAAGTATATCCTATCCTTATAAACGTATAAAAAGCAATTCGTGTAGTAGATATGATATCCCAGGAAAATAAAAAGATACCTTTTGTGTATCTTTCGGCAGCAAATACATTCCCAGGTATTCCTAGAAGATATATTGAATCAAAAAGAGAAGCAGAAGATTATATATGTTCAGCTCAAAATATAAGACCTATTATTATGCGACCAGGTACCTTTTATTTATTATTATTAATATTCTTAATTGTTTATATAGGTCTTATGTATTCCAAAGAAAGACCTATTTCTTTACTCCTTGGAGGAATGATCGATATTATCTCTAATGTTAATAAGCTATTTTGTGAAAAAATACCATTTATGAATGCTGCTGCTGTAAAACCTTTAAAAGTTGAAACCGTAGCAAATGCAATAATTCAATCCATTCATCAAGAATTCAAAGGTATCGCTAATGTAGAACATATTGAAAAATTAGCATCTATGCCATAAAAAACACATTTATAATATGTGTTTTATTAAATAACTGCATAGATATATAGATATTATAATAAAAAATGTTCCCATTGTTTTTAATCAAAAATTCAGCAACTGAAACCAAAATAATATACATGTTTCAGACTGCTGTACCTCTTTCAAGACTTTCTCGAATCTCTCTTGTATATTTATCATAAAACCTAAAAAAAAAAGAATTATTTTTTTTTTAAAAATAAATACAAATACCTTGAGATTTTCCTATTGAAATTCGCATTCCTTTCATTTCTAATATTTCCATTAATACAATAAAATTAAACACTTTCCTAAAAACATACATATAGCTAACATCCTCATCATCCGGATCAATTCTTTTTCTTGATTTATTCCTCATTTCCTCCCTTCAAATATTTATAAATATAACATAAAAAAAAACACTTACTGTTTATTAAGATCCTCAATAAGTCGATCAATCGCTTTTTTACTCGGTTTATTATTTGCAAACCCAAGAAAATTCGCATCCCTATAAAATGATTCATATGTATTCCCAACCTCCATATCATTTTCATTCAACATCTCTTTATTCGCCATCACTTTTGCTCTTTCCTTCTCATACCCTTCTAAATCCGGTTTAAACTTACGCATCAATTTTTCATAACTATGTTGAGCCGCTTGTGTATAATCTATCCATTTTTTAACTCATTCCCACTCATATTTAATTATTTAAAACCTGCAAATAACGATTTATCCCGTGCTTCTTGTTTCTCTTTCATTCGTTGATCCCATCGTTCTGATTCCTCAATTGTCCAATCCCATGCCCGTTTTCGCTCATAATCCTCTCCTCTCTCTATAGACTCCTGTTTATCTAATTTCTTCTCTGCATCTTGTCTTTTAAGCTCTATTTTCCTAGCTAACTTTGGATCCTCTTTTAAACGCTGATATTCACTAAATAAATCCTTTCGGTTCGCTTCCGCCGAAAGACGCATACGTTTTCTTAATCTTATAAGCTGTTCCATACGGTCCTTAATATTTCTTCCTATTTCTTCCTTATTCTCCTGGCTTTCTACTGACTCTGATCTCTCATCTGATCCCTTGTTTTTTGGTCAAATTTCACCGTTTTTTTTCGCTTTTTTTCCTCATACCTTCAAGAACTCCTTATTTACATGGTTTTTATCTATATTTCCAGGTAATTCTCCCTTTTTTTCCTCTGTTTTTACCATTATTTCCTCGTCTCTCCTCTCAAAATTTCTGGTACGTCGGCCGATCAACCTCATGGAAAAGTGTAAAAATTAATTAAAGTGCAAAAGGCACAAAAAACAAGGTAAAACAAGGTAAAATAAGGTAAAATATAGATTTAAAGGTCATATATTAAGTATAAATAGTGTTTTATATGGCACCAATAAGCCGTGTTCCAAAATGCCAGATAATAAGACCTATTGTTATTGGTAATATTGCTATGCCATTAGGAGATAGGAAGAAACCAGATTCAGACCATACACATGCATGGACGGTCTCTGTTAAAGGGATTTATGAGGAGGATTTATCATATTTTATTAAAAAAGTGGTTTTTAAGCTTCACGATACATATCCAAATGCTACAAGAAGTATAAAAAAGAAGAGAAGAATACAGGGATTAAGGGTATTTTAGCAATTGATAAGAGTCCTTTTGAAGTATCGGAGACGGGATGGGGAGAATTTGATATTGCAATACGTATATATTTTGTTCCAGAAGCAGCAGAAAAAAGTATTAGTCTTTTTCATCGATTAAAATTACATCCATATGGACCAAACTCAGAAGTTATTAAGGAACAAGGACTTTCAGTGACAAGTTATCAATATGATGAGATTGTAAATAAATTGATGTATTTTTATAATAAGAGTTTATATATGTATAGATATTTAATGAACCTACAGAAACTATGTATGATATATTAACAAGGCATTCTCGGGCAGTTTTGCCATTAGATCGATCGCCGACGAATTTATTTAGTATGATATAAAAGAATTGAAAATGATAATTTTATAATTAACGAATAATAAGGCCAACGAACAGAACAAGAAGAGTTAGATCGTTTAGAACTTGCATTAAGAAAAGTAGAAGAAATGACGAAGGAATATAAAGAGAAAATAATTCAGTTAGAAAAGAAAAATACAAAAAATCCGGAAATATGAAGAAAAAAGATTTATTTTAATATTAAATGTATAATAAAAAATGCTAAATAAGTTTAATTAAAAAGATTATGCTTTAAAGGATTTTAAAGGATCATTTTTATTGTTAAAATATTTTGTTCTTTTTTTAAAATTAGAATGACGAGCTTTACTGATTCGATTGATATTTTTTTTATGAAAATTAACATGTCCAATGTTTTCTATAATATTTATTCTTTCTTTTTTTGGTAGTAAATAATTTGGTACATGTTTAAGATGCGGTTGAATTCTTGTTGGATGAAGCTCTTTATCATATCGAAGTTGTTGTAAATCATTTGGATTTTCGTCGAAAAATTTCTTAAGTTTTTCATTTGAAAGTACTTCCATTCTCAATTCCTTTTCTCGAGCTTCTCTTATAACTGTTCTTGTAATAGCTCTTAACGCATCTTCCATTCGGTATCGAAAAGCATTAACATGTTCCATATTAAAATTATAAGGTTTAATTGTAATTCCTTTAATTTCCTGGTCTTCTTTTATCTTTTCAAATATAGATTCATCATATTTCGCAGTTTTTAATAATGCATTTTTATGTTTTCCCCATAGTTTTTCTGGTACAATAAATGAAATAACCATTCCACTTTTATTCGCTCTGGCTGTTCTTCCAGATCGATGTATATATGATTTTACAGTAGTTGGGAGATCAAAATTAAATATACAAGCTACGTCTTTAAAATCAATTCCTCGAGAAACACCATATTCATTGTCTTTATGTGTTTTCTTTCGTTTCTTTAAGACACCATTATCTTCTTTTTTTGAAATTATTTTTGCTGATTCATTTATATCTTCTTTTAAAATTATTTATTTAAAATTCAAATAGAAAAGTACAAATTTACCTTGTATATCATCTATAGAATCCGATTCTTTTGATAAATTGTTTTCATCTGTTGCTAATATGATATCATATACATTTTTATTAAATTCCTCAATAGTATGTAAACGAGAATTAATAGGAAGTTCTGAATTCAAAACACAACTCCTAATGCCAAATTGTTCCAAAAATAATTTTACCTTATAACATCTATCTATATTATTAACAAATATAATGATTTTCCCTTTTATAAGCCGAAGTTTAAGTATAACATATATAAGAAGAAATTTTTCATCTTCACTACATCTATATGAGATTAAAAAAGAACCAATATAAATATTTAATAACACCTTACACTATATTGAGAAAGATTTGAATGTGAATCCTTCTCTTCTAATTTTAAAATAATAGGATCTTTACAAATCACTCTTTTTAATTTATCAAGATCCTCTACAAATGTTGCAGTTGTTAAAAGCATCTGAACACTCTTAGGTATATACTTCATAATATTATCAAAGTCTTCTGAATATCCATATGATAGAATTAGATCAAACTCATCAATAACAAAATGTAATAAACTTTCTTGAATACGAAGATTTGAAGAATTCAAATGAACTATAATTCTAGATGGTGTACCAACAACTATCTCAGGACATTCAGATATTAATATTCTTACATATCGTCAACATAAAACAACAATGTTATACATAAAAATATTTTCTTCTCTACCTTGCTGCATTGTCTGAAATATTAGCTGCCAAATTAACAACCCTTATAATCTTTCCACAATAAAACGTAAGTTCTTTAACATTATTTGTAACTTGATTAGAAAGCTCTCTTGTAGGAACAATTATTAATGATCTTGTCTCTGATTCTTGATGAGACTGATCTATTTTAGACTTTTTTCCCCAAAAAAATGTATTACTTGTTTATTTTTTAAAATATTCTCAATAATAGGAATTAAATATGCCGCTGTCTTTCCTGATCCTGTACGTGCCTGTATAAAAAGGTCTTTCCCTTCTAAAGCCAAAGGAATTACTTGGCTTTGAACATATGTAGGATTACGAAACCCCAATTTTAAAACTGCCTGAGTAATACGAGGATCCAAACCTAATGATGAGAATGTATTCTGCTTGTCTGAATGGTTTTCCTTGTATTTTTTATCATGTTCTTTATCCATCAGATCAAGATTTTTCTATAAGGTGGTTACTGTAGTAACAGACTGACTAAATTAAGGCACAAATGATTTAAAGACTTTTAAATAATTAATCTGTCTTGAGTCCTTTTATCTTTGTATATTTTTCCAAAATTATTGTTTAATTTTATATTTTTTATTATTTATTTATCTTTAAATATATAATATAATAAAAGCATCATTTTTAAAATATTTTATATAATTTTTATTAGGTTATAACTTATTTAATCCAAATCTATGTTTAAAGAGTGTATTTTATATTTAAAAAGGATATAAATATTTTTTAAATAGAAAAAACATGTAATTAGATTTTTTGAAACAAAAAAATAAACTATTTGATAAAAAAGATGAATTTTAAGAAGACAGTGATGATATTTTTTTAAAAATACATGCAATAAAACTAAATGTACTTTTATAAATAATAAAAAAGTTCAAATATATTAAAGTTTATAAATAAATCGTCACTTTAATTAATGTTTATGAATATTTCTATATAATTGAAAATATAGTATATTACTATTCTTACATAAAAAAAATACAAACATATTAATATTTTTAAACTAAACAATATACATACATATATATTGTCCTATATTTAATTGCTATTCATCCTTATTTTTCTATTTTTAATAACTTTTTTAAAATAAATATACTAATTCATTAATTTATCATTTTCAAACTCAAATTTTCAACAAATACTTTTTTATAAAACTATCCTTTTAAATAATATTAAGAAAAAAGCTTAAATTTTAACATTCTACTTCTTAATATACTTCTTTTTTACTAAAACTTTTTTTAAATTCTAATTTACAAAAACAAAAAAAATACATCATTCAATTATAACTAATTATTTTATATAAAATTAGTTTTAAACTTTATAAAAATATCCATTGTATCTCTTTTATTATTTAAAAATTTGAAATTTTTATCTTTTTGCTTTAATCTTTAATTTAAAGCAATTATTATTGATATCTTTTAAAAATAATCAAAGCTAAGCACTATATTGATATCATATAAATTATATTAAGATTATGTTGACATTATATTAATATTATTAACATTATACTAATATTATTAACATTATATACATCATACCAACATTATATAGATTATATTAACATTATTACCATCACACCAACATCACACCAACATCACACAAACATCATATACATTATACTAAATAAATCTTCATTCATCTCTTTCCAACTTTAAAAAACATCTTTAATAAAACATTCAAAACTTTTAAAACATCCTTTTAAAACTTCCTTTCAAACATCCTTTCAAACTACTCCTTCTTCACTATTATTCCTTCATATTTATTTCATTAAAAATATTTTTATTAAATACTTCACTTATTTACATCTTTTAAAAAAAAAAACACTTCTATTCTACATGTATATCTATTTCTTACAATCTTTATTACACCATAAACACCTAACCCCCTATTAAAAACAAAAGGATGTGGTAATCCACGGCCTTATCGGAATTCGACAGCAAGCTCAGGGACACGGAAAAAAAAAGATACGGTGTTTTCAGCCGGATAAAGGCTCAGTTCTGAGGATTTCGGAGCAGGTAAAGGGCCGAACAGGAGGCAGAAGAAGCATCCATGCCTTATATGCCGCCGTCATGTAGTTCCTTGAATAAAACAACAACATCTTTAAAATGTAGAGTTGAAGAAAAAATTGAAAAGGAATATAATGAGAAAAATACAAGTAAATAAAGTATATTAGAAGCAAAGAAGTGATAACTAAGGGTAATGATAGTTTTATTGAAAGAGGAGTGGAAGGAGTTGCCGGAAAGGAGGTTTTCTATGCCATCAAAACAGATGAAAGAAGATATGCATAAATATGAAGAGAGAGACGTAAAGAAAAGGGGAGAATATATACAGGAAGCAGCATATAATGTGGTAGAAAATAATCAGGAGCACTTATCTAATAAAGAGAGAATGGAAGAAGTATATAAATATAAAGATGAACGAGAAGAGTGGAATAAAAAAGAATGGATATTGAGGGAGATAAATGAGGAAAAACAGGAATCTCAGAAGATATCTAATTATTTAAGAAAGGTATCGTCAAGTCCGTCATTTGAATCTACATTATTAGCATATAAAAACGCAACAAAGGAATCGAATCGATCAACGAAATCAAATCCAACAAAAAATACAGAAGGGCAAGAAGATTGTAATAGACAGAAAGTTGTTAGAAAGAAGAGCGGGGAATTAGTGAAATCATCATTAAAGTCGGAAAAACATAAACGTCCACAATCCATGCCATCAACGCCAATTATGCACAAGAATGTACAATTTGCAACGAAATTAGAAGAAATTAAGCATTTTTCTCAAGCGGAAAAGCCAGAAGAAGTAAGTAGAAGTGGATTACTAGACGAAACATATCAAGATACATATGAAATGGCATTTGATTCTGATTTATATGATCTAAGGAAAGAAAAGAATTCGAATTTGACAATTGAATTGGTAAATTTCGAGAATAGTAAGGTATTATGTTTGTCACAAAATGTTCAACTGGAGACGGTATATCTATCATCAGATAAGAAGCGTTTATTAGGAAGGGTTGCAGTGAGAAATATATCATTCGAGAAAATTGTTGGAATTAGATTTACAATGGATTTTTGGCAAACAATATCAGAAATAAATGCTGAATACACGGATGATATATTAACGAAACAATATAAAGATGATCTTGATAGATTTGTTTTTAATATTAAGCTACACGAACTGATGAATATCGAGAACAAGACTCTATATCTTTGTGTACGATATAAAATTCCAGGGGAAGAATTCTGGGATAATAATTCAGGCATGAATTATAAAATAGGCTTTAAAAGAGAATTTAAAACACAAACACGTCCTTCTACTCATTTTCCGGCTTTTTCTTTAAGAAATCGATATTTAAATGATGATGATTTTAATACAGGATTAGATCCTCGTTTATCTATATTTCAGTTATATAAAAACGATCCATTTCACATGTCTCCAATTAATGATGATACAAATACCAAACAATTATCACGTAAAAAGGATAATTTCAGCAATATTTTTTCAAATCGATATGACTTTAGTACTTCGCTTACAGCAGCTATTAAAGCATCTGGTACTACGAATTATAACGAAAACAAAAATAAAGATTCTAAAACGAAAGACCCTAATTCTTATGAAGATTCCATAAAAAACGTAGACTTATATTTTTCGAATCTACTTTTAATAGATAAACCATTAACTAAGAGTCAGAGTAATATATCTTTTGGAAATGATATTTCAAATACCCTTTCATTAAATGATACCAAATTATCAGTATCTTTTCAAGAAAACAAAGCTGCACGTGACTTATTCAAGGGAAGTTCGAAACCATCTGTAGATTCTGTTTTATACCAAAATTTTTTAGATAGTTATTGCTTTGTAAGTATTTCACTTTTTTAGATAAAATTCTTAAATATTTAGTTTAGAGGATCCGATAAATTAAACACTCAGGATTCCGAATATATAGCGCATACGGACGAGAATCCTAGGAAAAATATTCCTCCAATATCTCATAAAAAATCTAGTTCAACCAGTTCTTTATCATCTTTAAATGAATTCATTCCAATTTCTTCGCTTTCCGAGTCATCTTTATTTTATTCTCAATCTTCATTATCTTCTATACCTTCAGTTGATAGTGTATCAAATATACAACAACCTTCTGAATCGAAATCATCAATTGACCTTTATTATAATCATATAATTAATTCATCACTTACTCTCGATACACCAGGAGGCACTCTTACCGCCATACGGACTTGATATTAGTAATATTCTAAAGACTTTTATTTTTTGCGGATATCTATGATATTACTTCTTTTAGTTTTTCTTTTTTACTTGCATTTTCATTAAAATGCAAATTTTAAATTATAATATAGGATTTTGCATAAATTGTTCTAATACTTATTTTTTCATGTCTTTACTAGACATATGTTAACTGTTTATAATTTATTTACAAAAAACAATTCGTATATTTTAGCTTTTTAAGAATTCATTAAAACTTATGCCTATTTCCCTAAAAATTAGAAATTTCCATATAAACATAGGGATTTATCTAGGCATATTCAATCTAAACTTTCATTTATCTCTTAATCTTCCTTTACTATAATAATTTTCTTTTTTTCTTAAAAAACATATTAAATTCTCCCAATTACAACTATATCATAACATGTCTTAAAAATATATAAAAAAATACTATTTTTTAGAAAGAAATCTAATCAAACCAGACAAAACAATTTCCTCTGGTTTTTTTTAAAAACAATTCAATAAAAATTAAAACATATCTTCATTCAAACAACAAAAAAAAACTTCTCTTCTTAATAAAATACAATCATATAAAGAACTTTTCTTATAAAAAATAATAAATACTTGTATAATAAAACAATCTCCCTCTTTTTACATATATTATTAATATATTAACAACCAGAGGCAGATCGAAGGAAAAAATGACAAAGATTAACACATCATGACAGAGCTTAGTTGTTACTGGGACTTAGCATCAGAAGACCCAGAAATACGTAGTAAAGCTACTATAAAGCTTATTGAAGGGGTTAAATTAGCAATTCCTAAGGATGAAGAAGATAAGAGTTTAGGAACATCAAAAAAATCTATAGAAAATGTTTTAGGAGAGAAGGGAATGTACGCACTGACTAGATTAATTAAAGGCCTTTCTAGCAGCAGAGAATATAGCAGACTGGGGTTTTCTACGGCGTTATCAGAGGTGGAAAGAGGAGATTTTTTAAGAAAGATCTGATTATGTAGTTTTTGTTAGAAATAAAGGGTCTAGATGCAGGAGAAATTATTGAATTAATTGAGAAATATAATGGGGAGAAGGGGAATTATTCAGCACAAGTAGAATTTAGAGAATAAATGGTATATATTAATAATTGAAGGAAGAAAGAGATTTTTTATTTGGAAAATTATTTGGTATGAAAGCAATTGTGGTTTCTAAGATACTTGAAAGGACGGGATGTATTGAGAAGATAGAGAAAGTGGTAGAAATATTGATTGAAATATCATTAAAAAAAAGATGGATGAGGGAACCAAGTTTTTATGTAATAAACGATATATTAGTTCAGTTTAAGGAATTTTCTCAGTCTGAGGAAGTCTATAGTAGAATTCTTAAAAAAATATGTGATTCTGGGATGTCTAAGACATTAGAAGGGGTAGCAATAATATTAACGATTGATAAATATGTAAGAAAATTATTTTTGAAGATTTATAGTGTATAAACATTAATGGATGGTTTAGAAGGATTTGAAGTCTATTGGGGATACTCAATGGAGTCCTTTAAATCCTCTTGATTCATCTAATTTGGAGGAACTAGCTAAAGTTTTAAAAAATGATAATATTAATTCAGAAACAAAACAGAATGTGAGTTGGAATACAAGATCACATTTTGTTTGGAATATAATTATAGAAATGTACACATCAGAAGCGAATAATTCAGTGAATTCATCATTTTTAGAATTTTGGACTAAAGTTATTGATGGTAAATAATAATGATAATAATAATGATTTTATTATTATTTTAACAAATATCCAGAATCCTTTTTTTCAGCTACATCATCTCTTGAAAAAAAGTTTTTAGGATTTCAAGTATTTAATATGGCATTATCTAAAATTGAAAATTCAGATATTGTCCATTTATTTTCTAAAAATTTCATGCGTTGCTTTATAAATCATTTATCAGATGAGGATAGATATTTGAACAAAATTTCAAACAAAGTGGTACGTTATATATATATATAGTATTATAATATACATATAAGTATAACAGATTTCATGTATAATTTCAACGGCTAATACTGAAAAAAAAACTATTCTTCCAATAATTAAGTCTCTTCTAGGGCCTTTAGGAGCATTAAATTTTGATAAAATTACAAAAACTAAACTTATAGAATCTTTAATTTCTTTAGCAGATGAAAACAGTTTATGGGATATTTTGCAACTGTTAAAAACAATTACATGTTCACCGTACTCGAAAAATGAAGATATAGATCAGAAACGTCAAATTTCAATTGATATAATGCTTAGTATTTTAAGAAACAAGAAATGCAATAAAAGTAATGAATGGATAATAGATTATATAACATTTTTCGTAACTTACGGATATTTTGAACCTAAAGTAATGAATTATTGAAATATTTTTATTAAAATTAATTATTCTTAGTTAAAAGATTTTGAACATCCATTTTCTACTAATACAAAAACTGTATTAAGATCTCGTCTTTCATCATCTCTTGCATATTTAAACTCTAAGGATCACTCTATAGAGTCTAATAAAAATTCACAAAAACAATTTTTTTGGCCATCTTTTACTATTGAACTAATTATTTCATTATCTGAATCAGAAAAATATAATTTATCAGTAAACATAGATTCAAAAATTCTTAAAATTAGAGATAAATCCATAAAAATTTTTAAAAAGATTTTAGTAAAGGTAAATTTACTATATTATAAAGAATATACTCAATAATTTTAGAAATCTAATTCAGAAAAAAAGACAGCACAAGAACTACTTGCTTTTGAATTGTTATATTCCTTATCTATTTTGCAACTTTATAACGAGGATCCAGAAGCTAGTTCAGTTCTTGAAGTATTTTTTACAATATTTAAAATAAAAAATAAACGTTGATCAAAATATAGGAACTTAAAATCTGTTATAATAATCTTTTCAAAGAAAAAACAAAATCATCAGAAAATACAATTGAGATTCTTACTGATATTCTTTTGGGATTTTTGTCTAAACATTCTATTTTATTTCGAAAATTAGTAGAACAGACATTTAGATATATTTCAGATAAAATAAATTATAAATGTCTGTCATTATTGATAAATGTTACCATTATTTTTACTTATATTAATATCTAACATTTTATTAGGTTCTTCAAACAGATGAGAATTCAGATAAGAATAATACTCTATTTGAAGAAATTACTTCAGATGAGGATTATAATAATATAGACAATGATTCTAAATCATTAAATAATGAGGATAAAACGAATACAGAGGATGATTTTAACGATATAATTAACGATATTAAAAAAGACAATGTATTTAAAAAATCTCTAGATATTTCCTCAAATATTTCTAATGAAGATGTTGAAAATGATTCTGAAAAGTCTATAAATGATGAAGAGATGTTAGAATTAGACAAACATATAGGAAATATGCTAAAAAAAAGAAAGAAAAAAAACAAAAACAAAAAGGTTGATCTTAAAGAAAATATTATAAATTTTAAAAGGAAAGTTCTGGATATATTAGATATTTTTTTGGAACTACGTAACGAAGATCCAATAATTCTTGATTTGATTTTACCATTATTAACTTTAATACGTACTACATCATCTGATATTATTTCAAACAGAGCACGAAATTTAATTGGAAATAAATTATGTAAAGCAAAAATCAATTTAAACGAAATTAAAATTGAATACGCTTTTGATATTCTTAAAAAAATACATGAAGATGTATTAAAAATGAAAAAAAGAGGTACAGGAATGCCTCATAGTCAATCTAGCATATTTCTTGTTAAAATTATTATCTTTAAAGATATAAATTATATAGACCAAATACTAAAAATATATTCTGCAACATTTAATACATGGATAACAAAGAAAAAAATCAAACTTCAAGCATCATTATTTACTGATCTGATAAATTGGGGAGCTCAATTCAGACAAAAATAAAATAGGTTTACATTTTATATAATACAAAATATTAAAAATATATATAACTATTTTAGAAAAATATACATTTCGTATATACATTTTTTTGGAGATTTTAAATACTGTTATATATTTTATTTAAAATTTCAAAAAGCAATATATTTATAAAATTCAAAGGAATTGATATTTTTTATAAACAAAATTTTATACTTTTACAAAAGACTCCAAATTCTTCAAATATAATATGTTGTTTAAGCCATATATTTACTATAATTGTAGAATTTGAATATCTACAGAAAATTGAAACATAACTTTAATATATATATTTCATTATTCATATTTTTTAATGAAATTCATTATTAACAATAACAAAATCTATACTTATTTATATACTAACTTTTGTATATAAAAATTATAGTAATAAAGATAAAGATTTAAATATTTAATTTTCTAAAATCATAAAAAAATACATAAAACCAAAATATATTACAACATAATATGCTTAAAGACAAAAAATAAGCTAATTTTAGAAAATATTAGATAGAAATTCAAGAGTTTTTTGTCTTAACCAAAACTTTTCCAAGCAAACTTTTAACAATCTTAATTCTTTAAAAATTAATTAAAAATATACATAAATTCATCCATAAAAACAAAATACTTATATAACTGAAACGAAACATTCAGATTTAATATTTTCTCTATAAAACAATTTAGATTAATATATTTTCTTAAGAAATAGATTAATTATTTTTCTTTAAAAAATTATTTACTTTTTCTTTTTTTAGACGCTTTAATTTTTTGTTTCTTTTCAGCCTTATGCAATTTGTGTTTCCTACGTTCTTTATTTATTTCTTTAACTTGAGTTTTACGTTCCTATATATTGAATCAAATAATAATTTAATAAAGTATTAATAAATACCTTTTTTACATTTTTATCTTCAAACTTCTTTAATCTTGAAAGACTAGGCTTAGACTCATCATTTTTATTAAAATTGCCATCCAATATAGAATCAGTTTTATCATAATAATCTGATTCAATATCGTTATCTATTTCAGATTCTGAAGAAATATTAATTAATCTCTTGTATAAAAGACTATCTCCATTTTTGTTGTTAATTAATTCTATATCTTTTTCCTCATCATTAACTTGATTAAGCGTTTGGGGAATATATGAATATTTGAATACCATATCTTCTTTAAAATCAATTGACTCTTGAAACTTCTCCGAACTCTGCATCTCAATCAAAGTCTTTTCAATTTCCTCTTTAGTCGTTCCACCAGAGTCAGATATGACAAAATCAAATATAGCTTTTGCATTGAAACATGTTACACCATTTTTTCGAAAAAAATCATTAATATTAGTAATATCCATTCGTAAAAAATCTAAACTATGAGGATGATTATGTTCAACCGATTGTGATACATCAATAATATATAAAACTTTCGAATGATATCTATTCAACAAGTTAATAATAATAAAAAACAGAAAGAAAGAAAGACAAAATATTATATTCTGATAAATCAGAATGTACCAAATGACAAACTTGATATATGATTCGAATATAACATAACAACTGAAAATACAAATCGGGATATTTGTTGCTTGATATATTTGCATCTTTAAGACGTGGATATGGCCTAATTTATCAATTAAAATCAAAATTATTTTTTTAAAATACCAAGAGTCATTTCCTCCAAGAAAACTCATAACAAGAACATGCATACGAAGATACAATGGTTCAGGACAGGGAATTCCTGCCTGATATAATCTTTTTAAATTTCGCATTTCTTTTTCTGCCCAAAGTTTCACTTTTTTTCTAGGATTATGTCTACTATAATTATGTCGAAACCTATATTCACCAGATACATAACGATCTCTATTCTTAAAGACCAAAATAGATGTTTTATAGACTTTAATAGCTCTTTGTTCCCCACTTTCAGTAACCGCATGATAAACATTTGCCTCTTTACCAGTACTTACACATCCATTTATCTTGTATATTATCCCTTTATTTATTAATTTAAAAAGGATAATCCGTGTCCTTAAATCCAAAACTTGTTCTGTTGTTGCTCTATCCGACTTATCTTTTGATATTTTGACTCTAAAATATAAGAAAAAACTAAAAAAAAACGCAAATAGACTTTTCATCACATGGATAATAATCCTTAAAATTCAATCGGCTCATATATTTGTTCAAAACATCCACTGTTTCAATGTTTGACTTATTTTGAGAATTCCCTTCTATACCACGAATATTTACTCTTGGAACCCCTCTGGAACCATCAAAACCATCCTTTGACATCTGGATAATATGTCTTTGGCGATTATACTGCTTCGTAAAGTCTAATAATACTTCAATTATTAAAAAAAATTCCTCATCATTTTAACCCCTATTTCTCCCAATTTCTGTCCAATCTTCGTCGTTCAAATCGCTCTCATCATATTCCTCATCACTCCCAGAGCTCTCAGGCATATATCCATCGCTATCACTATCATCTTCATAGCTTGCTATCATCTTATTAATACTAACTAAAAAAATCCTCTAAAAACATACACAGATCACCAAAATTTACGGGATTTTTTGTAAACCTTGAATCATTGACCGATTCCATACTGTTTCTACTCTTTTATATACATTTTTCTGCGTTTTTATAGTCAAACTAATGAATCATAAATTTTTATAAAAAATGGAGGTTTATGATCTCAACGTCATCAAAAAGACACGAAAAAAAAATCAATGAAACGCGGTTAATTAAACATTTAAACATAGATAAATGTATATAAAACAGGTAGGAACAATAAGAATGATAAGAATGCCTTTTTTCCGGTTTTTTTTTGACCAAAATTAGATTACTATTCAAGGTTTTAAGTCATATAAAGATCAGACGGTAACAGAGATCTTTAGCCCGAGATATAATGTCATTGGTATTATCAGAGCCATTGTATAAAGTGTATTATATCTGATTAATACGTTTAGTTGGGAAAAATGGGTCAGGAAAAAGCAATTTTTTCTCAGGTGTTTTATATAATAAAAATGAGAAAACGAGCTAATAATATAGCTATCCGGTTTGTTTTAAGTGATGCATATACGCATATGGGGAGGGAGGAACGCCAGGCACTTCTTCATGTATATATGAATGAAGGAGGGTTTATAAGATTAACAAAAATATAGGAAGGAGCAGGGCCAACAGTGATGAGTGCATATGTAGAAATAGTTTTTGATAACACAGACAATCGATTTCCTGTATAAAATTTAATATTTTTTTTAATTGAAGTAATATTTGTAGACAGGGAAGGAAGAGGTAGTTCTTCGAAGGACTATAGGTCTTAAAAAAGATGAATATTCATTGGATAAAAAGAATGTCAAGTAAATTAGGGGAATTACATGATTTTTTTTTTAAATTATTATAGTAAATCGGATGTAGTGAATCTTTTAGAAAGTGCGGGATTTTCTCGAAGTAATCCATATTATATAGTTCCACAAGGAAGAGTATGAAACTATATATATATAGAATTGAGGGATGGGACTTAATTTAATAGATAACAGCATTAACAAATGCTAAAGATTCAGGAAGATTGGCATTACTTAAAGAAATTGCAGGAACGCAAGTTTATGAGCAACGTAGAGCAGAATCTTTAAAGATTATCGAAGAAACAATGGTTAAAAAAACGAAAATTGACGAATTGCTTAAATATATTGACGAGAGATTAAATGAGTTAGAACAAGAAAAAAATGAACTTAAAGAATTTCAAAAAAAGAATCGAGAACGTCGTTGTTTAGAATATACTATTTATTCTAGAGAACAAGAAGAAATTAATAAAGCTCTTATTAATATAGATGAAGAAAGAATTAAAAATATTAATTTGAACGAGGACAAATGTGATACATTTATAGAAAGAGAGCATCAGATTCAAGTATTATTTTATCTGTTGTAAATAATATTTTAATTTTATCATAGGAAATTAATAAAAATATTACTATAATAAAGCAACAATTGCATTTATTAAATATAGAAAAGTCACAGGCAGAAGAAGACAAACACTCTAAAATCAAAGAAAAGGCACAATTGGAATTTATTGCACGAAATTTTAAAGAATCAGATGAGGAACTTGAAAGTTCGAAAGATATTTATGAAAAAAAATTAGAAAGTCTTGAAAATGAAATAAAAGAGAAAGAAACACATCTTCAATCGGTTCTTTTGGAGTTTCAAGAAGCAAAAAATAATGAAATGCAGATAAAAAATAAGTATGATTTTCAAAATATATGTTTTTTTATGAAATTTTTTTAGACTTGAAAATGCTCAAAATCAACAGAATTTACTATATTCTAAAAGAGGACGTTATTCACAATTTAAAAACAAAAATGAACGTGATATATGGTTACAACAAGAGATTTCAGATCTGAAAGAAAGTATTAGAAAAAGAAATCAAACTAAAATTGAATTAGAAGAAGAACTAGAAACACTTAAAAAAAAAATCAATGATATCTCGAAATCTACAAAATCTATTAGAGAGGAAATTGAAAATAGATCGCAAATGTTAAACAATATTTCAATTGAACATTCATCTGCTAAAATAGTTCGTGATCAATTAATGGATGAGCGAAAGTAATCTTAATTTATTGTTATTATTTATTGTTAATATTTTTTAGGGAATTGTGGCGGCAAGAAGCTAAATTGGGTTTAACAATAGAACACATTAAAGAAGAATTAAACCATGCCCAAAAAAATTTGATAAATACAATATCTAGAGATATAAATTATGGTTTAACTAATGCCAAGAAAATTGCAGAGAGACTCGATTTAACGGGTTATTATGGTCCATTGTATGAATTATTCGAAGTGGATGATCGGTACAAAACTGCTGTTGAGGTTACAGCAGGAAATAGGTAAGTCTTTAGTCTTTTTATTATACTTTTATAATTATTATAGTTTATTTCATGTTGTTGTTGATAATGAAGATACTGCTTCTAAAATTATTGATATTTTGAATAAAGAAAAGGGAGGCAGAATTACTTGTATGCCTCTTAATCGTTTATCTCCAAGGCAGGGGAATTATCCTGATGCACCTGATGCTATACCAATGTTAAAAAAAATAACATATGACACTAAATACCAGAAGGCATTTGAACAGGTATGTATATATTTATATAGAAATAAATTTATGTATATATAAAGGTTTTCGGAAAAACTATAATTTGCCCAACTCTTGACATAGCAGCTCAATATTCCCGTAGTCATAATATCACAGCAATAACATTAAGTGGTGATAGATCTGATAAAAAAGGTGCATTTACAGGAGGGTTTCATGATATTAGGAAATCTAGGTTAGAGGCAGTAAAATCTGTTAAAAAATTTCAACAAGCTTATGAAGAAAATAACTCTTCAATTGTTCAAATCAAAAAAATACTTGAAGAAATGGATCAAAAAGTTACACAACAATTGTCAAAAATACAAACTTTGGAAGCGAAAAAACAACAAATTGAAGGAAATTATAATCCACTCAGAATAAAACTTTCAGCAACTCAAAAAGAAGAAGGAATTCTGGAGCAAACATTATTAAAAAAAGTAAAAATACATTATTCTAAGATATTTTATGATTTAATTTTTATAGCAATCACTTTTAAATGATGTTGATTTTAGTATAAATTCATTAAATTCTCAGTTATCATCATTGCAAGATGAAATGAAAATTGAATTTAAAAAAACATTGACGCAATCAGAAGAAGATACCCTTGAAAATTTAAACAAAACTATAGATTCTATTAAAAATACGTATGTTAATCATAACGTAAAAAGAACACAATTAGAACAGCAAAAGATTAAATTAGAGAATGAACTTCATGAAAATTTATATTTGCGCCTTGATCAATTAAAGACACAAAGTTTTATAAATGATGATGTAGATGTCAATATGGATGAAACGAAACAAAATATTTCTCATGTTCAAGATACTATAGACACTATTACTAAAAAACTTAACGACATTGAGCTTTCTATTGACCAATTGTCTACAGAATTGCACGAAAAAAGCGAAGAAAAAGCATTGCTTCAGGTATGGATTCTACAATATAAATTCTTAATATTTTAATATTTTATTTAGAATAAACAAAATGATGAAGCTAGAACTATAGAAAAATACCAAAAAACTTTAGAACGTAACATGGCAAAAAGAGCTTTATTGCTTCAGAATAAAGAAGAATGCAATAAAAATATAAGAGATTTAGGAGTACTTCCAGAAGAAGCTTTTGAAAAGTTTTCTACCACTGAATCAAATACGGTAAATACCTTTTTGTTATTGAATATATGTCTAATTTATAAGATTGTTAAACGGCTTCACAAAGTAAATGAGGCACTTAAAAAATTTAGTCATGTTAATAAAAAAGCTTTTGAACAATATAATAGTTTCATTAAACAGAGAGATGCTCTTTTAGCTCGACGAAAAGAACTTGATGAATCTCAAGCATCAATTGAAAATCTTATTTCAGTTCTTGATCAGAGAAAAGATGAAGCTATAGAAAGAAATTTTAAACAAGTTTCAAAGAGTTTTTCAGAAGTATTTGAGAAATTGGTCCCTATAGGAAAGGGACGACTTATTATGCAACGAAGAATTGACCATGCAGAAGATAGAGATCATGATGAATATAATAAGGGAGAAGCACAGTACAAAAGTCCAGTAGAAAATTATGTAGGCGTTGCTATTAGTGTGTCTTTTAACAACAAAGAAGGTGAACAACGAATACAGCAATTGAGTGGTGGACAAAAGAGTTTATGTGCTCTTGCACTAATTTTTGCTATCCAGCGTTGTGATCCAGCACCATTTTATCTTTTAGATGAAGTAATTATTTTTTTTACTTTTTATAATAATAAAAACTAAGCCTTTTAATAGGTCGATGCAGCACTAGATGCTCAATACCGCACAGCTGTAGCAACAATGCTTCATGAAATGTCAGATAATGGACAATTTATTTGTACAACATTTAGACCCGAAATGATACAAACTGGTGATAAATTTTATGGTATTGTTTTTAAAAACAAAGTTTCAAGCATTCAATCAATTGAAAGAGAAGAGGCATTGGCATTCGTCAAATCAGTAATTTTCCTAAAAAAAGAGAAAGACAACTAATTTTTTTCTAGGAAGCACTTCAGTAATTCAAATTATAAAAATAAAATTATTATTGAAAAATATATTAAATAATCTTAGTTTATATTTTCAATATCAAGTCATAATTGAATAATATTCGAACATATGTCTGGGCTATATGAATTTAATTATAAATATTGCTTTTTAACGAAGAAAAACAGATTTAGTTTATTGTATATGGTATTTTTAGAGTTATGTTTAGTATTATATTATTAAATTTTCTTAAAAATTATTTGGCTTTAGCATAATTTATTATGTGATCAATAGTTTATTTATACATATGAACTTAGAATATTTCCATTATTTCTGATTTAGCACCAAGTATATTACTTAATTTCTTCAATTTAGATTTAGTTTGTGATATATGTTGCTCTCTAAATTAATAGTTATATACATGTAATCTAGAAAAATAAACTTACTGTTCATCTAAAATCAATCGTATTTGATTTATTTGAGACATTGTAACAGGTTCATGAAGCTTATCCTTAGAAGAAAGATCAATTGCAGGTTTATTATGAGCTCTTTCTAATTTTATTGCTTCGAATTGTTTTGAAAGCTAAATATTTAATATAAAGTTCTTGATAAATAAGGTAACACTTACAGATAATATTTTTTCATTAAAACCCCTACTTCCATATGTTTTCATTTTTATTCTTTTCAATTCATCAAACCATTTTTTTTCATTATCACTTAATGTTGGAGAATGACTTTTAATTAATTTCTGCAAGATTTGATCGGCTCTTTTCTGAAGATTCTTTTGATTATTAATAGCATCCTTAAGTCTTTCGGATGAATTTTTAGAAACTATACTGTCTACCTTATTTTTTAAAACATATAATTTTTCCAATTGTCTCATAAACTCCCGTCCTTGAAGTTCTAGTCTTTAGAATATCAATCTAGAAACATCTATACAAACAAAATACATACCTGCGATACATAGAAACTACTAAATTGTGAAGTTTCTCTGTATTTTTTCTTGTTTCAAGAGTTACTTTCCCCAAAAATCGCAAGAATTCCTGAGAAACAACAAGCTTATTCTGAAATTCATCAGGAATGATAAAAGAGGGAACCTCTTTTAGAAAATTAAGTGATTCCATAGAAACTAAATAAACCGGTAATGTAAGTAAAGAGAAATATTTTAAATGATCATTTTTCCCGGAAACACTTGTGTCTTTAGAGTTAGATTCTTCCAATGCATTCCCTAGTTGTATTTGATTCGTAATATCAAGTTCAATTAAAGTACAATTAAATGCAGTTGACCAAAAAATAAGAGAATGCCCAAAATATGCATGAGTTAAAAAATCACAGCCTATTATAGTAGGAGATGAGCTATAATTATTAGTAATTACATAATAAATTAATAAAATTTACTATGATAAAGAATTCATATCAATTAATTTAGAAATAGATGAATGTTGTATTCCTTCAGATAAAAGGAAAGCAATAGATGTTACTTCAATATTATCATTTTTTTCTAACTTTTCAAGCCATCCTAAGACCACAGAATAGATACAGGTTTTATAATAAAAATAAAACGTATTAGTCTTTGTAACATCTTGTATAAGAAATGTATTTAGAGCAACATTTTCTCTAGAATCACATGCATTTTTTGAATCCAAAACTGTAATAGTTTCATAAGTCGCTAGATAATTAACTGGAGGAGGAAATTCCTCATCCTATAAAACTTTAAAATATGTAATATTAAAATAAATATTTTACTTTACTCAAAACCCATTTTGGTTCCACTCTTTCAACCTCTACACAAACATCTATTTTGCCATCTGCATAAGAAATAATTAATATACCAACAACATTTGTTCCTAATGTAATAATATTAGAAGCTGTAACATGTTGTGAAGAAAATTCCAATGGAGCAGGCTGAAATAAAAATGGTCCTTGTATTAATACAGGAAATTTAGAAATATTTGGACGACGAAATGTAACCAAATCTTGCATATCAAGATTTTGTGATAATGGTGAACCTAATCCATAGTCATTGATAAGTGAAACTTGTCCCAATATATCAGATATCCACCGTGTCTGCATACGTATACTTTCGTTTTCAAGGGAAATAGAGGAAGTGCTATCTTTACTCTTTTCTAGTTGTTGTGACTTTGTAGAAATATAACATGCAAGACGATTTAAATATGAACGCTGAACCATACTAAATATTTTAAATATAATAACAAATACAATCAATTCCTTTACCAATTCGTTGGTACCAATGGACATATTGAGTATATATCTCCATTTTGAAGAAGAACATAAAGCGTAAATAAAGACCATTCATTTGCCTTTGAATCAAAACAAAAATCAGATACCTGAAAAACATCTTCATCAACAATAAAAGATCCCTTTTTCCTTGTCCTCCCTGTTCCTGAAATAAGATCAATTGACTGCTCTGACTCTTCAAAACTCAATGACAATTCAAACACTCTAATTACTAAATAATACATCAAATAAACATATTATATAATACCGAATAACCGCATCTGAAGATAATACTAAAATTGTAGAAAAATTCTTACTTGCTGGATGAAATAAAACAGATACAATTTCTATTTGACTATAATATTTACGTCCAACCTCATTAACTCTAAAATTATTAATATCCCCTCAAAAAAAAAAACAAAAATATCCCTTAAAGAATTCTCTTCAAGCGAATTTAAATATGTTGGAAGAAAAATCGTCGCTAAATCATGACTTCCAACTACTACTAAAATAGTTCCACACATATTAATAATTAAACGCTCAATATGAAACGAAATCTTCTTAAGCTTAAATTCCTTCAAAATAAGCCATTTTCTCATCTTTTCTTCTTTCATACTTTATATTCCATCCTCATATCTTTCTGATTTTCTTCAATTTTACAATCCTTCAAATCCGCATAACGTATAGTCCTATCAACTGCGACAAAAACCTCTGTTTGTCTTACTGCAATTAATGACCTTCTATTCTTCATATTTCCTATCAATTCTTGACAAATTTATAAGCTTTTTCACCCGTTTTTACTTATTTTTTTAACCTTGTTCTTTCTCTGAAACTGAAAAAATAGGATGATTTTCCAGAAAATGAACCCATTTATTTTCCTCAAAAATATACCCATAAATATCATCCATTTCCTTATAATTGTGCTTATAAAACCTCTAAAAAGGCGCTGAATTTAAGGCTTTTTGGTGAAGACAATTTCTATGAGGTTGAAAGCTGACGGGGAGGTTGCTAAGGGGATGGTTACTAGGGGGACGGTTACCAAGGTAATAGTCTCCATGGTTACCGTTACCAAGGAGATGGTTACCAAGACTACCTCCCCGTCAGCTTTCAACGTCTAACATAATGTCAATCCTTCAACGGCTGGATACGCCGAGTACATACGTTGATCGGTATTCAAAGGTAAGTTTTAAGGAATAATAGGAGATAATTGTTCTAAAAAGAAGTTTTTAGCGGTCGAATAAAGATATACCATTGAATCGATCGAGTACACTTTATGTTGGAAATTTATCGTATGTTTTTTGGGTAAAAAATGAGTAAAATGAAGGTCTAAGGAGTGGAAATAGGTTTTATACGACGGAGGAACAGATATATGAGCTTTTTTCCAAGTAAAAAGGGCGGGATAGAGCGTATTTTTGGGTTAATAATATATGTAGATGTGGGGAAGTTAAAAGGGTTATTATGGGACTAGATAGGTTTAATAAAACACCATGTGGGTTCTGTTTTGTAGAATATTATTTGCATGAACATGCATTGGATTGTATGAAGTTTATTAATGGGACGAAACTTGACGATAGAGTGATACGGACAGATATTGATCCAGGTTTTAGAGAAGGTAGACAATATGGCCGAGGAAGGAATGGAGGTCAAGTAAGAGATGAATATCGAACGGAATATGATCCGGGAAGAGGAGGATGGGGTTATTTACGAGCAGAAGAACGACAAAAGAATGTTCAACAAAAACACCAATCAGATCAAGATTTAAACAGACTTTCTGAGTCACCAGAAAGAAATTGAGACGTTATATTTCAATAAGTCTGTATATCATTAATTTTTTTTATATAATTTAAGAGTTAAGATCAAAAAAAAAAAAAATTTAAAAAAAAGTATAAAATGTTATTATATAATATAAAATACAAAGGTATTTTAATTTAAATAACATTATTTATCAATAAATTTTTTAGAATAATAATTACATGAACGGAAATCTTTATATGTACCTTTAATCAAAACAAGATATTTTATAAAAAAAAAACAGAAAAAATAAAGAAAAAAATCAAATAATCAACAAATCATTTTTTTAAAAGAACTTTTATTTATTTTTTCAACAAAATTTTACTTTTTTTTTCATTTTTGATAGTTGGCAACTGATTCATATAATTTTACTTAAATGAAAAAAACAAAAAACCTTCAATTAGAAAGCGACTCTAATAAAATAACAGGAAATAAAACTGATCTAGTTCAAAAAAATATCAAAATTTCTATTAATAATCATTCATTAAAAAAAAATCACAAAAAAAAAACATCTTTATCTCATAATAACAAAATCAATAAACTCAAACAACAGGGTATTTATCTATTAAAAAAAGATAATCCAAATCTTGCACCGCCAATGGATTTATCATTATATAATCATAAATATTCATGGTTATACAAAAAAAAACGTATTCAACGTAGAAATATACCCAAACATTTTATATAATTATAGAATTAATCAACACAACGAGGATCATCTTTTTTAAAGCTTGTTTTCTAAATTAAAACCTTTTTTTTTTATATTTTTTTTAACAACTATTTATATCATCAAATATCAATTCATATATAAAGACATTTAAATAATATTAAAAAAGGAATTAGAATGGGTTTAAAGAATCTAAAAAAGAATATATAATCTATTAACTAATCTTATTTAGATTCTTAATAAAAAATGATTCAATATGTATTTTTTAAATAAAAAAAACAAATAATAACAATTTATACCTTAAATCAAGAAAATCTCGTTAATATTATATGTTATCTTTAACATTTAGTTCTTTTAAGGCTCATTCTTTTTATCATATCTTACAGCTTCAGCAGCGCTAACGTAAGAATTTTGAAGGTCAGTAAAAAATCAAAAAATGGAGGTTTTTAAAGAAAAAAACTACTCATACAATGCAAAAGACGTAATATTCATAGAAATTGGTATGTTTCCCTTTTTTTCCCGATTTTCTAACTCAATTTTTCAGCAAATATTAATAAAACAAAGATGCCTATTATATTTCATCCTATATACACATATTCAATCTTTGAAGGAGAAAGAATCATAGGATATAAAGATCTTAATATAAACGTAGTGCTTTTTCTTTTTTTTGGGGCGATTTTTAGTTGTTTTTAGCTAAAATTCTGTTGTCATGATTTACAGATATATCTAAGAATCCAATATAAAGATAAAGTAGAAAAAGAAGAGAATTTATCATGTAAAAATATAGAGGAAATCCTTAGAAAATATCTTCCAGAAAGTCTATAATTTATATTGTAATACAAGGTCTAAAAGTATATAGATATTATGACAGACGAAACAACATTTTATTCATATTTACATGAGAAAAGGTCATTTGTTCCACCAGGAACTAAGATATCATCATATATATTTAATAATTCAATTTTTGAAGTTTATATGGTATATATTTTTTAATATTTTAGCTATAATATAACAAATACATGTATAGGGCTCAATAATTGATCCAGAAATCGAAAAAATAGTTAATAATATGCAGATTTTTTCTCTTTTTTTGATAGAAGGAGCATCTTTTATTGATATTGAAGATTCAAAGTGGATAATTTTTTTGTTGTATGTTTTCCAGCATTTTTATAATTTTTAAATGACATTTTAAGATATGAAAAACAATCAACAAATGATCAGGATTATTATTGTTTCATTGGTTATTCAACTGTATATCTTTATTATTGGTATTCCAGAGAATCTCTTGATAATAGTCGTGCACGAATAGCACAATTTGTTATTCTTCCTCCATTTCAAAGAAATGGTCATGGAGGTATTTATTTATAATACAATATGTTGTTAAATATTTAAGGGAAATTATATGATGCATTATATACATATATTTTATCAGACTCTAAAATCCAGGAAATTACAGTTGAGGATCCTTCTGATGAATTTCAAGATATGAGAGACAAACAAGATATTATTAGACTCAAAATATCCGGAGTATTTAACGAAAAAGAATTCAAACCTCCAATTCCTTATTTATGGATTTTAGAAACACAGAAAAAAACTAAAATGTCATTAGTAATTCTTCTTTCTTATTTAACTATAACTAATAACAAAAAAATAGAATCAATTTTTTAGATGCATAGAAATAGCTCTTCTTGAAAGATTAAATATAAGAGACGAGAAAGCATATAAAGAATATCGCCTTCAAATCAAACAAAGGATTTATAAAAAAAACTTTGTATTTAATTTCTTTATTTATATCATACTAATTTTTTGTAGGAAAACCTTAATCAATATAATAAAGATGAAATTTTGAAAAAACTAGAGGAAACATATAAATCTATAGAGAGTGATTATTTTCGTATCATCAAATCTATGAAAGCTCATAAATGTAAAGAACAAGATAGTTCAAATAGAACAAAAAGGAAAGAAATATATGCTTGAGTCTAATGAATTAAAATAAATTTCATCTTTTTATGCAGTATAATATATTTTATGTGAATATAATTATTATGCTTATGTTTTATGAATCAAATTAATCCTTCTCTTAGCCCCCATGATAGCACATCTTCTGATGAATTAAATTCAATTGATTTTTTTTCAGATCCTTTTTTCTTGGGATTGATCATTTTCCATATAAGTTCAGCTCTTTCATAAAACATTCTTTCTATTTCTGTATGGGCATGTTGTATAGAATTTTTTCTTTTTGACATTCTTGCTGGAGGACGTACAAGACCTTTACAGTGAATAAGCTTATCTATTAAATAATGTAGCCAAAAAACATTTGTACGTGGAATAAAATCTGACCACACCTTTTTGGAAGAACTAACATAGTCTTTCATTAATCTATATATTTCATATTGATAATCTCCTACAAACATATTATTATTTTATAACAATGCTAAATAATTTACCATGTGCTTCAAAAATTTCATGATCTTCAAAATTATTCCATGTTAATTCACCTATATTATCATCACATCTTAACCTAGAAAGAGTATAATCAATAATAATAATACATGGCTGTGAAAAACATGTAGAATTCAAACTAAGTTGAGATAACATATCTTCAGATGAATCAGAAATATCATCAACTAAAATATTTCCCCAATGAAGATCTCGATGTTCAAACTCATACAATTTCTCTCCTTGAGCAAGAACCTTTACTATATCCCAAAATATTCTGTTAACTTGTCTCCATGTTGTAATATTAACATGTTCTAAATCTTTTCCTCCCTTTTCAAGTAATAAAATACAAAAATATTGATCTTTATCATAAGAATCTAAAAGAATAAGAAGTTAATCACATATTACAAACAATGTATACCAGGTCGAGAATTTTCTGATTCATAAACTTCATCATATTTATCCCATAAAAAAAGAAGATGTTCAGGATACATTCCTTTAACAATAACAAAACTATAAAAACAATTAAAACTAATAAACTTAAAATTAAAAAGAATACCCTTTTGATTTTACAAAACCATTTATTGATGAGATTTTTGTTGTAACTCTTACTTCATGTAAAACTTCCTGAGAACTTAATTGACCATCCTTTCCAAATGGAATAATTTTAAGAACTGTCTCATCACAATTCTCAGTTTTCATAAGATAAACTTCACTATATGATGCTTCTCCAAGTTTTGAAATAGAATATTTAGGTAAAAGAGATGAAATATAACTCGAAAACTCATACACCTCTTTTTGAGTCGTAAATGAAAGCAGAGATTCTATTATAGGTGATTCTTTAACTTTTTTTTTCATAAAATCTTTATTTAAATCAATATTCTCTTGTAAACTTTCAATTATTGATTCTTCATTTTCTAAATCCTCTCTTCCATTAGATGAAAATGTATCTAACATAATATTCTCTTGGCACTGAAAAGGCTCCTTAGACTTAATTAAAGGTGATTTATCATAATTTTGTTTAACTGATATTTTATACAAAAAAGATGCATCTTTTACTAAAGATCCAAAATATTCTTGAGAAGGTCTTATACGAGAAAAAAATGACGTATTGTCCTTCTCTTTTTCATGTATATTTGTACATTTATTATATTTCTTCTTCAAATCGGGTGATTTTCCTATATCATTCCAGACTTTAAATTTCTCAAATGTATCTCCAAAATATCTGCTTTTTCCATATGTTTTAAGAGGTGCCTTTTTATTCTTATTAATGTCAAGTTCATTCATTTTTAAGAAAAATTGTTAAGAATATATTAAAATTTTGAAGTTTATATGTAGAAAATAAACAATCTTATCGGTTGCTACAGTAACCAAGCTGATAAACACCTAAGAAAAAGGTAGATATTAGTGTAAAATAGAAGGAAAACCATAGAAATAGCCATTTATATTGTATCCTAATGTATATTAGAAATTTTAAAATAATTTTTATGTTTTTTTTTTGAGAAAATTAGACCTTTTTTAAAATAGAATTTAATTTGAAAATAAGTAAAAAAGACAAGATTGTTTGTTATAAAGAAGCGTAAATCCAGTTTAAATAGTATTCTAGATATATATGAATTTTAATGTGTAAAAAGACCAGTATAAATTTGAGATATAGAAAAGATTAAAAATGTTATTAATATTGTAATAAGCCACAATTTGATCCCATTTTTTTATTATTTACTTGAATATTAAAGTACCTTTGTTATTCTTTATATTTTTTATTGTTTTGGTATTTAAAGTATCCCATAATAATAAATAATTATTTGAAAATCCAATAAAATGATGATAAATACTATTAATTCTTGATGATAGCTTCCTAGTTGATTAAATATGTGTTATTTAGAAAAAGTTTTTCAAAGAGCTTAAGGATGTTAGTTATAAGTGAAAATCCTAATAATATATTCTTAATAAATACCTAAACAATTCTTTTAAAGCAAATACTAATTAAATTAAAAATATAAAAATAGTATTTAAACATAAACTTACATATAAATTGCCATTTTTTAAAAAATATACCATAATCTTAACTAGAATTTAGTGATTATTTCTTTTACCATGATTCCTCTTGAATAAATTTATTCTGATATAGTTTTTGATCTTATTATTTGTATAATCATAAAAATTTATAAGAAAAGGACCTTTTACTATTCTATTAAGCCATCCATGATTAGAAAAGATTAAATTGTTTAGAAAAAGTATAGAAAATTTCTTGTTTTTTTTTTGTAATACAAGATCAATGACATTAGCCATAACCCTTAATAAGATTCATATGCTTCTATAAGCTCATTCTCTTTGATCTTCATAAAATAAAGTTCAAAATATTTATATAATTTCTATAACTTGAAATAGAAATTAAGTGAAAAACTATGAATTTATTTCTGATAAAAATAATTCCTATTATCCTCATCAATATTCAGTATTCTTATTACTACTGTCTAATATATTTCAATAAAATATAAAAGAACAACCCAGGATAAAGAAATAAATACCTTTAAAGATGAGATTGTATATATAAATATCAATGTATATTAACCTATTTAAATGCAATATAAATAAAAAACAAGCTATTATATACAACTTCTTAAGAAGATCAATTCAATTCTATAATAGTTTGAAGCATTTTTTTACGTGTCTCTAATACAATTCGGTCAACATCAGATTCAGAAAAAAAAGTTGTAACAATAGGGTCGAGAACTATAAAATATATGTATGAATGAATAAATCTAAAAGATATAATCATACTTTTAACTTTAATTATTCCCGATTGAAAAATACGACTTTCAAAATGATAAATTTGAGAATAATTTTGAATCACTACAGGAACAATGGGTACTTTAGCCTGTATCGCTAAATGAAAAGCCCCCTTCTTAAACGGTAAAAGATCAGGATTTTTAAATCTTGATCTCATTCCTTCAACAAAAATCCAAAGACTTTGCTTTTAATTGATAATTTAATAATATTTAACCAATATCGCACATTTACCTTGTTAGCTTTGATTTGTTCAGAAACCTCTTTAAATATTTTAATAGAATTTTTCTGTTTTGCCCTATCAATAAAAATTGCTTTACTGAGAATCACTATATTTATGAAAAAATTATCATTGATATATTAAAATTACTAAACCAGCCCAAAAAAGGAACATATTTTAAACTTTTCTTTGAAATAATACTGCAGTGCTTTGGAAATAACTAAAAACATATAAATAGGTACTTTTCCTCTAAAAATAAAGACATACTCGACCAAGTAATAGAATATCAAGCTCACTTAGATTTATCAAAAAAATTCATATAAAAAATATCCAATACCTTTGATGATTAGATATAAAAACACATGGTCTATCCTTCATAAAGTGCTCATTTTCAACTTGTATTTTTATGTTTAAAGCTGGTGCAGAGATCATATTGCAAATACGTGCAACGCCCCATTGACTGATAGTAGATTTACCTAAAACAAATAAAATAATCGATAAAACAACACCAGAAAATGCTGATATAAACAAAGTCCAATAATATAAGATTAATTTTACCCAAAATCGGGTATGAGATAATATTGATTTGAAAGATAGAATTACCATAGAAAATATGTAACTATTTCGAATAAACCGATTTAAAATTTTTTTACCAGTTGGATTTATAAGTTTTAAAATAAGACGGAATAGAATATTTAATCAAATGTTATCTTCCTTTATGTTTAAAATCATAAGTTATGTTTGAATAGTATTATTGACAAAATATTTAAAATTAAATATGACAGCGATCAATAATTTGTAGTGAATAGATATGTATTTATGTTTACTCTTCTCTGTCCAAATTTTTATAAACCTCTCCCGTTTCACCAAGCAAATTTTCTTCTGGTTCATCAATAGATTCTAGATCTATTAAACAAGATAAATTAAAAATATAAAAGATACCAATAGCCTCTTTAATCAAATGACTAGCTCTATTATCAAGATTAAGAGCAACTGTTAAATGTCTCATTGCACTTGGTTTATCTCCCAATTGTTTATATAATTTTCCTAAAAGAAAATGGACATTTGCTTCATCTGGAGCTAAATCTTTTAAAAAAAGTAATTCCTTTAAAGCTAACTATGAAAAATTTAGTAAGATTTATAATATTTAGATTTTTGTACATGATATTGTCGAAGACAAACAAGAACCTTAGCTTTCTTAAATCTAGCAAGAGCACTAGCTGGTGCAAGTTCAGAAGCCTTCTTATATAATTGCAATGCTTCAGGAAAATCTTTATTTCGCTCCACAATCTAAATGCTTTAAATATATGTATAAAAATATTAATTAACTGACCATGCCAATACAACATAATAAAACAGCGTTAGTCGGATTTATTTCAGCTGCTTTTCTAAAGTGATACATTGCGAGATCATTTTTACCAACTCTAAGAAATACCATACCAATTCCATACCTATTTATATTAAAAAAACCTTACAATTTTATATAATTTACCAAGCATTGTAATGCCTCATATCAACCCTCATTGCATTACGAAAAGATGTTTGTGCTCTCTCATATTCTTCATTTGCAACATATTCATGCCCTTCAAGAGTATATGCATATGCAAAATTTGGATTTAATTGTATTGCTCTGCGAATACATTTTAATGCTTGATCATGCTCTCTTTGCAAACTAAAACAATTTGCAATAATACACCATGATTGAGGAGCAAGACGATCTAAATCAAGTATTTCATGAGCTAAAAAGCTTAATTCAACTTCTTTTCTAAGATGCCAAAGAACAGTAGAATATATCTCCATATCTTCTACCCTTGTAGGATCAGCTTTTCGAAGACGATAGAAATATTTCTCAGCCTATAACAACAAATAAGACAAAAAAACAAAAACAATTGATTCATACTTCATCATAATTCACCATTTCAAAGTATGCTCTACCAATTTTACTAAGAACAAATACAGAATTACGTTGAGAAGCTGGTTGTAAAGATTTAAAACATTCAATGGCTTTTGCTCCATCATATTTAGCAAGAGCATGACATCCATCAGCTATGGATTTGCATAAATCTAATAAACATGTTTCTGCTTCAATTCGCTCTACAAGAGACATGACAGTTTGACCATTTGGCTTTTGACCATACAGAAAACAAGATTGATTCGAACTAGGTATCTAATAATATTTAAATATTTTCTTTTTTTTTTAAAAAAAATTACTTGAGCTGTTGATGATTGTGGATTTTCTTCTTGTTTTGAACGGCTATTCTGTAACTTATTTTTCCGGCTATCTCTAATTGAAGATGTTGTAGATGCTAATTTTGATGCAATTTTTGAAGCGTTAGGTAAATGACGTTGACTTCTTCTTTGGGGAATATCAATTGGTGTAGAACTCTTCTATATATTGAAATTAATATTTCAAAAAAAGAAAAAAACAGAAACATACAGGTAGATCTTTATCAATATTACTTCGAATCGTAGGATTTGCCTTGGTTTGATTTAATCGAATTTTAGTATCTAAAAAATTAGGAGGACTAATAAAACTAGATGAAGTAGAAATAGAATGATCTAGAAAACCATGACTCATTTCAGACGAATCATGTTGTTGCGTTGTCGGTGATCTATCAAATTATATTAATCATCTATTTTCATAATTCTATTATACTAAATACCCTGGTGTTTCCGCCGTTTCTAAACGATTCAAAAACGATGACTGTTGACAATATGATACAAACAGAGGTGTATTGTTTTTCTGAGAATTAAATATATCTGGCGTTTGAACCATATGATTCGTAGACTGTGTCTCTGTATCAATATTTTGTGACATATATGACTCCGTATTTTTTAAAATATTCGTTTGAACTGGAATATTTTGCGCTTTTAAACGCGCCGCCTGCATTCCCGCTGTAGCTTTAAATATATTTTTAACATGAAGATTGCATCCTATATATATATATATATATTATTATACATATATTACCCTTTTTAATAATTTCTACCCAATGCACATAATCCATCAAATGCCTCCCAAAGAAATGGGTTCAGTTTCACTGAACAAATATAATAATCCGTCGCTTTCTTCATCATTCCACCTTTTTTACTTAAATGCCCTAAAAGACAAAAAATTGCCGCTGCATCCGGCAAATGACAACGATATTGATCATCATGCTGATCTTAAAAAACGTCAGACTCCCTCTTATCCCCTTATATTTCACTCATACACATATAATTACTTTTCGTCCATTGTGACGAAACCGCTTCCAATGCTGCAATCCCTTGCTTACATTTTCCTAATTGTAGACATGCAAGTGCATAAATATACGCACAGCCAACATGCTTTACTCCTTCTGTCATATATAAAACCGTTAAATATCGTCCTGATCTTAGTAAACACAGAGAAAAAAGGTGTTTTGCGTCCGCATTGCTTGTATCATAGACATAAAGCCTCTCTGCAATGAACGTAGCATTAGATAATAGCCCATTATCTAAAGAATACCATATAATCTCCCTAAACTGCTGCACAATATAGGCCTTTAAGCTCATCCTTAAAATCGGTAGGTTTCTTGGAGGAGGGAGGGGAGAAGTGGTGGTTGCCAGGACAACGGTTGCTAGGGGGAGACGTCAAGAAAATAAAAAGGGAATAAAAAGGGAGAAATAAGGGAGTAAAAGGAAGAAAAAAGAGTAGATAAGAAGGAGAAATCGTAGAAAAAGTATGATATAATGTATATGTAACTTTTTTTCCGGGGTTAAAAGGGTTATTTTTGGCGATTTTTAAATTCTAGAAGAAATAAAGAATAATATAAATATATGATAATAAAAGAGGGGAGAAAAGGGGAAATATATAAAGAAATTTAAGAGTATAAAGGGATATAATATAAAAGATGTCTTTTTTATGGAGATTTTTTCGAAATATAGGTATATTTCAAGTAAAATATAAGGAGAAAAATAGTGGAATTTTTTTATATAAAAAGAATGAAATAGAATATATAAGGAATATAATTGGAAAAAAGGATTTATATGTATTTGAAAAAAGGCGAAAAAATATCAAAAAATCATATTCAGAAATATTAAATATTTATAAACATATAAATTATTTAAAAAATAGAATTGAGAAAGAGATTTCAAGAGATAGAAAGATTAAACTGAATGAAGGAGTAGGGGAGATTATTCCAATTCTTGTTTCGCCGGATGAATTATTTTTAATAACAGAAATAATGTTAAAAACACCAGTATCTAAATCAATCTTAGAAGAAAAATTAAATCTTTGTAAGTTTTCTATTGAAATAGCATCAATGAAAGAAAGTGAATTGGCAAATTTGTATATTGCGGAAAAAAAAATGCAATCAGGGAGGCCAGATCAGATATATCAAGCTTTACATATATATAAAACTCTTTGTAAGAAAGGAAATGCAAAAGCATTATTAATTCTTGGTGATTTTGCTATGAAATTGAAAGATACAGAGAGGGCAGAAAAAAATTATCTTAAATCTATTGAAAAAGGGAATTCTGATGCTATGGTAGCTATGGCAGTTCTTAAAAAACAATTGGGAGAAGAAGCAGAAGCAAAACTTTGGTTTATACGTGCATCTGAATTGAGTAAGAATATAGTGATTGAAAGCTATGTTATATTTATTTAGATAGATAATCCTAAGGGACATTTTGGAAGGTCATTATATACAACACATGAAGAAAGTTTATATTATCTTTTACAAGCTGCATCTAATGGAATTGTTGAAGCAGCTCATAATATAGCTAATATATACAGAAAACAGGGCAATACATTATTTTCAAAAGAATGGTTTGAAGTAGCAGCATTTTCAGGATTTCAAGCAAGTCAAATAAACCTGGCAAGATTATATGAACAGGAAGGATTATTTAATAAATCATTATTTTGGACAAGAGAAGCTCAAAAACAAGGAGGAAGTATAGCAGAGGATGCAAAACAATATGAAGATATATTATTAAAAAAGCATCCTTATTTAAAATAACAAAACAAATAGATTGATATACATTATAAAATAATTATGATTTAGAATTGAAATACTTTTTTTTTCTGATGCTATAATTACAATATTAAACTGCAATATAGAATTCGAAAAAACACTATATTCATTGTTTTTCTAAAATATCATTTAAAATGCCGCAACTGGCTGCAATTAATCCCAGATATGGAGGTGATGGAAACAATGGTCTTGTTAAATATTCTATATATAATTATTAATAAATAAATTAAATAAAAAATATAACATACCGGGATGATACTGAGTACCGACAAAATAAGGATGATCTTTAAGTTCAAAAACTTCCATCTTTGTCCCTGATTCATCTTTTCCAACAAAATATAAACCAGCGTCTTCTAATTGTCTAACATATTCTATATTTACTTGATATCTATGTCGATGTCTTTCATGTATAAATTCTTTATTATATAATTTTTTTACTTTGCACCAGGAATAATCCTGAAAAAATATTTTTTTAAGACCTAAACACATAGTTCCTCCATAATTTCCATTTGTTTTTGACATACTAACAATAACAGGAATCTTTGCATCTTCTTGTAATTCAGTTGATTGTGCATCTAAATAAATTATGTTAGTTCAGTGACAATGTATACAATTATGAATAAAAAGTGTACAAATAATTGAACAAAATCAATATAGCATTCCTTAAATATCTCTCAATAACAATAATATATTGGAGACTCAGATTATAAAATGCTAAAAACAAAATGAATGATAAAATACCTTTAAGATTACAGACATTTCTTGAAAATTCTATTACAGATATTTGAAAACCTAAACAAACACCAAGGAATGGTACTTTATTCTCACGTGCCCACTTTACAGCAGCAATCATTCCTTCGGTCCCTCGTACACCAAACCCGCCAGGAACAAGAATTGCACTTTAACGATTAAACAAAAAAATATACTAAAGAGATACAATACTTTGCCGAACAAACAGAATGCCATGCCTTATGGTAAATAATTGGGTTTAATATTTTTTTTTCATCATCTAAGTCCGAAGACTCTACCCAGAATATATTTAATTTTCTGTTACATTTAAGTGCCGCATGCTCAAGAGATTTTACTACAGATATATATGAATCTTGAAGATCAGTATATTTTCCAACTATTGCAACCGTTATATCAGTAAAAAGATGATCATACCTGATAATATTAACATTAAAAACAAAACAAATATATATCATACAAGTCTGTAAGCATTTTCCATTGCGTCCAAAGATGTTTACCCGCTTCAATTAACTTTTTTGAAACAATAATATCATTTAATTTTAATCGTTTTGAAAGCGACCTAATTATTCCTTGTTGTTCAAGAAGTAGAGGAACATGATATGTTGATAAAACATCATGTATTACTAAAACCTGATCTGGTCCAACATGACAAAACATTCCGATTTTATCTATAGCACACTTTTCTAAAGGTTTTAGTGATCTACAAGCAATCTTTCAAAATAAGATAAAAAAAAAAAGATTAAACTTACAAAATCTGGATATAATCCAAGTCCCCTCATATCACGAATAGCCGCTTGCGTTGGCTTGGTTTTTTGTTCCCCATTAATTGTAGGAACTAAAGATACATGAATAACGGCAAAATTATCATGTCCAACTCTAAATTGAAATTGACGCATTGCTTCAACAAATGCCGACGATTCAATATCACCAACCGTCCCACCAAGCTATACATAATAAATACAAAAATTAAACTTAACTATACACACTTCTATAACACATATATCTGGTTCCTCATTCGTTTCATCCACTGGAACTTTCGCAACACGCTCAATCCAATCCTGAATAGCATTGGTAACATGGGGAACCACTTGAACTGTTTTTCCTAAATAATCACCTTTTCTCTATCAAATCGTAAGACTTTTTTTTTAAATTTTTCATAATATCACTTCATTTTCTATCACTAGACTATATATTTTCCCCGTAGTAATATTATTCTCACGTTTTAGAGTAATATTAAGATATCTCTCATAGTTTCCAAGGTCTAAATCTACTTCCCCGCCATCATCCAAAACATATACCTCGCCTTATCAAAAATAAACCTTTTTTCCCCCCAAAAAAACGTATATACCATGTTCAAGAGGGCTCATAGTACCCGCATCAATATTCATATATGGATCAATCTTTATAGCAGAAACGTAATGGATTTTAATTTAACCATAAGCATAAAATAACAAAATACATATCTTAAACCCCGCAGTTTTCAATAATAACCCAGTAGACGATGCTAAATATCAAATAAGAACATTCATATACCCTTATATATCTTTTTTAATAGCCACCTATTACACCTTTTCCAATACCGCTAATAACGCCTAAAAAAAATCAGGAAAAAAAGGATCAGAACCTATAAAACACTTACCTCCACTTACAAGGACGTATTTCATGTTTTAATCTAATCTTTAACCCGCTTTTTAAGGCTTATCTTTGCCAAAAAATCTCTGCAATTTTTTCTGTACGTTTGATAGGACATATTCTAAGATAAACCCTATTTTTATTAAAAAACATATAATAAAGAGTGAACATGTTTAAAATGATATATTATTTTGAATATTTGCTTAAAACTTAGAAACTTTTAATTTTTAGTTATATAAATATATAGAAAAGTATTAATTTATGTTAAATTTTACAAGACAAACAACCAGAGTCAATTAGATGGATTCAGGTTAAAAAGAATAGTAAATTGTGTATTTTAAGTGTTTTTTATTATAAAAAAGAAAATAGATAATAATTTATTAATATATTCAATAAACAAGTTATTATGAGGATATGAATGAAATTTTATAATAAAAGATAATATTATGTAGAGATTAGGTTAAATTCTAGTGTAGATAGATGGATATGTATAAAAAAGAATTAAAAGTTTATGAAAGAGGTTTAAATAGGCAAGAATTCTATAATATAGTATGTATTTTAAAAAATGTTCATGAAAATGAGATTTTTTATTAGTATTTGAAAAGTTATAAAGAATACAACAAGATAATTTGTAGATATTATGTAGATAATTGCCATAAACATCATTAGTTGATCAAATATAAAAAATATTTAGAAAAGATACTTTTAAATCTCAAAAAAAATATTTTAGAGAAATTAACTAGAAATATTTGTAAAAAAATAATGTTATCAAGACCCAATCAAGTATAATAATGATTTTAGTAAGTTCATCTGGAGATATAAATTATATAGATACTCCCAAGACATTATCACTCTTTCAAATAGTATATGATATAAAATCGAATTATAAATGAAATAAATTGAATGGTAAAGAGAAAGCGTTTAATCATTAATATCTAAGCATGTTTCGTCATTAATATCTAAATTTTCATTTTCAATATTCTTGGTATCCAATTTTTCTGAATTCTTAAAACATTTTTGTCGAACATTTGAATCATCTGTTGATTTAAATTTTTGATTTTGGCCTGAGCGAGGGTTTTCACTTTCATACTGATCCATTTTAATTTTAAACAATTTCTTTTCTGATTCATATGCATCATAATACGGCTTTCTTGAGTCATCATCTAAATTTTGCCAAGCAACACCTAGTGCTCGAGTTACATCAAACCCATCAATTCCTTCATTTTCAGATCGAATCCTCTCTCTTTCAACATCGCAAAATTTCAAAAATGGATTAGAAGGTCTACCATAAAAAAATATCAATTCCAAAAGGAACAAACATAATTAAAATCGTCATTTACCGTTTTGGAGCATCTGGATCACGAGTTCGCCGTCGTCGTGCCCCTCCTGTACTAAAAGTAACATTAGAAAAGTTAAAAAAAATATCATATCGCACCCAGAAGAATGCGTAAGTAAAATTTCATGAGTTTCAGAATGCGGAGAATCCTTTTCACGCTTAAACTATAATATAATCAATAAAATAAAAATGAAAGACTTAAAAATACCGAAACAGATGAATCAGATGTACCAGAATCTTCAACTGTTGAGGGAACACGCTCTTCAAGTTTTTCAAAAATAAACGCTCGCTCAAGACGAAGTCGTTGGATGCTACGTTTCATTCTTGCAAGTTTAACAACAAGAAGATCATTTTCAGCAGATATCTTCAGAATCTTTTGTCTAAGTTGTTTGCATTTGTGTTTATACTTAAGTTCTTTCAACAATCATTAGCCTATAAAATAATAAAGACCAAAAAAACTCAAAATCCATTAAAATTATTAAAATAAAAAGCATCAAAGAAAAATCATAAAAACCCTCTATAAATCCCAATAAAAATATAGAAAAAAACCCATAAAAAATTGAATTTTTTTTTAAAAAAAAAAACATTATAAATCCATAATTTATCATTCAAAATTCACCTTTCTTGCTTAAAAAGACTTCTTTTTTTATATCTCAAAAAATACTCCACTTATTTCATCTTATTAAACATACCTTCTTCATCAAATCCTGCTTCTGAAACTGTCTGTTCTTGTTAATCTTAATATTTAACCCATTCATACTCACCTCAACTGCCATTTGGTTATTTTGTTTGTCGGAAGATCAAGTTCGGAGCCGTTATATAGCCTAGTCACGTGACCCTTATCTTCACGTGATCAAGAAGATAAGAAATAAAGTCAAATATGAACCAAAAGATAAGATAAAATAGAAGAAAAAGAAAGACCAAGCATGAAAAAGAACCGACAGAAAGAATTAAAAGATATGAAGGAGAAAAAGAAGTGAAATGAATAAAAAAACATGAAGATAAAAAATAGAAACCAGTCGAGAAAAAGATAGAAAGTTGAAGAAAATATATTAGAGATAGGAGAAATAATTGACGAATAGGAAGTGAATTATGCATATTGAATATGAGAGGAGAATTGAGAAGAGTTTCTATCAAAAAAGATCGAATTTCGATGAATAATGAGTTCTTTAATGACTTCTTGGACTTTTCCTAGATGAATAACAGTTTGTGAAAACGAATAATTAGAAGGAAAAGGTTTTAGAAAGTTTGGGCCAAAAATGATAGCCAAATTATGTGCTATGAGACAAATTAGTTAAGATAAAAGAAAGAAAAAAAAAAGATAGGAGTTTTTAAAGAATTATTTCATACGTACCATACATTTGATTGACCATTTCGTAATTTATTACTCTATTAAAAGGTTATTTGAGGGAAAATTATGAAGAGAAAAGCTTACTTTTCGAAATGTTCGATAAGTCGTTTAATTAAAGAATAATTGTAAAAAGGAAGACTTTTAACAAGAGTTTTTAATGAGATTATCTTCTTATGATAGTCAGAAATATCTAAAAAATATTAATTTGAATCTTTATAATAAATAAGGGAAATTACCAACAAGACTAATGAATTTAGGATATAATTTATAAGTCATTAAAGGTTCAGGTAGTTCTCGAAGCCATAATTTAAGAGCACCGGCAATAACATTGATATCTGACCAACACTCATCTTTAAAATCCACCTTTTTACCAGCATCGAATAATGTTTTCAATGAATTTACTTTAGAAACTGAACCAGAAACACGATAAATTCCCACTTCTTGAAGACCTAAAAAAATATTAAAGAAAGAGTGATGAAGAATTAATAATTTACCTCTAGCTTCGATTTCAATAATTAAATCGTTTACAATTTTTGGAATATTACTTTTTTCTCGAGAGCACAAAGTTGCCAAATCCACACCATAACCTTAGCAATATCAAAACCAAAAAAACAATTTTCAATTTTTACACTTACAAGCTGTAGAATCTAATTCGGGAGATGAAGTTTTAACTGCAGTATTTATAGACGTTGTATGTGTATTTTTCATCAAGATGTTTTTCTTTTTATTAAAAGTAATTGTGTTTAAAGCTTTTAATTTTCTATACCATATTTTATACTCATCTGCAGATGGTGCACGAAGTAATATCTTTATTCCATTTTTTAATTTAATCTTAAACACATACTCATGTTTCGAATTTTCTAAAGTACTCACGGATGAATCAACCAGATCAATAACATCTAAAGGTTCAGGTTCTAATACTATAGAAAAGTTAAAAGGAAACACATGAGACGACGCTGTATAAATACCTAAATTTTTATCTTTTTCAAAGTTATTCATAAGCATTGAAGTAGAAGAAGATAATTCAAAAGGATAATCGCTTTTATTTTTTAATGACACTTTTTTATAATCCTCTTTACAAATTTTAGAATTATGTTTAGAATTATTTGCATTTTTCTGTTCAACATTTTTATCTAGTTCTATAAGATGTTTTTTTATGGATCCACAATGCTTTTGATCTCTTTGAATTGCGATTATTTTCTTTTGTATTAAGCTTTCAAAAGGCTTTCCTATATTACTAAATTGTAAAGGATAATTTTCATTTTCTGAAACCATTTCAAGAGTCCTGAAATCATGAGTCCGAATATTAACAATTACATCACTCGTATCATCACATTTGTCAGTTTGCTGTTTTTCTTCCGAATTTACATGATTATCAGAATCAATTATACGTAAAATAAAATCATAAATAAACGCATATTTAATAAAATTTATGAATTTGGGTTTTCCAAGTACATCTGGAACACAAAATACGACTTTTAACATGCTTTGAAAGATCCAACCAATACATGGAGTAAATGAAAAAGAATTATTAACTGTTACAAATGGAATAATGGAAGCAAGATCTTCAACCTGACCGTCTAAACCTCGTGTAGATGCTACCATAGACCAAGCGTATATAAATAGTCTAGACTCTGGACGAACCAGAGCAGCAGCAATAGCATTACCAACAAATGAAGGCAATACAGATTTATCTTTGATCAAATCATTTCCATCAAAAGGTCCAGAAAAAAAATCCAAACGAGTCATTGTTAACTTATAGATACCTAATAACCGGAGATATAACAATATTCGATCCGTTCTTGTGTAGCAATCAATATTAATGTCAGTAATTTGACTAATAACCCATTTAATAATATTATGCCTTAATTCAAATAATTCCCTTATTAAATGAGGGAACATATTTATCAGTAAATCATGAGATTGAGATCTGCGAATTTGACTTAATAAACTATACGTATCTTGCAAAATATAATTATTATTTTGAAGAGATATTGATTCATAATATTCGAAAAATGATTCAAAGTCTTTGAATTGAGCCTGAAAAAGTTCAAAGCAATATATCCAATCATCCAGTGTTAATTTCTTAAATATACTAGCAGCTAACCTATCAAGAGTATATGCTAAATTAAAAACATCTTCATCACTATATTTTGAAGAAATATTTATTCCTTGTAATATTTTTATAGATGTAACATATGATTGTTCTATTTGTGGCTGATATGACAATTTAACAAATAATTTTCTGAGATTTTCAAAAAGATCATGATATTGAGACATATAATATTGCAATTCATTTTTTGTTAATACAATTTCTTTCCAGTTTTGTAATTGATCATTGGCTAATTTTAAAAAAGAATAAAATCCATCCAACATACATATATCATCAACAAAGTCATCAAAATAATGAGTAAGCCATAATATTACACATTCCAACACACCAACATGTATTTTCAAATAAAAATCATAATTAAATGAACCATAATTACCAGAATCAGATGAAGTCCAATCCGGAAACATTCGATTATTTTTTGCATATTCAGAAACTTTCATATTAACCTCAATCTTCGATGCAACTACTTTAGAACCAGCTAAGCGTTTTTTAAAATGTTCAAGAAGAGTCTTTCTATTAGCAATATTAAATTATTTTCTTTATACTTACAAATGGTGTACAAAAAGAACGAAATGTAGACAAAAAAATCGAACGGAAATCTCCTATATTAATATAGAGATTAAGCTGAATACTCTTCGATTCACGAATTAGACGTTCACTGAAATCATCTATCCCTAAAACGAGAACATCTATAAGACGCTCAAATGATCCCGCTTTAACAATAACTTGATATGATACTATTATTCGAAGAGATTCTAGATTATCAATTCTCTTCTCATTATCAAAAACCTTTGATAAGTTATTGTCTTATATATTAGTTCTTGTATATAAAAAATTAATATTGACTCACCTTCAAAAGAAACTTCAACACATTTCGATTCTCTTTTTTCTGAAATGCTTCCAATTGATTTTAAAACCAACTCACCGTCAGTATAGTAAAACAAATTCTCGTTTTTCCCAAAGATATCTTGAGAATTTTCAGAAATCAAAGAGCTCCTATCCCTTAAATCTATTGCTTTATATCGAATTTTACTGTCCAAATCAAAATCTGTAATAAGCATAGAATATCTATTCAAAGGAAATGAACTTCTTTTCAAATGTTTATTAAATTTGTCTAGATCGGGAACTTGTACTAATTGATTATATAAAAAAGAATCTTCTCTAATTAAATGACTCTCTATGTCGGTGTAAACATTCTGATCTTTGTATGTCTCAGACAAGTCCATAAAATCATGCAAATTACATGAGTTATATATATAATTAAATATTAAAGAAGCGTATGTGTCGAATTTACTGTTAACATTTTGAGAATAATCAAATTGCGAATATATACCACGACTTAATGGTTCACATTTAAGCGATTTTTTAAAGAAAACATCAGAGAATATCGACTGTGGATTAATTCTGACACAATTAAGTTCTTTAAATATTTCTTGCAAGATAAGGTTCCTATTTTCATCACCAATGCAAATAAATGTTTTATTAGCTAATATAATGCATCTCCATCTTTCTAATTTTTTTTTTACTAAAATAAAAATGTCATTAAATGATTCTATATTTATTAATTTATTATTGGAGTTCTATAAAAGTTAAAATAAATAACAAAAAAAAAGACTTACATATAAAGATATAAAATTTTCAATATAATTTAAGATCTCTCCAAAATATGGTATAGTTTGTTTAGAAATTTCAGTCTTAGATAATTTATCAGATATCAAAGCATCAGGCATATATATAGTTCTATCAGCCATATAAAAATCAAACTCATGTAAATCATTCATAATAGAAATAGAATTCTGTAGAAATTCCCTTAGATTCAAATCAACCAATGTCCATGTTTTTCTTAAACGAATTATTGAGGGAGAACATAAAGCAATAATAATAGAAAACCATCCTGCCATATCTCCAAAATTTCTTAAACAAATCGAAACAGATATCCAATATGCACAAATATTAGCGCGAAGCTTAGTAGACATCATAATATCTGTTTTCAAAAGTTGCTCAAGAACAAGTCTGGTAATAAAGTGTATATGTCGATGCCCAAAAATCAAAGGATTCCTAATTAAATTAAATGATGCTTTGTTAAAAAATAAAGACATGTCCAATGATGGATCCCATATATTAAGAAAACGTTGATGAAAATAATATAATTCACGTGAAAATACCTCTGGAGGAATTTTCAAAATAGCATCTACTGAAATTCCAAATTCCAAATCATTATTATGAATTTTATAAATAGAAAGATCTATAATAAAATTAAAAAATATTAAAAACATATGAAGAAAACCTATAGCCATTAAATCAAATAAATCATTTTTTAGAGTTAATTCTTTGTTTTTAATTTTATTTCTTAAATTTTGACTTAAAACACTATTATTGAGATCAATTCCATTTTCTATTAACTTCACAATGTTATTAATAATATTACTATCTTGAAACATTCCATAACATTTATCACACCATATATTAATCATTTTTTCGATACTTGAACTGAAATCTAGCGATGATTCAGAAATAATAGATAATATAGTTTCTAGTATTATTTCAGAAGAATCCCAAAAACCTATAAGGGTAGTAAACAATTCAAAAATATCAAAATTAGTCATTGTATCATTAATTCCTAGCATTATTTTTAATAATATTCTAGTTGTTGTAGCCTTTAATGTCTTATCAGAATTTAACAAAATATCTTGAACATCATTTGATATAGACGTTGAAATAAAATCCATTGATTCAGTATTCTTTAGAATTGAGAATTCGGCACTCTTAGTTAATTTTTGCAATAGTAAATATTTTTTCAAAAAATATATAGCCATTTCCTTAGATAAAATAAAGCGTCTTATTATTTCCCCATTGTTGATAGTCATAAGATACAAATTCTCGTCATATAATTCAGAAGAAACTAGATTCACATTCTTCAATAAATTAAATACAATATTTACGTCAAATACATTATAAACGACATCCAGTTTCCACAACTTTTTCAGATTAATATTATGAGTGTTTAAATTAGAATGTAAATCTTGATCTTTATTAAATATAAGTGGTCCACGATAACATAATACAAGAATATCTTCTACGAAAAATATACTGTTCATATCCCTTTCAAGATCTTGAATAAAACCCTCAAATTCTGTCAAAATTATTCCAAAAAAAAACCGTTGTAAATTATTCGCATCATATAAAATAGATCTAACATTTAAGTCAAATTCTAGTGACGAAAATTTATATTCCATTGATTCAGGAGTATCCGACAAATAACATGAATACATAGTACTATAAGAACTATTATCTATTTTTTGAGGTCTATAAAAATATAAATTCGATCCTGATAAAATAGTCGTACAAAGTGTCCAGTCATTAGAAAACTTAGAAGATACAGAAGAGTTATAATCTTTCTCATCCTTTCTATCTAAAAATCCCTTGTATATAATCGATTCCGGCAAAACTGATACAGAATATTCTTGACAATCAATTTTATGTTTTTGCCCAGATTTTTTCTTCTTCCACGAAATAACAGGCGTATTTCTAGTCAAAACATTTCGCTTCTTATGCAATATCCCCGATGATTCAAAACGATTCATATGGTTTGATGTCATATTAAAACTATTTAACGATTGAGATACCGGTACATGAAAATGTTGACTATCTCCCTCCAAAGAAGACTCATTCACTGCCATATCTACATTTTCCTGTTCCTCTTCTTTATTTAAATTCAATTTAACCTCTTCCTGTCCAATTATTCCCTCATATTTACGAGAATCTGCTTTTTTATCTATTTTACGAGAATTTGACAAAATTTGGTCAAATTTTTCTCTATTTCTAGACTTATTATACTCAAGGCATAGCTCTCTTATGTCTTTATAGAGGTATCTAGGATCCATCTTTCCTTTTTCCTCCTTATTTGACTTTATTAATATTTTTATAGATCCTTAATATTTCTTAAAACCTTAATAATCTTAAGAATAATAACAAAAAGCTCCTTCTAATGACTAAAAGGATTCAAAATCATCTATAATATCTAATTATCTTATTAAATTTTAAAGAAGTTTTGAATAAACCATCAAATCAATAGTTTCGTAAGTCCAGAAGGTTAAGAAAGACCTTAGAAAAAAGGTGAAATATATTTTTTAAGAAAAACAAGAAACAAGAAGAAAAACAAGAGATGTTGAATGAAAATTAAATAATGATAGTATTTTTGTAATATAAAGATGATAAAAAAAAAGAGAATATTTTTGAGAAAAAAAGAAGATAAAAAGATGAATAAGAGTAGAAATAGATGAAGAATAGATTATTCGTTATCCCAGTTTGGATTTGGACCGGGTGGTTTAGGACCGCCAGCAGGTTTAGACATGATGATCTTTTATAAGTTAAAAAATATTAATAAAAATAAATAATTACTTGATCAACACGCAGAATTGTGAGAGCAGCTTCAGTGGCAAGTTTACAAGCCCATAATTTTACAGATAAGACGTCAAAAATACCGGCGAGTTTAGCATCAAATGGTACATCATTATTTCCCTTTAAAAAATATAAAGAAAAGAAATAAGAAAGAGAAAGATTACCTCAATATCTATGCCAATAGTTACGTTATTATCAGTATGATGAAAGGCATAAAGTTTGCCAATAATTTCTGTAGAATCAAATCCGGCGTTTTCAGCCAAAGTTCTTGGAATTACTTCAAATGCTTCAGCAAATTTTTTTATTGGATATTGAAAAATCCCGGGGACTTTTTCAGAATAAGCGGAAATTCGTTTAGAAAGTTCCATTTCAGTAGCACCAGCACCAGCAACTAAACGAGGATCTTTAACAATAGCCTTAACAAGATTTACACCATCATCTATTGCTCTTTCTACATCATCTAAATAATTTTGAGTAGCACCTCTTAATACTATAGTAGCTGTTTTGGTAATTTCATTTTCTATACTATTAAGAATTGTATCTACCGTTATAATAATTACCTTGACGAAATACTGTTACTCTATCGCCACCAATTTCGACAGTTTCAACAACATCAACATATCCCATTTCCTCAGGCATAGGAGCGCCAAGTCTTGCTAAAGGAGTAGCTCCAATAACCCTGCAAAGTCTCTGAAGATCAAATTTACTTAAAACTTTTATAACCAACAAATTATATTTATTCAAATAATGTAATACAAGGTCACCTATACCCCCACCTGTAACAATAACCCTAATTCCACAATCAAAAAGCTCTTTAACCATCTATTATTATTAAATAAAATCATAAAGAAATAAAAATCATAACCGATTCTAAAAGAACTTCTTCGCCTTTACTAAACTCAAGCATTTCTTTAGCATTTCTTAAAAGAACGGTTCCTTTTGTTTCCGTTTGACTTATATCTAATGGACATGAAAATACACCAACTTTTGCTTTCAAAGCTTTTCGAACAATTCCTTCTGGATCTCTAGGAAAAACCATTCCTTTAACAACTCTCGATTCATCCAAACATCCACCCAAAACTTTTACAACACGAATAGAATCAACATTAAAATGTAATGTATTCTTAGGAAGTACTAATAACGCCGCTTCTGCAACAAGACTTCCAAGTAACTTTTCAAATCCAAATTGTTTCGATGAAATAGATGATTTAATTGCTTTCAAAATCTCTTCACTAGATCTAACATCTTCCACTTTATCTACCGATAATTCTATCATTTATCAATATCTCTCTATATTTTTCTATATAAAACCCTCTAATGTCTTCAAAGCAAAATCTCGACCTATCTCATATCCTTCCGCAATTTCAGAAGGATGAAGTCCCATTCTAATAAGTGCTTCTGCATGTTTTAAAAGCTCTCCAGCAAATATTAAAACAAAATTTGTTGCATCCCCCATCTATACCAATTATATAGAAAAAAAAAAATGTATAAACATGCCTCCAAATCTTGCTGTTTACTAGCCATAACAATTACTTTTGCTGCTGGATGAACTATATCCAATTCCTCAAGAATTGTTGATGCATCTGAACTCACTAACATTTTCTGTCTATATCTCAACCAATTTCAAAAAAAAAAAGAAAAAACAAACAGCCAAGTGATTAACAATGATCTTATTGTATCCGTTAGGGCCATACGAAGTCCGTACAATCTCTATTAACCTATTAAAACCTCTTCAAAGCAAATATCTTTTTTCAACCAGAAAGTTCACTAATTGCATGAATATTTCGGACAACAACGTCTTCTACGCCCTGCTGAGTCCTATAACCCTCTTTAAATAGCGCCGGGCCAGGCGCCTTAGGCATTTTCAGCGACATTTTATGGCAGAATAAGTCTTAATTTTAAGGACTTAGTTTTTTTCCAGCAACTTTAAATTTAACGAAGTTATTAAAAGAAAAAGAGTAGAAAATAAGAGAAATAATAAAATACAGAAAGATTAAAGAGAACTAATATAGAGTTATTTAATGAATTCAAAAGAGACTCTTGGATGTATAAATTTCACCAGACCAGCGTCCTCGAAAATAATCAGGATTGGAGCCAGGCTAAAAGATTAGAAGATAAATTAGAAAGAAAAACAAGTAAATACCACATAAATATCACTGAAAAGAGTCTTTGGATCGGGAGTTGGAAACTCACTTTCTTCAGCTTCTTTAACTTCTTTATCGACATGAGATCGAATTGATTTATCAATAGTCTTAAAGAATTAATAAATAAATAAAAAAAACAGGAAGATCAAACCTTAAGTTCAGATTCAGTAATCACATTATATTCCAACATTGTGTTCTTTAGGAGAGAAATACAGTCATTGGTATTACGTACATGTTGAATTTCTTCTCTTGTACGATAACTCGTTCCTGGATCAGACATCTATATAGATAGATAGTTAGTTATTTAAAAATAAAAATATAAAAAACATACAGAATGACCACCATAACGATATGTAACAAATTCCATAACTAATGGTCCATTTTCCAAACTATATTGTTTTGAAAAGACAGATGCCTGTTTAATAGCAAGCACATTCATTCCATCTACCTGAATACCAGGTATATAATGACCACGTTTATAATAATCAGTCATTGCACTGCTTCGTTCTGCAGATGTACCCATTCCATATTTGTTATTTTCACATCCAAAAACAACAGGAATATTCCAAAGCTTAGCCATATTAAAGGCTTCAAAAACTTGACCTTGATTTGACGCCCCATCTCCATATAAAGTAAAAGTAGTATTGGGTTTATTCAAATATTTCATAGCAAATGCAATTCCTGTACCAACAGGAACTTGTGCTCCCACAATTCCATTGCCTCCATAGAAGTTTTTTGAAAACATATGCATGGATCCACCTTTACCTCGAGAAACACCATCAACTCGACCCAATAACTCTGCAATAATAGATTTAACACTAGATCCTCGAATATACGTAAATCCATGGCATCGATATGCCGTAATTACTTGATCCTCCGGTGTAATTGCTTGTTCAATACCAACTGCTACAGCTTCTTGTCCTGTATATAAATGACAAAATCCCCGGATTTTTTTGGACTTATATAACAAATCCGATGCTAACTCCATACGCCTTATTGTAACCTTCAAATATTAGTCAATTATTGCCATTTTTATTTGGTTTTTTTTAATGAAATTCATTTTTAGCCTTTTTCATTCATCTTACCATGTCTGAATACATTTTAATCAGCTCTTTCTTACTAATTGTAATATCCAAAGGAAGAGGATCAAGATTATATGTTTCAAATGCTGATTCTGGGAGTTTTATATGGTATAACTCATCATCTTGTGGGCGTTCTTTTACTCTTTCAAATGATGAAAGGCTTGTAGAAATGGAACGTTTTCCTCTTAAAAAGAGCCCAGAAAAGGGCTCTTTTCCTAGTATTTTTAATGGGTTTAATGGGATTTTTATCATCTTAAAAACTAGTAAAAATACAAGTTTACTAAGTAAGTTTGACGGACATGTTTAAATTTTTATAATAAAAATATACACATTTAGACATGTTTTAGACATGTTTTAAACATGTTTCTAAGGGTTTTAACAGAAAACTATAAGAAATAAGATGAAATAAAATTTTGAAAAAAATCATGTTAATTCATATAAAATAAGATGCAGATTTTAAGGGTAATAAAGTGTATTTTCTTATTAAAAAGGGAGTTTTTTTTAAGAAATATTAGTACAATTTTATTGGAAAACAATATCTAAAAATGACGAGATTTAGATATATTTCGGTCAATAAACAAATATTCTATCAAAATTGGGGGTCAAGAAGATATATACATTATGAACGTTTTAAGCGTTCGGGTTTTGGTGTAGAAAACCGAGGTTTCTGGTATATTTCGGGTAAATAGAGAAATCATTTAAATAAAGGAATATTCAATATTTAAACGTAATGTAGGAGCAGTTTTATTGGGAGCAGGAGCATATTATTTCTCACATATAGGTTTTTTTTTTAAGGGAAAGGTTATTAAGAAATTAAAAGAAGTTAGAATATGTTCCAGTGTCGAATAGAAGAAGATTTAATGATGTATCACCTGAATTTGAGAAAAAAATGTCACAACAAACATATAGACAAATTATGAGTCAATATAGAGGCCGAATTCTGCCACCTAATCATCCAATGACACGTCGTGTACAGCAAGTGATGATACGATTAATACGTGCATCAAAATTGAAAGATATAGACTGGGAAATTCATGTTTATGGGTTAAATTATAATTAGAATTGATTTAATTATAGATAGGTAATTGATGATCCACAACGAAATGCGTTTATTCTTCCAGGAGGAAAAGTATTTGTATTTTCAGGAATATTACCAATCTGCAAGAATGAAGATGGTCTTGCAGTGGTTCTTGCACATGAAACGGCACATCAAATTGCACGTCATTCAGCAGAAAAGTTATCGTTTACAAAACTTGTTCTTTTTGGTCATTTTATTCTATCTCTTTTTTATGATCCTTCAATTCTAGGCCGGGCTATTATAGATATTTGTCTTTTAAAACCCAATTCTAGAAAACTAGAAACAGAAGGTGATTATACTCTTTTTATTTTTATTTTTCAACATTATAATTTATTATAGCGGATTATATAGGATTAATACTTATGAGTGAAGTAATTATCATTATTTTATCATGTTTTTATGGATAATAATTCATTAATAAAGGCATGTTATGATCCTAATGAAGCACCTCGTCTTTGGAAAAGAATGTCTATTTCAGAAACTAAAACACCTCCAAAGTAACGTTTTAATTTTTTCTAAATTTAAATTCACTTTATAGATGGCTTAGTACACATCCTACACATGATAACCGTATTACTAAAATTAATGAATGGATGCCAGAAGTAAGTATAAATATCTTTATTTAATATTATATTTATGATGTTTTTCTCTATAGGCTTACAATAAATATGTAGAAAACGATTGTTCTAAATATTCCAAGAGGTTTTTTAGGCCATTTAGTTATTTCTAATCTTTTTTTCTTATTTTTTTTTAAAAAACTATTAAAAATTACAATATCATCTTCAATAGAACTATCTCATTCATCAAACAATGGATTCATAGAATACTTCTTAGCGATCTAAGGATAAATATATTATCTAACTCGACATTTTTCAAATAAATTTTACAATCTTTGACAAATAGTATATTCATATATAAATATTTTTAATATTAAAAAAACACATCAACACATAAAATTATTTATATTTATTAGAAAACTAAGGGATCTTTACACTATATATTATTTTTCTACAATATTTTATAGAGGGCTATTCCAGAACAGTTGCTTTGTCGATTAAAAAATACGGATGAAATTTAGAAGACAGGCTGACCCTATTGAATTATCATTTTTAATTGCTAAAAAAGAAGATGATGCAAATGATCGTAGTGAAGAAAAATACAAGAATGAATATGCATCATTTTTTACGAAAACACTGGTTCAATTGAATGATAAACGAGAAGAAACAGTTAAAATCGTTTTATTATTTATAATAATAGGTTTTTCGCTTGGAAAGAAGATTCTATGACGAAAATAAGGCTGTTTAATACGTTTTAGGTTCATGTTTTTTTGAAAATATCTTTAATATAAGTATTTATACTATGCAAGAGGTTTTTGAATAAGAAAAAAACGAAAAAAAATAATGAAGTAAAGGAATTAAAGAAGGGAAATATGCAATCATCTTTATTAATAAGTATTTAATGATTGAAATTGTATCTTTGATACATTTTTTTTAGAAAGTTTCATATTAATAAATCCTATAATTCCTATAATATCTGGATTATTAGTTGAAAAATATGGTATCATGGAAAAAATATACAAAAAAAATAGTAAATCTAGGTGCAGGGACATCATTATTTCCTATATATTTAACAGGAATTATATTTTTTGGTCAATGTATTTCTATTATTGCAGCACTTTCACAATGGAAATATATTGTTACTTTAGGATTATTTTTATCTGGGTAGAAGCATTATTTTAATATGGAAAATAAAATTGATTATGCGAATATAGTCTTTGTATAAATCCTCTTGTTATAGTTCAAGAAACACTTTTAATCGAAATATTTCAAGATAATTTAGGTTTCTGTATTTCAATTCTGTTAAGTGTTGGAAAATTGGTATAGTATAGAACTTAATACATATAAAAATTAATTTTGAAAGATTTTTTTTATTTCTTCTTTATTAACAAACACATTTGGTGGACATTTAATATATGGCATAAAGATACTTTTTATTGTTTCTTGTGCTTTGTCACTCTTTTCTTTTTCAATATGTATAGCCTACAGTCAAATAATGAATAAAAATAAGAAAGTTGTATTCATTACATTTAAAGAAAAAAGTGTTTTTAAAAGCATAGAAACGATGCCAATTTATTTTTGGTGGTATTTACTAATATCTTTTTTATCTAATTGCATTTGGTAAGTATTTAATTGTTTAAGTATATGATTATCTAATTTTATTTTTAAGGACACCTTTTATCTATTTTCTACACAAAATTGAACATGTAAACTTTCTAAAAAATATTGCGGCAACTGATATTTCTTCTATAGTTTTATTGTTATCAGTATTTTCGAAAATTTATTTCATTATAGGCTTAAATTTCTTAGGTAGCTTTATATCCCATAATAGGCTGGTTCAATGATAATTCTGGTCATCGTCTTGTAATATGTAAGTTTTTCAAAAAATTTACTCTATCATAACATTTAAAGTATTAATTTCATTGTTTATGTCTCTAATAAGTTTCATGTCTCTGTTATTATCGATCAAGTATAAACTGTTTTTTATCACTTTATTTTCACTTGGACAAAGCGTCTCATCTATTATTTTAGTCCTATTAACTATATATATTTCAAAAAATGCATCAATAATATTTGGATTTTACAAGAGTATGGAAATAATTGGAAATGTTATTATGCAATCTGTATGTTTGATCAAACTATCTAATTTGAAGCTTACTTTTAGATGGTACATATTATATTAAATCTCAATAAAAAGAAAGGCCTAACTGTTGTTTAATAAAACAACTAGAATTATGCTAACATTTTTAGAATACTGACATTAATGCTGTTATTATGCTTTTCAGTATTTTAAACATGCTTTCATTAGTATTTCTTGCAGCATTATATCGACATGATAACATTTATAACAAAAAATATATTAATCATTGTCTTTATAACTTATTTCATAAAAAGTCTAAGATGATGTATCAAGACATAATATTTAGATCAAAAGAAATTGCATTAAAATCGACTCGAACTTATTTAGGATTTATTACTACAGGATTGATTTTAAGCTGGATATTATATATTAAAATAGTTTCGTAGTAAAATCATCCATAGAAATATTTATTAATTTAATTATATACCAAGCCATATATTAAATTTATCAAATTATAATTGTATTTAAAGGTTTTCTAAAGATTCTGCTATAGATTATATGTAGAATATTCATTATAATAAATTAAGTTTACCTTTTCTTTTTAAATATCTTTCTTTTATCTTATTAATTTCCTCCGCCGATCTTTTTTGTTGACTTTTAATAACCAATTCTTCATATTTCCGACGTTCTTCTTCCTCTCTTTCTTTTTCCATTTGTTTAATCTGTTCCTGAATTAAAAGTAACTCTTTTTCTCTTTTCTCTCTTTCATGAGCCTTTGAAATAAATTTTGGATTTTGAGCACTTTTTCTAGTGTTTAAATATTCTTGTGATACTTTTGTAGATTTTTTAACTACATTAAGTCCTGCTGATAGAAGTTGCCTCTTATCTACAATTTCTCCATCATCATTTATAGTCACATTAATACCTTTCTCATTCAACTCTTTTGCTATTTCTTCCAATGTCTTTTCCTTTGAAACTTGATCACTTTTTAAAACTTTATTAGATTTAGAGATTGCTTCAATAACTTCATTATGATGTTCTTCTTCTTCTTTAAGCATGTTAAGATAAAAAGAAGCTATTCCCTTAGATTTTTTCCTCATAAAAGCTTATTCTATTAATAAATTTAAATCAAATTATTCAAAATTCACCTTCTTTTCTGTTTTCTTCTTCTTCAAAACGACTCAATTCTTCTTGTTGCTTTTTATATGCCTCCGTAACAAATTTCTCTTTGTCTTTATACATATCGCCTTCTGCTTGTCTTTCAATTTGAAGCATTTTCTCTTGAGCTCTTAATCTATCTCTTTCTCTTACAGATGCTAATTCAAAAAATTTATCCATATATTTTGGCTATAAAATATCATTATCAGAACAAAAAAAAACATAAATATTCACTTTTCTTTGCTCTTTATCTTCATCTGTTTCTTTTCTCCTCTTTTTTTGTGCCTCTTTCATCTCATCATATATCTCATCATATGCATAAACTAAAAATATTTTTTTAGAAAAAAAATACAGAAAAATACATACTAGATGAATCAATTTCTTCTTCTTCTTCCTTCTCTTTCTTGCTTGAATTCATATAATATAGATTTAATTCTTTATTCACCATTTTTGTTGAATTTTCAGAAAATTCTTCATTATTCTCCTGGTTTTCTTCTGAAGAAAAAGCATTTAGATTCTTTCTTATATTTTTATTAGAAATATCCTTATTTCTTGAAGAATTAAGTCCAAATTGAACACTCATTATAAAATTTTGACAAAACTTATTATCACTCCTAATTTTAAAGAAAAAAAACCGGAAAAAAACACTGATATATGTATTTATATGTATTTTCTTTCAAATAAATCAATATCAATTGATCAATCAATCAATATTATTATTAATTTTTTTGAAATCCCAAAAGTATCAAAAATAAACCAATTTTCAAAATTCAAAAAATATATAAACCCTTATATAGGTAAAAATGCCCAAATAATTCGTTTTTATACGTTTTTTCTCCGTTTTACCATTCTTTTTTGCCCTTTTTCCATTTTATAAACTTTTTGACGTTGCCTTCGATCGCTCACAACCTCATAAAAATTTATGAGATAATTGATAGACATGAAAGACCATTATTCTTATATTCCCGGCACAAAAATTCAAGGAAATAACCTTCATATCCTTAGAGATAAGGTTCGCCAGCTTTTAAAGCGTTCAAATGACTCTTTTCCAGGTTTTTTTCTGCTTTTTAAATACTTAATTTTTGATAACCTTTTTTTAGGCTCACAACCAGTTAGTTTCTCTAAAAATCATATACAAACGCTTATAGACAACGAGTATATTAATATATATCTTTTTTTTCCGGTGAAATGACAGTAAAAAGCTATTATTTATGTGAAAAATCAGATGGTATTCGTGTACTTTTATATATTATGGAAGAAAAGAATAATATGGGGAAATTAAGTGAAAAAATATATTTGGTAGATTTTTTTTATATAATACGAGGGATCTTTCTTATATTTTTTTGAAGATTGATCGAAAGAATGATTACTATGAAGTTCAAAACCTCCATTTTCCAGTTTTAAATGATACTACATTTCATAAATTTCATAATGATACGTTAATAGATGGGGAATTAATTTTAGATGAATATGAGGATGGCAGGAAAATATTGAGATGTCTCGTTTTTGATTGCCTTTCAGTTCAAGGAAAATTGTTATTAAATAAACCTTTAGATAAACGACTTGGGGTAAAAAAAAAGATGATTATAGATTATAAAAATAATAAATTTAGTATTTGAAAGAAAATATTATGGATCCTTTAAATAATTTTTGTATGAGATATCCAGATTTTACACGAAAAATGCCTTTTCGGTAATTATAGAATGGAAATCATGAATAATATTTAATAAAGAAGAGTTGAATTTAAAAAAATGGAGCTTTCATATGCAATTGAAATGATGTTTAAAGATATTATTCCATCTCTTCGACATAAAAACGATGGACTTATATTTACATGTCTTAATGCACCTTATACATGTGGAACAGATGAAACTCTGTAAATTATTTTTCATTTTTTTTTACATATTTCTTATTTTTTTCTTAGTTTAAAATGGAAACCTCCTGGTGAAAATTCAATAGACTTTTTATTAAATTTACAATTTCCATTATTACCTAATAGTTTAAACGACTTTAATTACGATTCTATGCCAAAATTTAGACTTTCTGTCTGGGAAGGCGGAAATAAATATTCTGAAATGTATGATATGTATGTTAGTCCTGAAGAATGGGAACAAATGAAAGCATTAGGCGAGCCTCTTAATCACAGGTTCCATTTTTTCTATTTTCTTCTTTTTATTTATTCAAATTTATATAGATTGGTCGAATGTATATATGACTCTCAAAAAAGATGGCGTTTTTATAGATTCAGAGATGATAAATCTCATGGAAATTTTATAGACGTCGTATTAAATGTATTAAAAAGTATTGATGATGCTGTAGACAAAGAACAATTAAAAAATGCTGCTTATGAAATCAAAAAACATTTTAAAGCTCGAGCTGCAAATAAATTAAAAATACAATCATAGTAAATTAAATAAAACTATGTTAATATAAATACAAAATTAAACTATTATTATATATAATTTTATTTTATTTTTCCCTTATAATTACCTTCGTATTCAACCTCTCTATTTTTAAAAATATCCAATGGAGGATAAAAAGCAGGCTTTGATGCAAGTAATCAGGCAAGAATTAGCAGTAGCAAATGCTACAGAGCTTATTGGAGTATAATCCTTTTTTTCCGCTTGAAAAAGGATGAATTAATGGGATTTTTATTAGAAATTAAATGAAACATGTTATGATCGCTGTATTCCTAAGCCTGGAAGCCGCTTTGAAAGCTCAGAACAAGTTTATTTTAAGGTTAAATAACATATTATTTTGTTAACCGTTTAATAGACTTGTATTTCAAAATGTATAGGAAGATATATGGATGCTTGGAATATTGTAAGGTAATATTTAATAAAAAAAAGGACCAAATCAACCTATTTTAGCCGGGCATATATTTCTAGGATTCAAAAAGAGAAGCAGGCGCAATCATTAGGATTAAATAATTAGAATATAACTATTTTAATATGAATTAATAAAATTGAAAAAAAATGTATAAAATACTTAAATAGTATTCCAAATAATTACTAAGATTTATTATGTTTTTATTGGTGCTGAAGACCAATGCGCTTTGCGTATAAATTGTTGTACATCACATTCAACGCTTTTACATAATTCTTTTTGTTTTTTTCCAAATTTATATGTAAAATCAAGACCACTTGCCCTAAAATAATGAGAAAATACGACAATATTAGGACATGTGGATTACCTTTCAATTGCACTAATAGGTGTGGCAAATTCGATAAGTTTTGTATCATCATCAATCCTGGTATTTGGAATAACAAAAGAACCTACTGCTACAGTATCATCTGAAGTATCTCTTGCATATATTATACTAAAAAAGTGTGTTGGAACTGCAACATTGGGAGGATCTCCTATCATTTCCTTAAATATAATTAATTATGTTTTCTATAAAACAATTAATTATACATATGTGACTCTCCATTTCCCATCTGGATCTTTCTTAGGAAGATATAGTGGACCGTTTATGATGGAAACATACTCAAATTTAGATTTTAAACTTCTGGAAAATTCCTCAAAATAAAACCAATCTTTAATTAATTAATATTTAACAATAAAAAATGTTATAACTCTCACAATTCCGATTAAATCCTTCCTAGACAACATTATAATAATAGGAAAAAATGAAGAAAAACTTACTCCTACTTGAGGTGCAATATTTGTAAGATAAAATGTTTCATCAAGAGCATCTTGTGAAAATTTTACATTAGCTGCTGGTATCTTAAAATGTTAATGTATATCAATTAGATGTTAGAAACTCTACTAAATGTCCTCTGTCATAACCACTTCGGAAATAATCGCTTATTTTAGAACGAAATTTAAGATCTATAGTTTCATCTTCTTTAAATTTCGAAAATTTTCTGTTTGAATTATTCATTTTTAAAGACTCTGATGTTATTTCTGTTGTACTCTTTTAAAACCATTAAAGAAATAATATTATCATGTATAAAATTATATACCCATGATGGAACTCTTGTTTGTCTGTTATAAGAAGAGATATATCCTTTTCTAACAATTAAATCATGAACAGGCCTAGGATCACAAAAATCAAATATTCTATATGGATTTATAATTTCATTAAAAGTTCCAACTTTTTTAAGAGAAAGATCATTTAATGAAGAATCTTTAAAGGACAATTTTTTTGAAAAATAGAAAGTCCCTAATAATGCGCCGCCTACAGAACCGATAGTAAATATACTTATTGAATAAAATATCTTTGATATCATTTTAATATTTTTCTAAGTTATAAATTTATAATAAAATATTTTTATTAATTTCAAATGTTGAAAAAATTAATAAAGTCCATATTCTTTCAAAAATCAGTTATTAAAAAATCATAAAGCTGTTGAAAAATCAATTTTGCTGAATTTTAGATCGAAGACTAGATCCCAAAATATATAAAACTATAATATAAATAATAGTTAATTTTAAGAATAAAAGAAATACCAAGAGAAATAATATATGAAAAAACATTAATACTAGCTATAATTATAGACATAATCGTTATTTTTTGTGATAGAGATTCTAGAATTAGTTAATTGAATTATTTTTATAAATATAAGTAAACTTTTAATAATTGCATGAATTATTGCAGAAACAATTAATTTTGAAAAAGCCAAGTTGATATTTACAGCATGTGGATCATCAGAATAAGATGCTTCCATATATTGGTTAAAACTATCCTGTATATAGATTAATAATAGTAATTTTTATAATAAATTATAATTACAAGTATTAATGTTTCTGAAAACCCCATAACAATGTGAGATAAAATAGGTATTATAAAATGGAAAAGAGTATGTGTAGTAAATCCCATCCAAATCAATGCTAACAAATGTTAATATAAATTAAAAGAATTAAGCCTTACAAGATATATAAAGTGGGTATATTATAATAGCAATGAGAAGCTTTGTTTTAATTTTATTGTGTTTTAGTCGTTTTATATAAAACTCATCATAAATTTTATAACATATGATCGCCAATAATACGCCTAGTGCATGAAAAAGTATTAATATAAAAGAATTAGACAAGGTTTTTTGATAGATTTTCGTTAGTGAAAATGGATGAATCTATATTGATTTAATTATGGAAAAATATATAACACCTCTTACAAATAATAGAAGAAGGATGGTATCCCAAACAATAACTTTTGAAATAATAATAAGCAAAAGAATAAAATCTCTCCTTAGGATATCTAAATAATAATGAATTAAATATAAACTATAAAGAAAGAAATTACTCCATGACATTTTAAAGAATGAAAAAAAAACATAACGCAACGGCTTTTTGTCTTCTATACAAGCTATAAATCGTGAAGAGCCTGTTACTCGCCTTAATCTTTCAATTCTTTTATTCAAAATAATTTCAGGTGATGCTTCTTTTAATATTAATATACCAAAGACAAACATAATAGCTGATAAAATTATAACAGTCCAAAACCACCATACAATTCGGTCATTTTCTTCTAGAATTAGTCCAACCACAGGTCCCATATGAATCCCTAGCATAATTGAAGACTGAAGCAACATTTTTGGAAAATAACCCCCATTACCATATATATCAAAAATTGACAGTTTACAAGAACTAAAAATTACGCCCCCATATACTTCCTCCTTAGCTATAGACTTCTATAGAATATTTAACCTACATCCATTTAAAAATCGAAATATAATTAATGAAATTTTATTTGTTATCATTATAAAAAATATGTGAAAAACTGCATGTTTTTATACTTTAATAATGAAAAAAAAAGCCTTTTACATACTTGTAAACATAAAAAGAGAAATAAGAAATATTCTTCTGTTTCCAAAATGTTTTGATAATGGCTTTATACTATATAATCATATATAAAATAACATAAATAAACTTACCTCGCCAATAAACTGTCCATGTGCAAATCCAGAAAACATCCTATACCATTGTCACATTCATTTAAAAATATATACTGTATTTACGATGTTAATAAAAAAAGATGTGTATGAGTTTCAGGTTTTGTTAACACATGTGAAACCTTTTTATTAAATCAGTCTAGGCATAACCACCATTGAATTATACATAAAGTGTAAGTGATAGAAACCTAGAAACCATAAGAAAATATAATTATCATAAAATATAAACTTTACATAACAAAAACCATAATAAACATAATAATAAGATGGAAAAATTTCTTCCTAAAATTCCACATAGATGGATGCTCAGGATCATTAGGATCAAGTTTCAATTTATAAGGATCCTCTGAAGATATTTGTTTCTCATTATTTGTTGAATTCTTTTCTACTCGTGCAATTAACTTCTCAATACACCCTTCACAAATAACTTGTTCTTCCTAAACAAAGTAAATACTTAACTATTTAAGATAATTCTTCTTATAAAACACCATTTAATTGAATCTAGTCTTAATTAACTTTTATTGTTTAAAAATTAGATGTTGTAGAGATCTTAATTGTCGATCTTATATAAGGTTAATATTAATATAACTATTTTCTTTAAAAAAACATAGTAAATATATCTTAATATAATCCATAAAAATTGAGAGAATGATTGTGAATAATAATTGAAAATAATATATAAAAGTATAAAATAGAAATCAAGTCAATTCGATATTGTAATTAATATTTTTGTTTTGTAAGATAACAGGAGATAATATTTCAAGAGAAGGATCATCACCTAGAAGCGGAAGATTTTTAGTATGAATAGAATTAGATGAATTATCTATAGAAATTGAAGTATTTTTGGAAATAGAGGAAGTCGAAGAAACCCTATCAAGAATTGTTTGATTTTGTGTTTTAGAAGGGGTATTAAGTATTTCAGATGATTGTTGATTTGCAGGGGTAGGAAAAAGTTGTTCAAATGGACCATACTTTTGTTCAAAGATTTGAAGTCGTTTTTTTGTTTTTTCGAATTCATCCTTTAAAGATTCAAAAGAGCAATATATGTCGTTTGTTTTAACTAATTCGGCATCTTTAAGATCAAGATCTATAGAATCAGGAGCAATTAAAGGATTATCTAAATTCGAATTATTTGTGTCAATAGACATAGGTAAATCTGGAGATTTAAGCTGACAAATGGGCGATTTTTCTACAGACGATTTAGATGTAATTGGTTCGGTATATATACACGATGTATTTTCTTTGTCTATTTTAGCATGTCTCAAACGTTTTCGTGCTTTAAGTTCTGTCTTTTTGACTTTTAAGAAATCTGAATTTGAGTATTTCTTTAAATGTCGAAGTTTAGTTTGTTTCCTTAGAGATTCCTTATAGTCTTTCTTAGCCTTTATCCATGCACCTTTAACATTATTGATAATAGAAGAGACAAATCCTTTTAAATTTATTGGATTCTGTTTCATTTGTCTTGGCAAATTTGTTATTGCCAAAAAATCAGGCGAATTTTCATCCTTAGAAATCATTGATTTATCCTGTAATTCATATGTATTTTCAGATTCAATTGAGTTATTGTAAGTGTCATTTCCCTTTATTTTAAGAACTGTCATTTTTCTTTGATTACAAGTATTAAATAACAAATTAAATAAAGACACCTCTATAACACAACTTGTAAAAGCTTTAAGATATTATTTAGATGTATTTCAAAGTCAATGATTGAGATCCAGAAGAATTGGCAAGTCCTTAAAAATATCCGCCAGATATCTAAAAACTTAGGTTATTACCATCATAGATAATTGATATAGGGTTAGGTTCATATAAGTAATGAATGATAAGATATATATGATTGTCAAAACATTGCTTTAGTGCTTAATATTTCAAGAAGACTAGCAAGATCTTGTTTATAAACTTCAACACAATATGCATCAAAAGAATCCATTTTAATACGAGCCGAAGTAGCTCGGGCAACTTGAGAAAAAATTAAACCAAATCGATTTTTATTGTAGTTAGTATTTTCTTCCAATTCATCAGAAGATGTAGAAACAGATGTTCCAAGTAAGAGATATGTATCGGTACGTTCATTTAAAGATGCAATTACAAAGGGAAGGTGTCGTATTCGTCCTTGTTCACGTTCTTGTTCCTATTTTTATTATCAATTGCTTGTATAAACAATATAAAACAACAAAACATTACATTAATAGCATCGGCTACCCATATTGCTAACTTAGAAAGTGCAAATGGATGTGTAAAAATGCTGAGATCAGGCCCTTCTTTCAAAACAGCAATACGAAACGCTTTTAAATGTCTAATTGCACGTTTATCTATCAAATATGTCCCAGTGCGAACAATTGCTCTTTGTAGTTCCATAGCGATACTTAAAGATGAATACAAAGCATCAATACTGTTATTAATAAGCTTGGTTTTTGATATCTAAGAAAGCTTACTTATCCAATGCATCAAATGCATCGTAGAAATAAGTAAGCCAAAGATCTTGGATAACATTCTCTTGTTTATTGCTATGCTCTATATCTTTTAATGGTTTTGCGTTCTCCTTATTAGGATCATATTTTTCGCATTTATGTTTTCCTGTTTCTAAGAGAGCGCTAAGCCCATAGCTTGCATCACTAGCACTTAGTGTACATTTAAAACCAAATGTTCGAACAAAACTCGGATATATCAAATCATTTAATCCATACAAAGGGGCTATTTTGTCCAATTTTTCTCGAAGACTTTTCTTTAAATCCATATCCATGTGAGTATATATTTGACGACATTGTTGCAGAGAAATTCCCATTTTTGCAAATAATTTATGCAATTTTTTTTTACCATATTCAGACCAAATTTTTAATTTTGCACCTAAATAAGATGAATGAAGCATAGCATCATACAAACTCCAATGCCGAACTAACATAAATCGAAATTCGTCCTTTGTCTTAATTGAAGAATCATCTGCTGTCCTTCCATTTGCTCTTTTTATATCTTTAGAATCTGAAACAGGAGGATTCAATCGGTTAACTTCATCTTTAAATAAGGAATATAGTTGTAGATATTTACTATAACTTGTCCTCCTATGCATTTCTTGATTTGTTAGCCCTATAATAGCAAGCCAGAGCAATTCATTATCTTCTCTTCCTATATCAGACGCAAGAGAATACATTTGACTGGATATACATTCTCCAAACCATGTACCAGAGTCATAATAATCTGAAATAATTCTTTGATATTTATAGTATTGCTTTCGTCTTGCACTTCGAGAATCATGTTTTGCAGAAGAATCCAAAGAAAATTGGGTAGGCTAAAAAACTTACTTAAATATATTTCCAAGCTAAAAATATACATACATCCGATGGCAATTTCTTGTTTTTAGCGTCATCTGATGGTACCAGATCCCGCGAGGCATTGTTTGATACTGATGTATTCCGTTTTTCTAATTTACTTTTTTCAAAATCTTCATCTTCAAAAAAAGACTCTTTTTCATCAGTTATTGAATCATCCTCCTCCTCCTCCTCCTGTTCTAACTCCAAATCATTCGCCTTAAATGAATCAATTAATAGTTAATAATAATAATTGTCATTAAACCTCTGCCAATGCCTCGTATGCCCTTCGTTCTTCAGAAAGCTTTTCTTCAATATCTCCATCATCAAAAACAAAAATATTATTATCAGAAAATGCATTATCCAAATTCCATGGACGATGTGAATCAATCACATATATACTAACATAATCTTGAGGAGTAAGATATTGAGATAAATCAATCAAAGCACCACAATTTAATAATATAAGAAACCTTAACTAAAATTGTTACCAAAAATCATTATTAAGCAATAAAAATGACACATTTTCATTATTCAAAACCACCGTCTCATTTATATCCATTATATCCTGATAACCTGATACAGGTTGAATTTTATGAGAAATAAAATCATGTTTCATTATTGTCTATATTTTCTCATCAATCAATTCCTCCATATCCCATTAAATCACTGACTGATAACATTTTACAAGCACAAAGTGCATCAACTTCAAGAGCAACAAAAATCAAAACTGTACATGATCCTGATAACGATGCCGCCTTAATTCGAGAATATGCATCAACATAATTCGATCGCCTTATAAACATTTATTATCTTATGCTTTATTCTAGTATAATTATATTAAATAGAAATCTTATCTTATTCTTATCATAAATACCTTAAAATTTGTCCTTTTTAATCCAGAAAAAAACAATATAAATAAAAAAAACCCCAATTTCCTTTAAAAAATATGCAAAATTATATCTTTTTATGCTTAATATAACCCAAATTCTTTTTTTTTGCTCAAAAACACTATATTTTAAGTCTTATAGAAGCATCGAAGAAACATCTTAATTACGCAATATCGCTTATAAATATATAAGTTGTAATTAAAGTTTATGATTGATACCAAGAAGTAATATATAAATATAAGAAAAACCTGTATTTTTGAAATATTTAAGCAACGACATCTTTAGACCATCTTTTTAAAATAGTTGGAATTGTTTTTACTTTTTCTATATAAGAAATAAGATCCATTAATATAATTTCAACACGATACATTCTGCATTCACGATCCAATCCACCAATGTTAGTTAAATTAGTGTTGCATGGTTGTAAAAAATTGGAATTACATAATTTTTCCCATGCATCAAGAAGAATATCTCTTTCCCAGAGCCTTATTGAAGTGTTTTTAATAACAGAGAAGGTGGATGATGATGTAGTCTTTGTAACAAGTTCATAATATTCTTTATATACCATATTAAAATTAAGAGCATCTATATCTCTTGTATCGATTCTTGCAGCACATATTAATAATGAAAGTTGTAATAATGAGATTCCTATAAAGAATTGAATGAAATCTAAGGAATATTTCAGTATTTACCATTTAAAAGAGTGATTTTGTTGTGTGAATTAAAAAGATTTTCAGAAAAAAAAGAATTTTTTTGTAAATTTGATAATGATGATGATGATAATAAAACAATAGGTATAATACAATGTGAATAAAATATTCTAATATCCTTAGAAGTCATGAATAGTTTTTTTACAAGTTGGTAAACTGAATTTCCTTCTTGAAACAAGTCCTATATATTATGTTAAAACTAAAAAAATATAAGAAAAACTATACATCAATTCCTTTATTCCAGTTTTTAATAAATTGAAGCTCTTTTTCTCTTTCTTCTAATGATAATTCAGAAGGAGGCTCGTAATCAATAGTTAAACCAGATCGACAAATTTTAATAAATAGCTCAAGATTATCTGGATGCTTAATTTGAATTATTCTATGACTAAATCTACTTTTGACTCTTTTTTCAAGAGATTCTACAGAATCCTTTAAAAGAAAATTAAAAATATAAATAAAAAAAACAAAATAATACCAATGCACATGTCAATCCAATAACAGCTATAGGTGCCTTTTTAGTTTGGGATATATCAAATAAATTGTATAAAAGAGTTTGACGATGATGTTGTGTAAAAAGATCAAAATTATCTAATACGAAAATGACAGAAATAAAAGTTATGTTAGAAGATAAAGGATTGTAAGATGAGTCAAATTCTCCTGAATTTTTGTTATCATCTATTAGATTAAGTTCTCTAGGATGTGATAAAATAGCTAAAATTTTGAATAAGTTATCAGAAAAACTAGACTAATAAAGATTAATATAAAATAAAAAAAATAAAAGATAAATTTAACTGCTGCATTTTCTTTATCATCCAAGTTCATTTTTACATTCAATTGTCTTGCAATTTCTTTTAATGCAAGTCTATCATCAGTTTGTATTATTCCATTTAATCGTACAACAAAAAAATAAGAAGAAAACTCATTAAGACTATCAATTGCTGTATTGACAATATTAGATTTTCCAGAAGATTTAGGGCCAATAATTAAACAAGTGTTGCTTTCACCTGAATTAATAGTTCGATATAATAGTTCACGTAATTTTGTATATTCTGAATCAAGACCAACAATTGGTGCATATTTTCTCCCAGTAAGTTTTTCTAAGATATGACTTTTAAAATTATTGAAAATTGATTTATTTTCCGTAATATCTTGCTTTTTTTCATGTTCATAACTGATTTTTTCCTTAAATAATCTTTCAAAAGAGTTACTTAATTTATTACTAATTAAATTTGAATCATTTTGGTTATTGAAATTTGTAGCATTAGAATTTATAATAACATTAAAGCTAAAAATTGTTAATTATAAAAACTATAATATTATAATTACTTTTTCGATATATTTTTATTGTCTTCCAATTTATAACTTTTTCTACGTCCCTTTTTAGTACATGTAGTATATGTATTTGTAAAAGGTGATGTTAATGGATCATCCGAAGACATATCTATAGGATCCTGATCTTTATCGGAAACTTTAAGGTTATCACTCCAAAAATTCGGATCATTCGTTTCTTTATTTGTATCTTCTTGTAATTCAACTTCTATACATTCTCTAATATTAGTATTTTTTAATTGATCTGATCCTTGAAAAAAAGACATAGTACTTTTTATTGTTTTTTTCTTTGCTTTAGAAAATCGTTCATCAAGAATATTTTCAGCTTTGTGGTATCCTTCATATTTGTTCGAAATTTCAATAAGTTTTCTTGAATTTCTTTTATCATGTTTCTTACTAGAAAATGTTTTTGTAGTTATATGATCATTATTTCCAATCAATTCATCATCTTCCTCATTCAATAAAGAATTAGATATGTTTCTAGATACAGATTCAAAGCAATGCCTTTTATTCTCTTGAATATCATGAATTTCTTCTGTTTTAGCCTTTTTGACTGATGTTTTTACAATTCTTCCATTTTTTTTCCTTTTTTTTTGTCTTTTTGGAAATGAAAAAGACAATTCATCCTGACTTTGATCATTTGAAGAAGAAAAACTTGTATATTTCTTCATATTTAATATTATATATATATATTGATAAAATATAATTATTCTTGTTTTTTAGATATTTTATAAAACATATTAAATAAATATAATAATTCTCATGAATTTAGCCTATATTTGTTTAAATTTTAAAAATATTTGATTTAATTTGTTCAAATATTTTATTAAAAAACTCAAAATAGCGCTAAAATATTTAAATCATAAAGATATTAATTTAAGAAATTATTATTAGGGTAAAGTAAAAGCTAAGCTTAAATGTACTATTGATTTTCTGAAATAAACAAAAATAAATAAACATTTATTTCTAAATAACATTTTTTAAAAAACTAATAAAATATCTATTTTGTTAAATATATTTTAGATTTGTAATAAATGTTTTTAACATTTACATCACTTTATATTTTTTTTGAAAAAAAAGATAATAAAAAGATAAAACTTTTAATAAATGTTGTTTTAATATTTTTAAAATATAAGTCAAATTGTTTCTTTTGTTTAATATATCAATTATTTAAAAAAAGTCTACATAAAAATAAGATACATAAATTTAGGAATTAAAAAGCCATAATTATAAATTATATAAATAATAAAGGCATTCCAATAATTTAAGATATTGTAATATACTTCTAAAGAATATGCTTAATCTGCCAGAAATGAATATCAATTTAAAATCATCAAATAAATAAATCAAATCGTTCAATATAGTTTTTTTTAAATTCTATCAATATACATAAAAATAAATAAAACATGTATGTCTTAGCACTTAAAAGTATTCTTTATAACACAGTTAAAAAATTACTAAGAAAATGGGGATCTTTTAATTTTGAAAACGGCGTAAATTAGATAATTCATCCAAAAGAGTTTGTAATGCCTCATCCGACTTTTTTTCAGAAAGTGATGGAACTAGAGTACGTGCTTCCTCTGCTTCTTCACAACAAAGTGTCCCAAGTTGTGCTGTTTCGAAAGAATGAAGATCTGGATCCCCTCGTAACACTCTAATCATATTTCCATTAAAAAAAACCCGGGTTACACTATAAAATAGAACTACCTTTCTGCTGCATGTACAGATTCTTGTGTTCTAAATCTCGCAAATATATTAAGATAATCCTTAATCTTTCTTATTACACTGAAAATAATTTGTTTATAATTATCCAAAAAATAATGAAAAAAAATGCACAAAAAGACATACTCTGTCATAACAATCTCATCTCCAAGCTCCTTTTGACGCTGAGAAAGCACTGCCTCCAAAATTATCTTTGCCTCGCTTACAGATAAACATGTTGCATTAGCAAACTCTATTATTCAAAAAAAAAGCATTTATAAGCCCTTTTTCTGAGGAAAAAAAACACAATAAACGCCCCTTACCCTCTCCTAGCTGTAAACGAGATGCATCTTCCTCTTCTAACCGTGTTCTTTGACGCACGCGATGTCTCTGTGCTGCTACTGGCATTACACAGTATATTGAAACATTCGAAATTTTTAAGGCTTTATAGGTTTAAAAAGGATTTTAAAATTAAATAAAAATTGTTAAGAAATATAAGGAAACACTTAATATTAAGCTTTTTAAGAGCTTATTAACTGTTAATATCTTTTTCAATAAAAATTTCAATAAAAACATAGCAAAAACAAGTAAATAAAGTACTATTAAATAAAAGATAAAAGAAAAGACTTGTTTTATTGTGGATATCTGAGAAGAAATATGATATTTTCTCTTTATATTATTAATAAAGCTGGTGGACTTATTTATCAAAAAGATTTTAACGAGGGACTTTTGAGACTAGGCTCAAATGATTACTTAGTTCTTGCAGGAATTTTCCATGGGTTTATTAATTACTTGTTAGATTGTATTTTTTTAATACTATTATTTATAGAATACATGCTATTACAGCTAAAATATCCCCATTAGCGGGTTTAAGCGGACTCGAAGTATTAGAGGCACAAACTTTTCATTTACAGTGTTTTCAAACACTTACAGGTATAGGAATTATATTTCTATTATTTATTTCTTATTATTTATTATTATTTACAGGAATTAAGTTTTTATTAATTACAGAGCCTCAACAGCCTAACGTAGACGCACTGATGAAGAAAATATATGAGCTTTATGCAGATTATGTTATGAAAAACCCATTCTATAAAATGGAAATGCCAATTAGGTGTGAACTTTTTGATATTAATGTAACTGCTGCACTTAAACCAATATTATAAAAGTTTATTGTATTTTTATTATTCTATTTAATATAGAATAGGTTATTAATATGTTAAAAATATTAATATTAGATATAATATTTTTATAACTTTATTATTTGATGATCTCGCTTATATATCTATCATAATTATTATATTTGAAATCAAAAATGAATAAAAATGAAAATGATTTATTAAAGCCTCCAGTTAATAGGTCTATGAGGATTCTGGATAAGAAGTTTTTTAGGAAGTCTATTCTTTTAAGTGCAGCAGTAGTACCATTGAATTTGATATCAACATTTCGTAAAACATGTTCATTGTATTTTTATTCTTTAAATACACCAAGATATTAAGGATTTAAGGGATATTATGAAAAGGATTGTTCCATTTTTCTATGAGGATTCATTATTTAAAAGAATTATCTTGAAACCAGAGATTTCAGTACAAAGTAAAGAAGATTTTTATAAATATGAGAAATTTAATGTTAAGATATGTCAAAATTAAGTGAAAGATCACATAAATATATAAAGGAAAATAATATTTCTATTGTTCCGCATCTTTTAGAGCTTGATTATGATTTTTGGAGCTCTGGTAAAATGATTTTCAAATAACAGATTTTTAAAATTGATATATTTTATTATAAGATGATATTTTAAATGCAATTCTTCCTGAAAATCTTTTAAAAGAGGTTCCATGTAGTTTTACACAGGTAGGAAGTATTGGTAAGGATTGGGGTTGGTTGAAATGTGTCTGAAAAATGAAGCACATATGAATATTCGTGAAGAATATTTGCCATACAAGAAAATAATAGGTGAAGTTATTCTTAGTAAGAATAAGGGAATACGTACAGTTGTAAATAAAGTAGATACGATTGATACAAAATTTAGAAACTTTAAAATGGAAGTGTTAGCAGGTGAAAATGATTTTTTTGTTCAGCATAGTGAGTCCAATTGTCTTTTTAAATTCGATTTCTCCAAGGTATATTGGAATTCTAGACTTAGCCATGAACATAATCGATTAATTGAGTTATTTCAAAAGGGAGATGCTATATGTGATGTTTTTGCTGGAGTAGGACCATTTTCTATACCAGCAGGCAAAAAAGGTGCCATTGTTTTTGCAAATGATTTAAATCCAGACAGTTATGAAAGTTTAAAAGAAAATATATCTTTGAACAAGGTTTGTATACATTTTAGAAATTATTTTTGTTAAATTATAAGGTTGATTCATTTGTAAAAGCATATTGTAAAGATGGGCGTCAATTCATTAGGGATTCAGTTCAGGAATTACTAGATTTTTCAAAACAAAAGATTATTAAATTTTCACATAAAAATGACTCTAAATCACAGAGAAAAATATCAAATTTTGAAGACATTTTAATACCTCAAGTATTTAAACATTTTATCATGAATTTACCCGAAACATCTATTGACTTTTTGGGTATTTCTTTAATTATTTTATTATTTCATTATTTTTTTAATAAATATATAGATGCTTTTAAAGGAATTTATTCTCAACATAAACATTTATTTTTTTCTGATAAGAATTCTCTTCCTACAATTCATGTCTATTGTTTTTCAAAGATTGATCCTCCTGATGATTTAGTTTCAGTATGTTAATATTAAACTCTGATATAAGAAAAATATACTGATTTTTAGAAATTTAGTTCTTCTCTTGGAACAAAATTATCTCAAAGCGATGTTAACATCTATTGTGTTAGAAAAGTTTCTCCCAATAAGGTATCATTAATATATATTTTTCAAATAACACATATATAGGCAATGTACTGCTGTTCATTTAAATTTCCAGAAAGCGTAGCATTTAATTGCATATAAAACATTATGTTTTGCTATATTTTCAATATAATTTTGTTCTTTTAAATCATATACTTTGATCATTTTCTTGATAATTATAAAATAATTTATTTAATATATTTATTAAGTCATTAATAGTTAGTTTTATATAAGATATTATATGTAATTCAACAAATTTCAATTCTCTTTATTTTTTAATATATTTGCTAAAGTTTTTTATAAATATAATCCGCTTTAATTTCATATTTCAATAATTTATTTCTCATAAAAGATATGTTTTCATCTTTTTTCTTCCCTTTTTCTCTATATATAGATCATTATAATTCCTCTTAATATAAAATATATCAATTCGCTATATTCTAAAGTTTCGAAAACCTGGTTTCAATAACTAAATTTAAAATGTGTTTTTTGACCCACAATAAATATATGAAAGATGTTATTTCTAATACAATGATATTTCTAAATCATATTTTACAAAATTCCTGTATTTATCATTCTGCAATTTTCCCATAAAAAAATATTAAATTTAAAAAATATAAGTATCATCCACGTATTAAATCGTATTAAATCATATCAATTGCATTTGTATTCATTATTTCTAATTCTTTTTTTTCTTCATTTGTCTGTAACCTCATTCATATTCATAATTTCTTCCTCTGAACTTGGTTTATTTTTAATAAATTGTCCTCCTGGACCACGAGGCCTCTTCATTGCATGTTTATGTCGACTCTCATGTAAATATGGTTTTATATGTTCCCTTTTTCCCAAATTTTCTTGAATACGTGCCCTTGCTGCTCTACGCTTCAATATCCTATGATATTGCTTCATATTGATTCGAATAGACTCTCCCTCCCCTTGATAACTATATGATGACTTCAAATCATTCATTTTCTCTCTTAAATATAACTCTTCTTTTTTTTCAATAAATGACGTTATTAATACATCCTTAAGTAATGTAGTATTTGGATGTCCCTGATATAAATCTTTTGATCCTTTATTATACAGTTCCTTCTCATTCCTCATTGAAAAACATGCTTGATTATTATAAAATTTCATCTCATTATTCCAATAATTTCCATGAATTATCTCTCCTTCAGAATCTTGTTCTGAATGCTTAATTGCCATTTTTTTTAAATACTCTGGATTTCATACAACTAAGAATTCTGCTTCAAATGGCTTATTGCTTATCTTAAACATATGTATTTTTAAAGTTTTTCTTAAGCTTGTATTCTTAAAGTATAAAATTAATATCTAAAAAAAATAAAAAGCAATAGACAGTTTTCAATAAATCTAAATCAAAAACATAGGTAAAATGTCTGTAAAGCCTTTTTTTTGTATAAGAAAATGAAAATATAAAAAATGCTCTAATAAAATATATATATAAGAAATATTGACTTGATAGACTATAATACTTAAAAAATACATAGATCTTATGAATTATAATGATTAAGGCCTGTTTTCTTTGTTTTCTATGTCGTGTTGTTTATAATAATCTCCAAGTTTAGTATTTCGTATACCTCGTGGAATACGACTAAGACGCATTTCTCCACATAACTGCAAAGTATTCCTTAATAACAAAAAGTAAGATTCAATCTGTTCAAGTCTCTGTCTCACTAGAAATATTTGTACATTTTTTTAAAAAATTGATCTCTCACATTCTAAATCTAAATTTCTTAATAACTCTTCTTTTTCAAATTGTTTTAAATAAATATCAGAAACTACTGTTTTCTGGTCATTTTTTGGCTCCATTAAAGGGTCATTTGATGGTGTAACCTGTTTAAGTCCTTTATATACCTTTTATTATTATACAGAGTAAAATCGAAGCCGGCAACAGACATAAATAAAACAGACATAAATAATATATTAAGAATAGTATAAATATGACATTAGAAGCGACGATGATTGTGTAATTAGAGAATATAATTATCTATATTTTTTTAGAATTTATTGATTGAATTTTTAGGATGGATAATAGTGAATTTGCAAGAAATGGGGATTACTTACCTACACGATTTGGATCACAAAAAGATGCTATTAATTTGATTTTTTCAGAGAAAATGAGAGCACATCCTGAGAATTTAATAGGATTAATGTCTATGGGGGGGAAAGGGTATTAATAAGGGATAATTTTTATGTATTTGAATAAATTTTTAGTCCGGAAATATTGGTTACGTTAACACAAGATTATGGTAGATTTTTAGCAGCAATGCATGAATCAAAAGTTGGAGGGAGTTCGAATATATGTACGAGTATTCAAGTGGCACATGTGTGTTTTTTTTTTAATATAATTGATGAATGATTTATATGAAACAGCTTGCACTTAAACATCGACCGGAAAAACGTCAAAGACAAAGAATTATTGTGTTTGTTGGGTCGCCAGTTACAGAAGACGAGAAAACGTTAGTTAAATTAGCAAAGAAAATGAAGAAAAATAATGTTTCTGTTGATTTTGTTTATTTCGGGGAAATATGTGATGAAAATACAGCAAAATTAAATGCATTTATTGAAGCAATTAATAGCGATAACAATTCGTTTGTTTTATGTATTTTTTTTTTCTTTAACTTTTTTAGACATCTTGCAATAATACCGCCTGGACCTCGTTTATTATCAGATCAGCTTCTATATTCTCCAATAATTGCTACAGACAGAGCTTCTATGCATTCTACTTCTAATATTCAGGGTGGACTTCCGAGTGAACATTTTGATTTTGGTGTAGATCCTAATCTTGACCCAGAACTTGCATTAGCACTTCAAATGTCACTTCAAGAAGAACAAGCTCGTCAAGAAGTATTTCAATTGATTATAAATTAATATTTTTTTTTATTAAAAAATATAGGCACAAGAAGGAAAATCTCGTGAAAATATTACCGACCCTTCAAATGATACTACTCAAAAAGATTCTACTCAAGAAAATACTGAAGAAATGGATGTCGAAAAATAACCTGTCATTTATTCATATTTATTCATTTCACTTTTTTATAAAAAATATTATACAATCAATTCATTTATTTACTTCTTAATTTCACTAAACAAACATAATTATTCGCTTTCTATTATTCTTTCTATATTCTTTTTTGTTTTCTCTTCAAATATCTTGTCTTAACTAATTTAATTATTTGACGACCCTTCAATTTTGATGCCGACTAAGTCTCATTAAACAAGGGTTAAAAAGTAGTTAAATTTAAATATTTAAGAATATAATAAGCTTAAATATTTAAAAAAGGTCTTATACTAAGTTAAAAACCAAATTTTATGTCATTAGAAGACTTTAATGAAAATAAAGAACGCTCTGTATGGAATTTGTTTCAGAAAAAGAATCTACGCCATCCAGAAATGCAGGAAAAAGGGGTATATTCATGTATTAAGCAGGTTGATATAGAGAGGAATCCTCCAAACTCGGTTATTCGTCCTCTTCTAGTGCGTCCGCAGGCTAGAGAAGAGCCTACGATATTATGGAGAGAAAAGAAGAAACGTAGCATACCTACAAATGCATCAAGAAGCAGTACATCGGATAATGGAAGTAGTAGTTTTTCTACGTCAAATGAGTCTAGAAATGAAGAATTTAATAAATGGAAACAATTTATTTTTGCATATGCACAAGTATGGAAATACGATTTTTTAAGGGAAGAATGGAATGTTTTAACGTTATATAGGATATGTATAATCTATCGCGTCCGCCATCACCGCCTACAAAACTTAGAACGCCGTATTTTATACCGCCAAGGCCTTTTAATGAGGGAGAACGTATTGCTGTATAATAAGGCTAATTTTATTTTAATTGAAATATAACGAAGAAATAGGCGCTAGAAAGATATAATATTCTTCCTATATTAGATAAAAATTCGGGGGGTTTATCATTTTCTAGCAGACCGAACCAAAAAAATGAAGCGGAACGTCTTAAACGACTAGTTATTGCGGCACGAGATTTTTTTTCGACGCCTATTGCCTTAATATCACTAATTGATGAGAATCGATGTTATTTCAAGTCAGAAGTAGGACTAAATATGCAAGAAATTGATAGAGATGTAACATTTTGTGCCCATACATTACTTAGTATTAATCCAATGGTAATTCTTGATGCATCTAAGGATTGGAGATTTAAAGGTATAATATAAGCTGTTTGTATTTTTTTAACCTTCTCTAGGAAATCCTCTAGTAACAGATCCTCCTTATTTTCGTTTTTATGCAGGCGCACCAATTATTACACCGGTATTTATATTATATATATATATTTATGATTTGATACTTATTTTGAACAAGGATGGATATGCTATAGGAACTATTTGTGTTATAGATACTAATGCTAGATTATTTTTTACTTCTCAGGATCAACGTCCACTTTCTCAATTTGCTCGTATGGCTATGGATGAAATTATCTATATTTCTCAAATTAATAAGAAAACTAACCCTTTTGAAACCGATTTTCAAAAATTGTCATTAGAATCATCTACTAACTTTCCTGAATTAAATTTTGTTTCTACAACAAATGATTATCAAGCAGTTTCAAATAACAAAGATGTTTCAAGTAGCTATTCCCAGAAGTCTCCTTCCGAATATGTTTTTAAAAATTTTGATCAAGAATTGAAAGCTAAGCCTAGTCAAAATTTTGGAGAAACTACTCAAACTTCTTTTAAATCCGAAGAAATTGCTACTATTAAAGATCCTTCTTTTTATGCAATACCTTCTGATTCACGAATTGGAGAAAAACATCAAATTATTGCTGATGCTTACAAATTTAATAGTCTCCAAAATTCTCCATTGTCACGAACAAAATATAATAAAGAGCAAAAATCATCATTTCATTCATCTCTAATTTCTGAAAATAAAACACTTTCTCCTCAATATTTTTCTAACATATTAGAAAATAAAGGATATGATAATAAGAATTATTCTGAATCTACACAGGCTTCATTAGATATGAATAAAAAGGAGAACACACAGGTATTAAAAAATTCAGAATTAACCCCTCCATCAACACCAGTTAACTTAAAAATTAATTTTGTTAATTCTAAACATAAAAATACTATCTCGAAAGAAGACTCTACATTGAATTCACAGACATTTTCTTCTAATACATCTCATCCATCTGTTTTTGCTACACACGTTATAGCATGTACTTTGGGACTTGATTTGGTTTATATTGTTCAAATTCTTCCTAGCAATTCTACATTGTCAAAATTTCAAAAAAATGAGAACGAGACGACACCTAATGTTTATCTAGATATTGTAGCTGGTTGGGGCTTACCTGATCCTCCTCCTGTCTTGGATCCAGCATTGCATTTACGCGCTTTAAGATCGGAAGGTGGTCTTATTTATCGAAATCCATTACACTTAAATGAAGATTGTCTTGATTATAAAGTCGGTATTTTAGTACCTCTTTGGAGGGATGATATAAATGAATCAAATACCGAAAATTCATTAAAGGAATTGTTATCCAAAAGTAGTTCTGGTGTAGTTTTAGCTGGTTTTACCAAAAAGGTAAATTTTAGATTAATAAAAGGATTTGATTGATTAATTACTTTGCAGGAACGTACAAGTAAAGGGTTTTCCTTAGATGAAATTCAATATCTTCGAAAGTTTGGAGGAGTTTTAGAAAAAGTACTTAAGTTATCAAATATTAAATAAATATTTTTTATAAAAAACTAACATTTCTTGCTAATATTTTGATTCATTAATACATGTTTTTATTATTTTTTATGAAAAAAATAATTCAATTCTTTTATGAATTTATTTAAGTGTAATAAAACTAATACCTCGGCGAGCTTTATTTGTTGCCAGTGCAAGTTTTTCATTATCATCATCATCCCATTTATTTTCGCAGTCTTCCCATTTTTTAGTTTTAAATTCTATATTAAATGCATTTTTCTTAGAATTAAATTTTAACATTTCCCTTGGATCACCCGTACCACTATATATTAATAATATAGTATATTTTGGCAAACATGTATATAGCTTATATACTCTTTCATTAAGTTTCATAAATGCATTATCTACTGATTCTATATCTTTTGTTACAGAATTTTTTGTCCAACCTAAACTATATTCCAATTCTCTAAATCTTGCCCATATAAAATCATGTGAATTAATGTTTTTTACAACGCCTTCAAGAATTTCATCATCTGAAGAACTTGAAACAAAAGTTTTTAAGGAATTTCTATACCATTGCCCTGGTCCTCCATAATCTACAATAGCACATTTTTTTGTTTCATCACATTTTTCTAGTTTTGAAAAAATAGATTCATTATCTACATTAAATAACCCAAATTCCGGTCCATTCTTTAATTTTAACTTAAGTAAATCTATACAAGTTAAAGCATCCTCAATGGAATCATGTCCTAATGCATTATCTTTTTGTATTTCTCTTTTTAACCATTTATGAGCTAACCACTTCAAACCAGGCTTATAAGGAGGCCCTCTAGTGTGTTGAAAAATTGATGATGTATCAATAATATAAGGATGCGCAAATTTTAAAGATCTAAAGTCCCATTCAAGTGAATGTCCAACAATAATGGTATTTTTATCGATTAATTTTAACAAAGCTTCCTGAACATCAGTTATTTTTGTTGTTATATTGGATAGTCTTTCTTCTGTTATTCCTGAATATCTACATATACTTTAAAATACTAATCTAAACAGCATTAGTTCTTACTGAGTCAAATAATCAACAATTGGTGAATCCGGCTTGACAAGTTCATCATATATTACTTGAGAGTCCCAATCAACAAGTGTTACTCTAGTTAATTCAGGTCCATTCTCTGTTTTACACATTTCACAATCTAAAGCTAATACTTTTTTTTCCTTAGAATCTAATGTATTTTCAAAGTCCTCTGGAATATACGTTTCTTTCCAACCACTAGGTAAAGCCTTTGAATCAGGAAAAATGCTATGCAAGGGATAATCCCTTTCAACAAGTTCAGAATATGACATTAAGTAATTTTCCGGTAAATATTTCTTTTGCATTTTACTTTTTAATTTTTCACTCTGACATACTTTTTCTGCGTTCGATAAAGAACATTGCAGAAATGAAGATATAGGCGAATGTACCTTATATCTTTCTCCTGGTGTACGTGTAGGAATAACATAAGAAAAAATTTGTTTAAAATTCTGTAATTTATCAGGACAACATTCTTCTAATGGTACCGGCGAATTCGTAAGAATACAATCCGTATCGAGGTTAAAAAGTGTAGGATCAAGTCCTGGTATAAGCAAAACAACAATTTTTTTAATAGATGTTTTATTCTAAACATATGTTATACTTTTTTTACTCTCAAAAATATAAATTACCGTTATAGCAATCCATGACGGCGCTGATGTATTCCCAATAACCCATAAAACAACATCTCTTAAATCCTTCATATATAAGTTTTCTTTCTTATAAATTAAATAATTACTCCAATTCCAATATATCTTTCTGGCGATGTATTTATTATCTTCAATGTAGGATATTTCTTCTAATTTCGCTTTATAAAACTAATTAATTTTCACTTCATATATTCACCTTTTTAGATTCTTTTTTTGACCGTTTTCCATTTTCCATCCCTTTTAATCCCACTGATTCTCGATTTTCTTCATTTTCTAACACTTTAAACGGATTATAATCTCCTATATTCATACATATATCCTCATTCTTATCCATATCTTCTAATTTACATTCATTTCGTTTTCTTTTTTCACTCGTCTTTTTTTTCCTCTTTTTTCAATAAGATTCCTATCCTCATCCTTTCTACTATAAATACCTTATAATTATCCTCTTCATTCATACTATCTGTCTCTATTTCCATGTATTTTTTCTCTTAAAAATACTAAAAATATACAAAATTTATATCCTTAAAATCCCAAAAAAATACCCAAAAATTTAAAAAATATATCAAATTCTATTCATAATTAGAAATAATATAAGGTTTTACTTCTTTATAACCTATTTTCTATAGAAAATCCATTAATTATTGATTTTTTTTTGTTTTTATTAATTTCAAACGTTGCGCTTTTTACTCTCCAACCTACCTTAAAATTAGATAGAAAATTTAGATTTAGATTGTATTGATTAAGGTGCTTATATACTAAATATTTTATAGGAAAACAAGCACGATATCTAATATGAGGTATTGGTTGGTATATTTGGCTAAGAAATTATAAATTTATACCCAAACATAAGCTTATTCAGTTATATTTATAAATAGTTTTTATTTGATAGTCAGATTAAAGGATTGAAGAGTATGATTGGAGTGAATATTTGCGTGTTTAATTAGTGTTTTTTTATGATTTGGATGTGATACTTAAGTATTTATTATTATATAAGGAGAAATGGAAGAACAAGATCTTAAAGAAACAGCAAAAGAGAGCCAACGAATTAATATAGTAATAGAGCTTTCACTTGATGGAAAATTTAAGTGGGTGGGACCATCATGGAAAGAGGTGATTGGGTAAATATATGAAGTATAATGAAGTAGTTTTAAGATTATAGTATTGATACGGAAAGGATTATTGGACAGCCTATATCAGATTTTTTAGTTGGAAATGAAAATATATTTTCATATGCAACTAATGTGCTATTGAAGGATGATTCTCATATTTTTAGAATTCATTTTAGCATTGTAACAAATATAGCAAGTGACAGGGAAGATGAAAATGGAAGTCAAGGGGAATTTACAGGAGTTATTGAGATGGAGGGTCATGGAATACTTATTCGTGATAGATTTACATTAAATGCTATACATGTATGATTATTAATATATTAAATAGGATGAGATTTATAATAATTGTTTTAGACGATGTGGATAGCACGACCAGTTATAGAAATTGACCCTATAGTGGTGAATATTGATGAAGGGCTTATTAAAACTCTTGGATTTGGATCTCAAGTTTTATCTAATTTTTTAAATGCATTGGCGAATGGTAATTATCAAAATGCTATTTTGCTTCCAGTTCTTTGTAGAATATGTGAACGTCAAATACAGCCTTGGTTTTTCGAAAAGCATACTGAATTATGCACAGTACTTCATAGGACAGAGTCTATTGTTCAGGAATGCCAGGATATTCTTCAAGATCATCGGGAAATTCTTAGTAGTATTCTTAAACTTTTTAATGAAAATCCCGGCGATCCGAATATTGTGTTTGAATATAGAAATCATTTTATAAAATCTGCGCCTCCGGTTATTGCGTTATCCAGTGTTCTAGAATCCATGAATTCTCAAGAAGTATCTTATATTTCACGGATACAACTTATAGAAACACTTTTGGATTATTGTAAAACTGCGTTGGAAATAAAATTACCGGCAATAAAGAGTGAATTTGCAGATATTCCTATAAATGAACTTCGTGTTCAGTCTCCAGAATCTCGGAAACGAATATCATTGGTTTATAATTGGACACCACCAGATATTGAAGATATAGGAATATCTTATCTTTGTAAAGATACTAAAGCATACATATCTGCTAAAGTTGATGCGGTATTGCGTGTACAGAATATTATTCTATATTCTGAAAGAATTCGTCAGGAACTTGATACTCAAGTTCAAAATATTATTGATGAGACTATACAGAAGTTAGAGGAAGAAAGAGTTTTGTCCATTGAAGAATCTGAATCTGAATCTGAATCGTCATTTCGACAAAGATATTATAATGCTAGTAGCGATTTTTCAGAGTTTTTGAAACTACCTATATTAGATAGGGAAAACGAAGCTTCATCATTGGTTTCTCTTAAAGAGTCACCGACTTTAAGACATTCTGGATCACAAAAAAGCTCATCTGAATTATCTAGTATGGATAACAGAGGGTTTTCAAAACTTTCAGCATTAAAAAATTCACCACTTTTATATAGTTGTGACGACATGCCTTTATCATTTGACTTTAAGAAAAAAGGTGGTATATATGGTTTACCAAGACGCAAACCTTCTCCTGTTCGGTATGTTTCGTCTCATAGACAAATTTCTCCGCATAGAAACTTGTCACCATCAAGAAGAGTTGTTTCTCTTACTTCGTCTCCATTAAGGTTTCATCGAAATCATCCTTCTGTTTGTGATTTGACTCCTATAACATCACCATTATTATCATGTTCGGATTTTTCTCCTTCATTGGTTGATCATACTAATAATTTTTATCAACGTTATTGTTCTTATGCATCTGATATAACTAGTCGAATACCTCCGTTATCACCAAAAATATCGTCAATTACTCCTGCAGTTAGAACCGTTCCTTCAATTAAAGATTACGAAATTATTAAACCAATTAGTAAGGGCGCATTTGGCACTGTATATTTGTCTAAGAAAAAGGCTACCGGAGATTATTATGCTATTAAGGTTCTTAAAAAGGCAGATATGATAGCTAAAAATCAAGTGATAAATGTACGTGCGGAACGTGCAATTCTTATGGCACAAGGGGAGTCTCCGTTTATTGTTAAGCTCTTTTTTACTTTTCAGAGTAAAGATTATCTTTACTTAGTTATGGAATATTTGAATGGAGGTGATTGTGCAGCTCTTGTAAAAGCATTAGGTAGTCTTTCAGAAGATTGGGCCAAAAAATATATTGCAGAAGTTGTTCTTGGGTTGGAGTTTTTGCATGATAAGGGTATTGTTCACAGGTAATTGATATATAAAATGGCTATTATAATTGATTTATATTTTTTTAGGGATCTTAAACCGGATAATCTTCTTATTGATCAGCGAGGACATTTAAAGTTAACAGATTTTGGATTGTCGAGAATAGGCTTAATAAGACGACATAATATTAATTATATTCCAAATGAATCTATTTTTGAGCCCTTTTCTCTCCAAGCATCTGGTTTTTCTCGATCTTCGTCTTATGATTATGGAAATCATTCATTTATGTCAGTAAGCGCTATGTCAATAGAGCCTTTTCAAACTACAAATTCGATGAGTTCAACGAATCTCAAAAGAAATGATTCTCATATTTCTGAAAATCAAAGTTATTTTGGCACAAAATCAGGAGATATAGATAGTATTTCTGGTACATTTAATAAAATTAATTTGGATGAACATAAAAAGTCTTTTTTCGAAGATACTACGAGTTTTGTTAGCAGTACTTCAAGCAGTTTTGGGACGTCTAATTTTCATTCAAATATTGCTTCTTCTCTGACAGGTCTTGGAAATCAACCTTTTTTAAGCCTTTTTAGTCCTAATGATACAACGAGGAAATTTGTTGGGACTCCGGATTATCTTTCCCCAGAAACTATTAACGGTAAAGATGAGGATGATACAGGAGATTGGGTAATTGTTCAGTTTGTTTATTGCTCTTAGTTTAATGTATTTAGTGGTCGTTGGGTTGTATTCTTTTTGAATTTCTTTATGGTTATCCTCCATTTCATGGAAATACTCCAGAGGAAGTATTTGAGAATATCCTTTCAAGAAAAATAGATTGGCCAGAAACAGATGATATGGTTTCAAAAGATGCAAAGGATTTAATGAACAGGCTTATGTGTATAAATCGTACACAAAGATTAGGATCTAAAGGTCCAGATGAAGTTAAATCTCATCCTTTTTTTTCTGATATAAATTGGGATACATTACTTAACGAGGATGGCTGTTTTGTTCCTACTTCATTGGATCCTGAAAATACAGAATATTTCGATACTCGTGGTGCTGTTCTTGAGAAATTCGATGATGATGCTGAAGGTTCTAATACTCAGATTGACGAAAGCCAACCTAGTATTTTAGAAAAAGGGCATCAATGCTGTTCTGATATAAAAAATAATACTGCATCTTGTAATACATCTTCATGTTCTGAGAATTCTATCTTAAAAACTCAAAAACCAAATGAATCGCCTAGAACGGCTGATTTTGGTTCCTTTTTATTTAAGAATCTAGAAGTTCTTGAAAAGGCTAATAAAGATGTTATTCAGAGGCTACGTTCTAAACATCTATCTCAATCTTCTCCTATCACTTTGGCTATTGATACAGATTATCAAAAACATCGCCATCGATCTATTTCTACTATTATTCCAAAAGAGTCATTATCAACATCACCAACATCATCTGCTTCAATATTATCTACGTCACCTAATTCTTTGATGACAAAAGTGTCACTCGTTTCATCATTTCCTGCTTCACCACTTAGTTCAGTTTCATCTTTTGTCAATACTACTAAGAAACGTTTTTCAAATAATCTACCAATCTCGGTTCCTAAAGATGATTGTTCGAAGGTACCAAAACATACTAGAAATTCGTCTTCGTCACATATTGATAACTCCTTACTAAATAAAATATTCCCAAAAAGTAATATTACACGTCGTCGAAGTACAATGCCTTCAAGAATGAGACCATCTATCAAGGAACAATTAGATGATAGTATTTTTCTAGATTCATGTGATAATAATAGAGGGAGTCAAACGGTTGAATTTTCAACTTCATCTTCTGATAACGAAGAATTCGGAAATGGCGCACTTTTAAGGATACCAAGACGTTTACATCTTAAGCGACTTTCAGTGTCTTTTTTGAATAATACTTTAAATAGACCATTGGATATATTATGTATTACTTTAAATAGTTTTTATACATTACTAATGTTTTTAAAGTGTGCGAAAGTAATTCTGCTTCCAGAAAACTTTCAGAAGCAATTTTAGAAAAACTTGGTTGTCGTGTTGTCAGCGTATCTGATGGAACAGAAGCTATTAGTTATGCTACTGGAGATGTAAAATGTATGTATTTTTTTTTTATTTTTTATTTAACTTTATATATAGTCGATGTTATTTTTACTGATATAATTATGCCAAGATGTAATTTTTCTTATTAATAACATTAAAGCTTACTTATATTAGTGTCTGGTATCGATTTGGCTAGAATGATTGTACAAAGTGGCAGTATTAATAGTATTACTCCAATCATAGCAATGATCTCATTTATGGATACTGTTCCTCATCCTAATTATTTTGTTTCAGAACTTGAAAAACCGCTTGATTTTAAATTAGTCAAAAAAGAATTAGAAAAAATATGTAATTGGAAATATCATGAGAACTCTCCTGACATTTCTATCGAATTTACTTCTTTTAAACATTAACTTTCTCTTTTTTTTATTAAATACTATGCATCATTTCTCATTTTCTCATCATATATCATTGGTCTTTATATATATATTACTTAAATTATTTTAATATCTCTAAGTTTCGATATTTTAATGACCACCTTTAAGCTTCCTACTCTTCGTAAACCTACTGATCCATGGGGACCTTCTGATACTATTGAGACTGAAGAGGATATTCCTTATACACCGTTTAGTAAAAGTGATAGACTTGGTAAAACAGCAGATTGGACGTTGGATCCTTTAAGAGATGGACGTGAACAAAGACAGCGGCAATATGGACGATATAAAGGTATAAATTTTTTCATATATAGATATTTTGATAGTAATATGAGTATTTTAGAGCAATATCAAGTCTATGGTTCAGGCGTAGCGTCTATTTTTGCGTATCAGCATTCAGAAGATGAAAGTACATTTTCAGTTGTAGATAATCGGACAGGAACAAAGACACGGCTTGGTAGTCGATCGGGAGCCTTGCTTCGTGGTCGTGGAAGAGGAAATTTAGTCCGAGGCTCTGGACGAGGGAATTACTTTGTTCGAACGGTTGCAAGAGGATATCAAGAAGCGAATAGAAGTGTTCGTAATGGATTTCAAATTTCTAGAGGATTAAAGAAGTTTGGATGGAAGGAATATGATAAACCTCAACGTCTTCGAGATGCCAGTGTGACAGTTAAACATGATTGGCAATTATTGGAAGAAATTGAATTTAGTCGATTAGCTAAGATGAGTTTTGAGGTAGGCAATGGTATAGATTTGGAGACATATGGATTTTTGCGTTATTATGATAAATCTTATGATAAAATTTCAACAAAGGCAGAACGTCTTCTTCAAGTGATAGATGGGGTTCATTATAATCCTACAACAACGGATGATCCAGTGATTCAAAAATTAGCTATGAATAATGAAGCCAATGTATTTATTGTTGATTCTATACTTAGTCTTCTTATGTGTGTAACACGTTCTGTTTATTCTTGGGATATTATTGTTATTCGTGAAAGTGATAAATTATTTTTTGATAAAAGAGAGGGAGGTCCATTTGATTATGTAACAGTTAATGAAAATGCTGCTGATCCTCCGATGGAACCGTCAGAGGGTCAAAAGGAAACAATAAATACATCAGGTCAATTGTCTTTAGAAGCAACATATATTAATCAAAATTTTTCTCAACAAGCTTTAAAAGATTCAGATTCTGAAAAATATTTATTTTCTAATCCTAATCCATTTTATAATCCAGAAGAAGAAACAGAAAGTCTTGCAGCTCGTGGATATAAATATAGGAAGTTTAATTTAGGAATGTTTGGAGATGTGCCTGTTAGTCTTATTTGTCGTACAGAAGTAGATGCTATCGTAAAAAATCCATCTGGAGAAGACTTTTTTTGTTCAATTAAAGCTCTTAATGAATTCGATCCTAGAGCTCAAGGTGCTGGTGGTGCATTAGATTGGAGATCTAAACTCGATAGTCAACGAGGTGCTGTTGTTGCTACCGAAATGAAAAATAATAGTTGTAAACTTGCTCGTTGGGCAATACAATCTATTTTAGCTGGTTCTCAATTAATGAAGCTTGGGTTTTAATTTTTATAAATATTATAATAAATTTTAATCTTTTCTATAGATATGTAAGTCGAGCAAATCCACGAGATGTTCAACGGCATGTAATTTTAGGCGTAGCTGGATATAAACCCAAAGAATTCCTTTCACAAATGAATTTAAGTCTTTCTAATGCATGGGGAATTGTACGTACTATTGTCGATTTATGTTTAGGATTGCCCGAAGGAAAATATGTTCTTGTTAAGGTTTTTTCTTTTATTTATTTTTATTATTTATTATTAATTTTTTAAAGGATCCAAATAAAAGCATTATTCGTTTATATAGTATTTCTCTTTTTATTTTATTACTTTTAACATTTTATATTTTAGGTGTTCCATCGTCAACTTTCGAAGAATCTAATGATCCTAACTTAGATGATTTACTTACTTTTGAAGATGGAAATGATGAATAAGATTTCATAACTAGTTATAATAGATTTAAATCCCTTTTATCTTAAAATTATTATACTTTTTAATATTTTTTAATTATCTCTCGACGACTTGTTTTTTTAATATTTTTTAAACATTTAAATAACTTTTTTTATATAAAATTCAAGTTATATAAAGATATTATGTCTTCATTAGACTGTTATCGTCCTTCTTATGACTTTTTGGATGATAGAAAAAGACGTTTAGATAGGGATGGATATGGTATAAAACATAAGATAAATATTTTATTTTAATAAGTTATAAAACAGATGATGATAGAAATGTTAGATCTCGGCATTTATATAGAGAAGGGAATAAACGGTATAGTAATGGGCGCTGCCGTAGTAAAGAACCGGAAGAATATAGACATAGACATGAATTTTCTCGGGATTATGGTAAGAAAGATATATTTAAGAAAGATTGATAGAAATATATTATAGGATCGTATAAAAGGTTAATATGAATGATAATAGTTTTTAATAAATGTATACTATTTATTAATAGGGTTGATCCATATACTTTAAATTATTTGGTTTCATTTTCTATATTTAATGACTGGTATAGATCGACTAATACGTTTATGGATATTACAGATGAAGAAATGTATCAAAAATATGAAGCGTATAAGCAGGATCTTTATGCACGACTTGCAAAGCCATTTGTTTATAAACATATGGATGAGCCGTGGTTTAAAGAAAAATATTTGCCAGATTGTCGAATGCCTATATATGAAAAAGTTATTGAGGTTAAAAAAATAGCTCGAACAGGGTTTTTAGAATGTTTAAAGAAGGGGACATTCAATGATTTTACGATGGATGATGATGAAACAGAATTAGTGCATGAATCAATACCAATAGAAAATGCAACCCATATTTTTGAAGAAAGTTTTGATGATAATTTAAAAACGTATAAAAATGTTCTTTCGATTAAAAATATTACGCCAAATGTTAATTATACAGATCTTACATCGGTAAAATTGATATTTTTAAAATTTATCTTGAATTAATTTAAAAAGTTGTTATCTGGATATCCTATTGTAAAAAATATTATATTATCAAATCCCAATCCTTTTCGTGGCTTTATGAGGGAAGGTTATGTTGAATTAAATGATACTGCAGGTGTTGAAAATTTGATTCAAACTATTCAAAGTCAAAAACCTAACGAAAAAGCGGGCCCAATTACAGTCGTATTTTATAATTCACCTTCTTTTTCAAGAAAAATATTATTACCTCCTTTGTTAAATACTCCTAAAAATCTTTCTCAAGATTTAGAGTTCGCAATTCAGACAGTCAAAAAGTTAGACAAAAAAATAGATGAAAACTTTGATTTTACAGAAGAAATTAAAGATTATACAGGTTTTTCTACTTCTGATTTTCCAGAAAACCCGGATGATAAATGCAAGATGGTAAGTAATGTCATAATTAGTGAATAATTATAATTTTTTTAGATAAAAAAGACTTTAGATCTTTTAATAGAATATTTACGCCAAGTTCATTTTTTTCATTTTTATACTGTCACCGAATATGATTCTAGGTATGAACTTGAAAAAACGTTTCCTGGGAAGGTTGTCAGGTTATCTAATCAATTGGATGATTCTCAGCTTTGTTTTAAACAAGGTAGAAGTTTTTTTTTAATTACTTCATTAATATTTTTTAGAATTATGGAGAACAAAATTTGTAGAAAAAATGAATATTTTCTTAGAGCTAGAGAAAGCAGATCTTGTGAAACTTGGGGGGAAACCATTTGATGAAGCAGTTGAACTTAAAATTGAATCACATATTAAACAAGAGGATGAAAAGAGGTTTCGTTGTTCTGTTAATGATTGTAAAAAGCTTTTTAAAGGGCCCGAATTTGTTAAAAAGCATATTGAAAAACGGCACTTAGAATGGTTGAATGAAGGGAAAAAAGAGGTTAGGTTATATTTTATCATATATTTGATTTTAATTTTAAAAGTTCATTTTATTAAATAATTATGTTTTAGATACATCTCGTGTATTTCCTATAGAGGCATATTCATATTCTGATAAAATTAATCAAAGAGGTTTATTAAAAAATAATTCGGATATTTCGCCAAAATCAATATCTCAATCGCCTTCAAGTGGATCTTTTTATTCTTATTCTCCTTCTGAAAAAGTAAATATAAATTATGATCAAGATATAAACCATAAAAAAAGTTTGCCAGGAAAAGGATTATATAACAAATTCAAAGTTTTTAACGAATATAAAGGAAGGAGCGATAATAAAATGTCAAGAGTGTATAAGGATCTTGATAGTGTTGTAGATGAAACGCCTGATTTAAATTATTGAATATTAGAATCTTTTAATTATGTAAGATATCTATATATTGACATTTGAAATGGCTTTATATTAAAATTTTTTATAAAAAAGCAAACTATATAAAAGAATAATGATAAATTAATTAAAAGTATTGAATAAAATAAATCTTAATTTTAAAAATCTTGCTTATTTTATAGAAATTTACTATAAATTTTAATGTAGTTTAAGAAATATTACGAAGACTTATTTATTCTTGCGAGGCCATTTCAATAATCACCAAAAGACCATTTCGCATTCATATCTCGTTCTAGTCTAGTAATAGTATCTGCTTTTTCAATATTTGTATTTTGATCTTGATTTTGTTCTGAAGGTGAATAGTCAAATATAGAATATTTTGGCTGACAATATGCTTCATTTCGGGTTACGCGAATAGGTGGATTTTCAGTTGGGCTATCGTTAGAAAATGAAAAATGAAGTTGGTTTTCGTGATAAGATTTAGCATTTAATAGAACATGCTTCTTCTTATCAAGTTCAGCATTTTCCGATACTTGGTTAGAAACGTCTTGTTTGCGTTGAGTAACAGGTGTATTTTCAAATTCAGTCCAATTACGTGACATAGCACGCAATGCTGCACCTTTTTTTGTCTTAGCTAATATTGCTAGCCTTTCCTCTTCAAGCTCTTTTTCTGTAGGAGTACTAAATTCAAAATGTGTAAATTTAGGATTTTTTTTTAAAACATTAGTTTTCTGTTGATTAGGTTCTTCATATTCATTAAATAAAATAGAATTGATGTTTGATACATTATGAATTTTTTGACATGCCTTAGGAGGTTTAACTGAAATAGGAGTGCCTTTTGCAACAAAAAGATCTTCGTATGGACGTTGAATCGGCCTAGTTGGTGAACGAGGTCGAACAGGATTGTGATGAAATTCTCTAGATGGCTCTTCATATGGCTCAAAAAGTGACAGCATCCTTGGCGTTTCCTGCTTTAATAATAAATATAAATTTGAAATAAAAAAAATAAAATGCCTGTTTTTTTTTAGAACAAGATAAATTAGAACTATCAATATCTAATAGGAAATTAATTTACATAATATTCCAATTAATAATTATACCCTTATTCTTCATGAAATGATGTTGTTCTTTACCAAGTTTAATAGGCAAAGCTTGTCTGCGGTTACTAAAAATTTCAAGTTGCTTAAGGATAGTTGCTTGATCCCAGAAAACACGAATATGTGATATTTTTTCATTCTCATCAAACTCTATTATATATATCTAATCCAAATTACCCTTAATCCATCATAATAATAAACAATAAATACGTGTGGAAGTTGAATTTTACGGTCAATATAAAAATTGTCTTCAAGTCCTGGAACGAGCCATGCTGGTCCACTAACAAACTCAATATCCAGAAACACCTCTGAAACTATGGAGTTTCCTGCTACGTGCAGATTAATTACTTCTTCTTTTAATTTAATCTGAGTTTGATATTCTGAAAGTTGCAATAATATATTTTTACTCCCAGAAAAACGTATACATGTTGTTACATATGTTAAAATACATTGATCTGAAAATATTGATTGTGATGGTGCTTGCCGGAATTCTTGATAAAGCTTTAAAATGGATTCTTTTGTCAATTGTTCCATAAAGGTTTGTTGATATTTTACCGAGAGTCGATCATTCGTGTAATTTAAAAGGAAATTTTATTATGAAAATAATATATTTGTTTTTTTATAAATACTTGGTTTTAATGTGTTTTCTATTAAAGAATTAAAAAAATAAGTTTTATTAAAGTTTATTGAAAATAAAAAGATTTATATTAAACATGAAAGCTGTAAAAAGATTAATATTTAAAAAAATGAAGAAAATATATGTGAAAAATGATTTGATTAATGTGTAATTGCAGATTTTTGAATGTAAAAAAGTTAATTATTTATATTTAAAAGGGTTAAGATTTATCTAAATAATTGAAGTTTAGCCTTATTTATATGTAACTTTTAATTATAAAAACAATATATTGAAGAACATAAAAAAATAGTTATAAAAATATCCTAATATATTTAATATTTTTGTAATTAAAGGAAAAAATAATGTTTTTGATTTATTTTTTAATTAAATGTTAAAGTTAATATATTTTTATTATATATATTTCATAGATATTTTGATAATATAATATATAGAATCTATCTTGAAAAAAACAGGATATGATATTTTGAATTCTAATAAATTTCATTTTTATATGGCTAATAATTTAAAAAAATAAGATGACCATTTAATTTGTAGCATCTTGTGAGACAAAAATTATATCGATCAATAGACAAACAAACCAGTGAATTGTATCCTTATTGTTAATAAAAGTATTGTTTGATATTGTCATCGTTCATTTTTTTGACTTTGAATTTGAGCTTCTGTAAAAAATTTAGTTAATGAATCTATATAAATATAAACAGTATTACCCCTACGAGTTGCATCTTCAAGAAGAGCTGTATCTACATTTTCTGAAAGCAAATGTATATATCTAACAACACTTCCTCTAATAAACATATTTTTTACAGAGCTCTGATAATTTATTTAAAAAGAAAATTCAAAATAAATAAAATTTACCAGATGTGGATACTTTGACTCATCTAAAACTTGACAATCATCAATCCGTAGATTTAGGAATTGGTCACAAGATTTTAGGATGCCTTTTATAGACAAATCATTTTTTAATTCTACGATTATTTGTGTGTCAATCTATTAATAAATTTTAAATATTACATATGTTTTAAATAATACGTACAAGTGTTTTAAAAAACGAATAAAATAGCATTTTATAGGATTAATATTTCTTTTTTTCTTTTTTTAAAAATTATAGATTTGTATTCGCTAATCTAACATATCAGTCTAAAAAAATAAAAAAAAGTTAGAGGTATACTTATAGATTTAAAACAATAATAATAATTTACATTAAGCATGTTTTTTAAAATAAAAAACATTTTTGTTAAAATATCAATTTTTATTAAAAAATGTATTTTTAGTTCAGAATTTTATTAAATTATTTAATATTAGAAAAAGTTCTTTAGTTAAATATTTGTATTTCAGTGTTGAAGAAAACTAATCAAAAGAATTACATATATAATATATATATATATATTTGTATATTAGAAAACATAAATGTATATTTATATTAGTTTTATAAAACCCTAGTCGACTTTTAAGATAAATAATATAATTATCAATATATCTTTTTATGGTATATAAAAAATTAAAGATAAATAATTCAATAACCTATTGCTAAGCCTGACTATAATATTAAAACAATGAGAATATATGAGAATTTTAAAAGATAAACTCCATTGAAATATATGAAAAATACTAAATTATTGGATATATTATAAACAGTAATAAAAATGCAATTGTAATTTATAAACATGCTCTCCCTGTAAGTACTTCCTTTAATAATCCATTTTCGTTTGCATTCTCTATATCATGAATATTCTAAAACCCAAATTAAAATGATAAAATTGAAAAATATAAATTACACCAAGAATTTTTCCTTCCTTAATAACTGCAGGAAGAGATTTTCCATTATTAGAACGATACCAAAGTTCCTTTGCCGCTGGATTGGATGCAAGATCTACAATTTCAAAAGGAAGACGTGCAGTCTCTAGAAGAAATTGAAGACGAGATGTACTTGACTGGATCTATTTTATATTAGTTAAGAATTCTTTCAAAAAAAAATATACAAATAAAGAAGCTGATGCGAACGATGTATACAATTGTAATATGTGGCTTTCAGAACTATCCATAGATTTATTAAACTAATCTTTTAATTATATCTAAAATAATTTAATTAATTGTTTTATCTTAGATTGATAATCGATAAATTATTTTGAACGATATTTATATGTTTTTTTGAAATACAATAAACTAGCGACGTGGGGAAACGGCTAACCCGTTGGGCTCATAACCCAAAGATAGTACGATCGACACGTACCGTCGCTAGGTTCGAATTCTTAAAATCCTGAATCCTAATGATCTTTGTATCGGGGTTAGGGCTGCTATTTTAATTTTAAAACTAGCAAAGATTAAAGAATATAACTAGTATAAATATGTATAGAAATTAAAGTAGTTTAGAGTTTAGTAAATAATTAATTGTTTAATAAAAATGGGTAATTTAATTAAGAAATTGAAAATATATTGAATTTTTTATCATAAAAATTTTGATAATTAAAAGTACAAGATAAAATTCGAGGTGACTAGCCATCATTTGTTTGTTAAACATAGTTTTAAGGCGGAGGAAGTGGAAGTGGTGAAGATGATGTATAAGATGATGAAAAAGGTGATGAAGAAGGTGATAATGGTGAAGGAGACGATGGTGACGATGAAGGTTGATAAGTATGAACAATTCGACGAAATGTTTGTATAACAGTACTGGGATGTGTAGCCTATAAAAAAAGATGAGGAATAATTGATAAAAAGTTAGTAATGATATACTTGAAAAATACTAGTGCCTGCAACAATAATGTTGGCGCCTATATTTTTTAAAATGATATTATAAAAAAGCAAAGGTTAAACATACCAGCTTCAGCAGCAAGAGTAACAGTGGTTTCAGTAAGACCTCCATCAACTTCAAGATTAAGATCTGGATATCGATGGCGAAGAGCTCGTATTTTAGAAATGCATGATGGAATGAACTATTAGTGATTTAGTTAAAAATGAAAGAATTAAAAAGACTTACTGTTTGACCACCAAATCCAGGTTCCACTAAAAAAAATAGTTAGAAAAAAAAAAATTGTTAACAAAAAACCTGTCATTATTAGTATCATATCCAAGCGATCTGCAAGAGGAAACAAAACTGAAATGGGTGTCTTCGGTTTTATAGCAATCCCTGCCTTCATTCCTGTTTTATGTATAATATCTATAAGTGTTGATGGATTATCTAAGAAAGTTATTATTATTATTCATATAGAAATGTTAAGACTTGTTGCTTCATAATGAAAACAGTATATATCTCCTCCAGCTTCTGCAAAATCATGAACCCATTGTTCTGGCTTTGATACCTAATACCCGATTCAAATAAACTTAAATATAACAAGTTTAAATACCATCATATGACAGTCAAAAATAACCTCACTTTTAGGAATAGCTTTTCGTAAACATTTAACTACTGGTGCTCCAATTGTAATATTTGGGACAAAATGTCCATCCATGATATCAAGATGTAGCCAATCTGCACCTTCTATTTTTGAAAAATGATTTAAGTTCCATATAATTTAATCTTACTATTTTTTATCATCTAATATAAAGTATAAACAAAGTTTAGAACTGTAAAAATAAAACTTACTTTAATTCCTTCTTCTGCTAAACGTGAAAAATCGCCTAGTTATAATAATGACAAAATCACAAATTAGTAGATAATTACCTGCTAAAATGCTGGGTGCAATAATTGCTTTAGGCATTTTAAATAGAATTTTATGATTTTCTAATAACCTTTTTTTGAGATATATTATTAAAAAAAAGACTATGGATCAGAAAAACAATAGCTTTCGTATGTAATGTTGATTGACAAAGATTTTTATTATTTTATAAATTAAATAAATAGTAATTTTGCTTATAAACATGTATTTTTGATTATACTTAGCGAGCTATATATTAATTTAAAATATAATTTTAAATCAATTATTTTTATTAAAAAAATAACTCATAAATAATAATTAATTTTCCTTTCTTTTCTTTTATATAATAAAATTTCTTTAACATTAGAATAACTTAATGATTTTTTGTAAAATTTTAAAATTAAGTCAATTTTGAAAAAAAATCATTATTAGTATTAGAAACTTCAGATTTTAATAAAAAACAGTTTAGTTTGAACATATATATATATATGTAAAGGCTCTGATGTTAAGATTATCATGTTTATAAAACGTATATTTGAAATCTTTAGAAATCATTTTACTGTTTTTATTATATCTGAGAAACTTATATAATTTCTAATATTTTAATTTATAAATTTAAATTTATAATATTGTATTTCAAATTCTAATTACTTATATAATTATTTTTAATCATAAATTTAACTCTTATTTTTTTAAAATAATTATAACAAATTTTTAAAATAATATTTGTTCTATTTTAAATGTTTAATGATTTAAACTGGATTACTAGTCAACTTCCTGATCTTTCAGATAAAGTTGCTATTGTTACAGGCGCAAATTCAGGAATGTAGGTTTTTTTTTTAAAAATAAAAGACTTCTAAATTTTAAGAGGTTTTGTAACAGCCCGTGAGCTTTTAAGAAAGAATGCTAAGGTTTATATTGCCTCACGGTCTAAAAAGCGTACAGAAGAAGCTATTAAAAATATCAAAGAAACTTTAACGAATCCAAACGTTTTTTGGCTTGAATACGATGCATGTGATTTTAAGAGTGTTAGCAATGCAGTTTCTGCATTTAAAAATAAAGAATTGAAACTTCATATTTTGGTTAACAATGCGGGGGTATTAATTTATGTATTCTTAAATATTATTAATTAGTAATTTCAGGTTATGGCACCCCCATATTCAGAAACGAAAGATGGATTTGAGGTTCAGTTTCAAACAAATTATCTTTCTCACTACCTTTTTACTCGTCTATTACTGCCTATTATGAAGAAAACAATGGAAAATGAAAAAGAAGGAGCTGTTCGTATTATTAATGTAAGCAGTCGAGCACACTCTATGTTTTTTAAAAATATAACTTATAACGATTTGAATATTAAACCATTTTGGTATTGTCCTGAGTTAATACTTAGATGGTAATTTATAGTATATTTTTTAATACCATGCTTAAATACTTTAGGCAGCGTTATGCTCAGAGTAAGCTAGCCCTTATTCTTTTTACAAAATCTATATATCAAAAATATTCAAAAGATGGAATTTATGTAATATCTCTTCATCCTGGTGTAATAAGGACGGGGTTGTTTAAATATAGTATATTCTTCGCAAATAAAAGTTTTAAACTAATCTTTTGTAGCCAATTTTTTAAAGTCCTTTTTAATTTTTTCGAGGCTATTTATAAATCAAGAAGAAGGAGCTATAACTCAGATTTTTGCAGCAGCTTCTAATGATATTGTTGAAAAAAAACTTAATGGAGAATATTTAGTTCCGTATTGTAAAAGGGCTATACCATATGGCGATTTTAGTGTAGAAGCATCTGAAAAACTTTGGGAATTTTCTGAGAAAGAATTAAAAGATAGAGGCTATTTATAATGATTTATAAAAATTAGATTTTCATTTAAGTAAAGTATATATTTTAAACATCCTTATTATATCTTCAAAGCCTGCTTCTTAGAAAATTATTGGTTTTGATTTTTTCTTTATTGTCTTTACTAATTTTTTTTTTCTTTTCTATCTTTTCATCAAAAGTTTTTGAATCATCTAAAATTTTCCATAACCAATCCGGGTATTCCGATTCTTTAAGTGCTATAGGATCCATTTTTTCTTTATAAATATTGATTCCTTTTAAAACTGTACCTTCTGGAGCTAGACTTTTAAAAGAAAAGCCTTTTGATATATTTTTAATAACTATTGGCCAAATTTAGTCTTTAAATATTTAAAAATATATATCTTGTTTCTTACATTTATGTTTTATTAGCAATTTAGAAGCTATTTTATTATAAAAAACCATTGAGGAAATAACTTTCTAAAAATTAACATAATTTTTTAAAGAAATTTTAATGTTTAATCTTAAAATTTTAAACGATAAAAATCCAGATATGAAATTAAAATAAAGATAAATTTAGCAATTACTGATATTTTATTAACATTTACGTGAATATAATTCAAAAAAAGATGATTTATTATAAATACTAAAATATTTTTAACAGTTTAAAGATTAGTAATTCCTATTTAAAAAATTCTTTATAATAAAATATTAAATACTACAAATTTTACTGAAACATATTCCTTAAAAATGTATTTGATAAAGTTATAATCTGTCATATAATTTTTATAAAAACTATTATTCTTTTAATATAAATTATTTTTTTTCATTTTAAATTAATTTTATCTAATAAAATAACTTGAAAATCAATATTTTAAATATAGTTGAAATTGAATAACAAAATTTAATATTATTATTAGAATCATTTAAGAATCATTATTTTCATGTCATAAGAGGTTTTTTATATCTTATCTACATATTAATCAAAAAATTTTGTACATTATTATAGATTTATAGTATAACTTTTTTTATAACATAGTCGTTGTCTAGAATATTTAAAAATACATCATTTTTTGCTTATTTTTTAAAGATTCGAATTATCTTTTGCATAATAATATTCTTGAATTATTTGTAAGAGCATAACCCTCTATCGAAAGGCATAAACTTTTACGCGAATACTCCTCAAAGTAGATTAGATAATAATACGTATTATTAAATAAATAATATATCCATAAGCAATTTAACTTTCTTTCCTATACTTAAAAAATATTTTTATTGCATCTATGTTTATTAATATGAAATTTTGAATTATAAAAATATGAACAAAAATATAACTGAGTTAATAAAATAAAAATCATGCAAATATTTAATAGCAGATTTAGATTAATAATGCCAGCAAATAATTTAAAAGTTTCTTTATACTGCCCTATTTTTTTAAAAGATTAATATTGTTTATGCTTAGAAACACTAATTAAATAGCATTTCAAAGAATATAATTTTTAGAAAAAAAAGCACTATAAGCAAAAGTAACTTTAGAATATTCGAATACTTTTTTGTCTAGACTTGGATTATAATATATGTTTTTGGATAAACAATATCAGTCTTTGGTTCCTAAAATAAAATCTACTACGTTATTGCCTTATAAACCATGTGGGAAAGGAAAAACCAAAATAGCAATGAAATACAGGGAAGACAAAAGACAGAGACAAGTAATCAGAAGCTTTTTTTATCAATTTTAATTCGACCTTTTAGATCACTGCATCTAAACGATTACCTGGACTAATGAAAAAAGCTGCACAATATAGTGAATTAACTGGTGCAAAAGTAGTTGTTCTAGTACGAGATGAACAGCGTAGGGTTTATAGATATTGCTCAGAAGGAGAAAGTAATATTGAGAAATCTGCAAATAGAATGTTGACTGATCCTGCTGAAAAGATTTTTACAACTGAACAGGTTAGTATTTTTACTAGTCAATAAATAATTAATTGTATTGAAGTTTAGTGAGTATTCTGAAGTCCAAAATGAGAATTTGGAAAAAGATGAAACTTCGAAATTTTTGACAAATAATGATTCAAATTTACAGAAATACGAAAAAAAAGATATTGAAATTAAAACAAATAAAAAAGAGCCTGAAGAATTCCAAAATAATATTAATGAAATATTAAGATTAGAGGAAAATAGTATAAATGCAGCTGAACCTTTTTTAAATTCTATCAATGAAAATTTCCTACAATGGCCGATTACATCTGTAAAATTGTCAACTTATTCTGATCTATCACCACAGATATATGAAATGAAATTGCCTGGTAAAAATAATATAAAATATTAATAATAATGTTTTTTACTTATTTAGGATCTGCTTCATCTTTTCCCTATAATATGTTGAACACTATAAATTATAATAGAAATACATCTGATGCTTCAGAAAAGCTTTTTGATTATTATTCGAATGGAACTGGAATAAATCCAGGTTATGAGAATCAAGAAAATAATTATATGAATTCGGATGTTTTATGGTATTCTAAAAAATTAAAGATGTTTGATTAAAATCAATTTTTTTCATATTTTCACTTTTCTGCTGGTAATAAAGTATTAGCATTACCATAATGTTCTTGGAAAACAGTAATTAGGAATGTATTAAAAACATCAGATTCCTATTTATATAATTGTTATTATATATTTTATTGAAATTAAGTTTTCCTTATAAAATATGACAAAAAGTTATAGACATAAGTTTAATCATTTTGCTTTAATTCTAGAATTATTCAGGAATCTCTTAATATAAATTACGTTTTTATTTTATTAGAAATTTATTTATATTAAAATATACGTTTTTAAGGAATGGTTTATAAAAATCTTATTTAAAAATTTGATATTTAATATAAAATACAATATTCAAGGTATATATATTCTCGATTAATCTTAATACATTCTCATAAATATTTTTTAATATTTAATTTTATACCTTAGTTATTTCAAAGTTAAATCTTAATTATTTTTAACAATTTTTAAGTACTATTTTAAATAAATAATGTTTTTTAGTCATTTAGGAATATAAATATGTATCAATTCTCCCTATAATTATTTTTAAATCTTATAATTTAGAAATTTGTTTTTTAAGGATAAGATTTTTATATTATCAAATTAAGAATAATCGAAAAAATTATTTAAAAAATCCAATCATTAAAAAAATGTTAGTAGAACAAAAGAAAAATGAATCAGGTTGGTATTTTTAATTATAACTTTTTAGCTAATTATTAAAGATCTTTCTCAACAATATAATCTATATAAACAATCTTTACAGCACTTAGCACAAAAAATAGTCGATTTGGAAGTTGAATCTAATGAGCATACGTTAGATAAATATTTTTTATGGCATATTTTTATGGAATTTAGATTGGTAATTGAAACTCTTATGAACCATCCTTCTGAAAGAAAGTGTTTTCGAATGATTGGTGGTGTTTTGGTGGAGAAAAATGTAAAAGAAGTTCTTCCTTCTTTAAAAACAAATCAAGAAGGAGTAAGTTGTAAATTGATTAGTATTAGATATTAATCATTGTTAAATAGATAAAATCCATGATAGAGCAGCTTTCAAAACAATATAAAACTCAAGAAGAACAATTCAATAAATGGCAAAAAGATAATAATATTAAAATAATCCAGTGATGTATAAAACATTATTAAATGAGAAATAATACAATAACATTTTTATAAGATAAAGATTTTTTAAACTACAAAAAATATTAAAATTAATAATAATCCATATGATGATAATATTAGACAGATACTTTTGAATTAGTATAGTTTAGACAAAGATATTCAGTTTTTTAAATAACTTTAATTCTTTTGTCAATATTAAGTAGAATGAGAAATTAAAGGCAAGTCTGATGGATTAAATCACCCTAAAATAATCTATTGTATTTTAATTATTAGTTTATATATAAAAATAAAAAATACCGTTAAAATGACTATAGAAGCTATAAAGCTTAAGATAAATAATATGCAACATGATCTATTTCTTGTTTTTTTCTGATATCTATTGGCGTTTTTGAGTTCATTATCGGCATGAATTACTTGAGATAATGTCGTGCTTATATTATTTTCAATATTATCTATCATAGTTCCCTGCTCTGATATAATAGTTCCTAGATCCCGGAAAATTTCATTTAATTCTATAATACCCGACTCTATAGTACGAATTTCTGATTCTCGTTCCGAAATTAATGATTCATTAAACTCTATTTCTGAACCATCAATGAGTTGCATTCTGATAAAAAACAATAAAATATGTTCAAAAAAATAGATAGAAAAAGATACCTAAATTGATCCTGAAGAAGTGGAGAACTTTCTTCTTGATTATTTTCTTCAACAATCATTTTTGAGACTCGTATGCACTTTTTTTGGCGTTCTACTGAGATATTTTGTGCTTTTTTGAAATTTATAAGGGCATTAGAAAAATCATTTGAAAGTTTTTGTTGAGTAAATTTATTGTGCTATTTTAAGTTAGTATTAAAAACATATAATTTTGTCTACAGAATCTGAAGGAAACTCGTATTCGCATAATTTTTTGACGAATGTCATCGTTGTTTTCACAAGTTCATGGCTATCTTCAATAAGTTTATGCCTAGAATATTAATTCATTATTTATAAAAATTATAGAATATACAGTCGGTTTCTAATATCATCAGTGTCTTTTTTTGTTCCAAAAACATCAGATAATTGATTTATGGTGGAAACATTAGAATTAATAGTAAGAATATTATGAGATATCTGCTGTACTAAAATATAATATTCACGATATTCTAATGAATCTTCAGTGAAATTTTTATAAGATTGCATAGGTTTTGTGTCATATAAATCAGCAAAAGACATCCCTTTTTATTTATGATATTTTTTATTGATTATTATAACTTCAAATATTTAATAAAATTTAAGTTTTTGAAACAAATGATAAAATTATCGATAATGATTTAAAAATAAATGTTGATTAGTATAATTTTAAAAAAATAATTTGGAATTAAGAAAATATCCTTATATCTAATAATATGTTAAAACCTATATAATTATTTTTTTAATATTTAACTTAAATTTTATTAAAAGTCTACGAAATTTAACAAGTCCAATAAGAATCATACATAAAACTTTTTTATATTGTATTATTCATTTATATTAATATTAATTATATATTATTAAATAAAAATAGAAAACATAGTAATTTCTTTAAATTGGATGCTAGATTAATAATTATATATAAATAACAAATTTGATATTTTAAGAACGAAATTTAAATATTTAAATAGATATTTTTGATTGATAAATATTGAGATATTTTTATATTATAAAATTTTTAAAATGCAAATTAGTAATTAATATTAATATTTTATGATAAAAATATTAGATATCAATAATTTATTTGTGATATATATTGTATTTTTTTTATAAAATTCAAATATTTAACATTTTAAAGAAAATATATTTAACAACTTTTGAAACTTAATTGTTTTAAAATTTTATTTTAATATAGAAAATAATGAAAAAATCTATTATAAAAAGAAAAAAAGATGTACTTAAAAATACGACATTATTTGATTTTTGGAATAAAACTCAAAAACAAGATTTAGATTCGCGTCATACTACTCAAAATTATAACCAAGATCTAAAATATAACTCAAACATTCTAGAAAATAATTTTAAGAATACTAAATATGAAATACAAGGAGGTATAGATTTTAAAAATTGGTTTAAGTCTAATCTTTATTATTTTAAGATATTTTTTTTAAATCTAAGAAAGGTTTTTTAAGAAATTTATCATTTTATAATTATAATATATTTAGATAATACAACATTAAATAATGGTTTTTAAAGTTGTTTTTTTGTCAAAAAAAGTGACCTATTTTTAGAAATTATTCAAAGAACTTTTGAAAATTTTGATGGTAATAATTTTTATTTATATTTAGAAAATTCATTGATTTTAGATAAAAGAGCTCTATCAGATGTATTCAGTTGTCCAATATGTTTTCAATGTTATACAGAGAAAGTACTATTTTGATTCTTGTCTTTTTTTGCTGAAATTATAAAGGAATTTAATATTCATGTAAACAATTGTTTTAATAAAGCTACTCAAGAATCTAATCTAGGCTTCTATGGCAATATTGATAAAAACGTGGCTATTTCTCCAAAAAGAACTTATATACAAGCAAATTATTTAAATGAAATAAACAAAATAGATACTATTTCCACGAATACATTAAAGGAATATGACAGAAAAAAATCTATGACAAAAGTATTTAAAAATCAAAAATTACATATAAAGAAAAGAACATCAAATAAAATTTGTCAATTTTATAAAATTATGCCATATACAGGATTTTCTGTAGATGCTTTTGAATTTGGAAAAATTGAAGGATGCATTGGTTATTTTTTGTCGTATTATACTACACTGATTTATTTTTAATTTTAATTTGATTATTCTAGTCATTTTCATTCAGATCACTATAAAGGTCTTACGAAACACTGGAATAATGGGTTAATTTATTGTTCTGAAATTACTGGGAATCTTGTAATTAGCCAGTTAAAAGTAAATCCTGAATATGTTGTAAAATTACCAATGGATAGAAAAATATTATTAAATAACATATGGGTTACATTAGTCGATGCTAACCAGTTAGTATTTCTTTTTATTATGATTTATAAAAATGCTAATTCTAGAAGCTGTCCAGGATCTGTTTTATTTGTCTTTGAATTTGAAAAATCTGGAAGAAGTGTACGATATTTACATTGTGGAGATTTTCGAGCATGTCCATCCCAGATTTCTCATCCTGCTATTAAAAATAAGCACTTTGATTTTTTATACCTTGATACAACATATTTTAAGTATATACATATCGCATATATTTGATAGTATTTTTAATCCATTTAGTCCAAAATATCTATTCCCATCTCAGGAAACTGTTATAAACGCTGCAATTGAAATATGTAAAATTTTGAGTAATAATTTCATTAATAACGATTTTTCTGAAAAAAATAAATGTTTAAATCTTGATAATTTTTTAGTTACAGCCAATAAAACACATAAAAATCAACATAAATTATTAATATTAGTTAATACTTATATCATTGGAAAAGAAAAACTAGCACTCGGTAATAATAAGTTTTCTTTTTTATTTGTATTTTAATAAATTTAAATAGGAATTGCCGATTCTTTAAAATCAAAAATATATGCAAATCAATATAAGCAAAAGATAATTTCATGTCTTGGAAATGAAAAGTTATCATCACTGCTTACTAGTGATCCTAGTGAAGCTTCTGTTCATCTTGTTAATTTTAGAAATATGTCAGTTGAGGTTAGAGATAGTATAAATATATTTTTTAATATTGAATTTAAATATTATAGACACTTAATCGATATCTTAAAGAACAGAAACCACATTTTTCTAAAATAGTCGGATTCAACGCGACAGGAAGAACTTATGTTTCTTTAAATTCCAGATCTATAGATTTTTCTAATATCCACGCTACGATAAAAGATTGGAAAATATCTTATAATTATACTATGATAAAATCTAATAAAGACAGTACAAATACATCGATATGTTATTCAATTCCATATTCTGAACATTCATCGTTCAAAGAACTTATGTAAGTAGTTAATATTTTAAAAAATGTTATTAATATCTAGATGTTTTTGCCTTTCTATTGATGCCGGTAAAATTTTTCCAACAGTTAATGTTCATACACAAAAAAGCAGGGATTCTATGGAAAAATGGATTAATTTATTAGAAAATGAAAAAAAAAAAAAAGGTTTACTTTCTTTATCTTCCGACCAAATATGGTAAAAAGATCATTAGAATTATTAATTATTGTCTACTAAGTTTTTATGATATTTTATTTTCATATTCTGACAAATATATTTGTATTATTTTTTTTCTTTTAATACAAATATTATGCATTTGAAATGGTTAATATACATATTGTTTCAAAAAAAAATTCCTAACAATATTATATATTAAAATTGATTAAACCTTATGGTAATTTTCATGTAAAGTTATTTATTGAAAATAAATATTAGCATTTAAAAATAATGCAATTTCAATAATAATTATATTTTTTACATTAAAATTTAATTTAGAACAATATGCACCATGTTAAAATATCACTATATCATATCAATTATATAATAAATTTCCTACCACATAAAACATTAATATATTTAATTAAATTTGGATGATACAATTGGAAAAAAAGCTAATTATAGCTTTTAAAATTATTGTATTTAAACTATTTTGAATAAATATTTTGAAAATTAGCTGATATGTTTCTTTTGAAACATCAATCAGACGTCAAATTTAATATTTTATCTGCAATTATTTAAATCTCAATGTATTAATTTAATTATTTGAAATATAAAATATTTAACCATTTTATACAAAATAAAAAATATAAAATAACATTAAAATTCTTTTATTTTTTTCATCAGCTCAAAATAATTTTTATTATGGTCTTTGATCATCTAAAATTCACGTTTTCGAAATTTAAAAAATTACATTATTTTTTTTTAAAATGGCAAAATCATCTATAAAAAAGGAAAATAAAAGCACTAATGAAGAAAGGAAAGTTCACAAAATACCTGTAAAAAAGGGAGGGGTTTTTAAGTCAGGAATTTCTAAAGAACAATCAAAATCTACAATAAAAAATATAAAAAAAGAAATAGGGAAAAAAAAGAAAAAAGAGGTATAATTTAGATTATACTTGCAATAATATGCAGATTTTTTATTTTATATTCATTTTTCTGACTATTATTTATATTAGGATAACTTGGCTATGAAAGAATCTCACAAAAATGATTCAAGTTCTAGTTTAGATAGTTTAGAAAAAAAATCTACAATCACAACCAGGGTACCTTCTGAAGTAAAACTAGAAGAGTCAGACCCTAAGAAATTTAAGGAAAAGAGAAATTCATCTGAAAGTAGTTCAGAAAGCTTATCAGAAAACTCATCGGAGAATTCATTAAAAGAAAGCTTAGCTAAAGTTCCAAGTCCTAAAAATTCTTCGGAAGATTCGGATTCTGAAGATTCTTCTGAAAGTTCAAGCTCGGAAAATTTGTCAGAACATCTTAAATCATCAGGAAATATGTTGAAAAAGCCAGATTATTCCAATATTTCTGGCTCATCAGATGCTTCAAGTTCCTCTGATAGCTCTAATTCTTCTAATGAGTCATGTCTTTCAGATGAATCGAGTTCTGATTCAGAATCTAATTCCGATTCTGATTTAAATTCTGATTCTACCTCTAATGATTCTAATTCTGAAAATTCTTTAAAAGGTTCTGTTTCTATAGATTCTACTGGTAACTTTATTTTTTTAAAGGTAATATCTAATTTTTTATAGTAAATAAAATGCAAGAAACCAAAGAAAAGGTCAATTCTAGGGTAAAGTCGAAAAGAAAAAAGTCTGAAATAAAACTCGAGAATCTTACTAAAAAATCCTCTCAAAATCTTATAGAAAATGAAACTGGAAGGACAAATAGTCCGCAATTTAATAAAGATCAAGATGATGAACCGAGTGATATCGAAGAATTAAGTAGCAATGAATCATATAATAATAAACTTATTGATAATAAAAAATTGAAAGATAATGAAGATTCGAGTGATAGTGATTCAAGTAGTGACAATACTTCAAATAATAATGAATCAGATGATAATAAAAATTCAACTAGCACAGATGGTTTTCATACTATTAATGACTCTAATAATAATTCTGATGGCGACTTGGATGATTCCGCTAGCACTTCTACTAGCAGTTCTAGCGGTGATTCTAGCGATTTAACTAGCAGCTCTTCTGGTGATTCTGCTAGTAATATTGTTACTGATTCTACGAGTGATTCTGAAACCTTGTCAAGTAATAATAAAAATACTAAGCATTCTACAAGAAATGTACTTTCTAAAAAAAAAGCTAAAGAAACTAAAATGCATTTGGAAAATGTTTCTAAAAATAAAAATATTGGCAATAATTTTTCAAAAAGTGAAAATATTTCCAAAAAAAACAAGCACGATTTTAAAACTGAACACTTCGATAATATTGATGATAAATTGGAAAAAGAAACTAGTAATTTCAGTTCACATGATTCTACTAAAAAATTATCTGATAATAAAAATATTAAAGATAATAAAAATTCATCAAGAAAAAGAAAAAATGCATCTATAGAAATGGATAAAAAAGAAACTAAGAAGAATAAAACAAATATTGGAGAAGATGCTGAAGGATCTAAAACTATTTTTGTAGGAGGTCTTAGTTGGAATGTGGATGATAGTTGGCTTGCTAAAGAATTTGAGAGTGTTGGTACTGTTCTCAGTTCTAGAGTTATTAGTAATAAGAATTCTGGGAAGTCAAAAGGGTTTGTATTTTTTTATAAAATGGATATTTTATTTATAAAAAAAACTAGATTTGGATATGTTGAGTTTTCTACACCTGAAGAAGCGCAAGCTGCTCTTGCATATTCAGGAAAGGAAATAGATGGACGTGTTATTAATGTCGATATAAGCACTGGATTATCCTCTACTTTTAAAAATAATGCTAATATTCGTGCAAATAAATATGGAGATGTTCGAAGTCCAAAATCTGATACTCTTTTCATTGGTAATTTGTCATTTAAAGCTAACGAGGAAGCTGTAAGAAGTGCATTTTCAAGAATAGGTGGAATTGTAGAAATTAGACTGCCTACTAATCGTAAAACGGGCCAATTAAAAGGGTTGTAATGTTATGTGTTTTTATTTTGTATTTATATTATTTTTAGTTTTGGTTATATTCAATTTTCTAGTATTGGAGATGCAGAAAGGGCTATTGAGATGAATGGTCATCTTATTTCTGGGCGTCCTATTCGTCTCGATTTTTCTATTAAAAAAGATAATATTACAGATACTACTTTTAATAGTTCATTAAGTAATTATAAAAAAAAAGAAAATAAGGCACCTCAAAGAGTTAATTTTGGAGGGAAAACTAATTCTACTAATCGTAGTGGATTTAATGAATTTTCTGTGATTTTACTATTTCTATTATATTATTCTAATGTTTATAGGGTAAAAAAACTAAATTTTAAGAAAATGCTTAAATTATTTAAATATGATAAATTTTTTTCTATTCTGTATTTTTATCATATCATTGTATATTATAATATTATTTTTTAAATCTTTAAATTTAACTATTATTGAGATTAAAAATTGTCTAAAATTTTGAACTTTTTTTAGACATTAATTAATATATCTTTATAATTTCATTAAATCATAGCAAATAAAATGTAGATAGAACCAGACTTAAGGTCAGGATAGAGTTATCGATTTCTTGTTGATTTTATCAAACATTGCGATAAAAAAGTGCTCTTTGTGACCCGTATTTATCCTTTGCCTGAGGTTTATTATAAAAATTCTATATTGTTTTTCTGTTTCTGTATGATGTATAATTGATAAAAAGCGCCTTTTTTATGTTTTTTTTCTGAAATTTAAAATAGTATAAGCAAAAATAGAGAGAAGAATGTCTTCAATTAAACTAAAAGTACATGTAAAACATCATTAATTAAGTATTCTTTGATTAAAAATGAAAATCAAAAAAAGGATTGATTATAAATCAATATTGAAAACAATGTATTGATTAAAGAAAAAGGTTTAAGAATTAGTTATTTGAATGAAGTAAAGTTAAAAATAATGAAGATATTGGATTTAAGAATAATAATATAGTATTAAAAGTAGTAAAAGTTCGAAATGAATTAAAATAAATGTTAAAAGTCGGTAAATAAAATCTAATATATATATTGTTTTATAAAAAACAATTGAATGGGATGAGAAAAAATATAGAAAAAAACAAGAAAAATCATTTAAATTTATAATCAATATTTGTAATAATTTTTATTATTAATAGTTTTTCCTAATTTTTTAGGGTTTAATAGAAACTGCGAGATTGATCTTAAAACCTTTTCATGAAATAACTATCAAGCTTAATAAAGGACCCAATTTAGAAGCATATTTTTAATATTTATGCTATATATTTGGATCCAGAAATAATACAAGATGTTTTTTTCCATAATTAATAAAATTATAGTTCTAGGAATATTAATTTTAATTGGTGATTATATTTTGGATTATTTTTATTTTTAACTATTTATAGTTCCTACTTATGGCAATCAAAACACACATTTGAAAGCTAGAGATCCTCAAGTAAGCGCAAAAATTACGCCGTTTAAGGATTTTGTTGCTGAGGATGAAGATATCTTTGCTTATATTTTGAAAGAAGATTATCAAGATCAAGAGAAATGTGAATCGAAGCTTGAGGAATATTGTAATGAATTGAAGGTTATAGATCCAGAATTAGATAAAGTTTATAGTAAAGTTAAAGAAATTTGTAATAATATAGAACAAAAATGCAAAGACATAAAAGCAAAGATTGAAAAAAAAATAGATGGAATTAGAGAATTAATCCCTGTTTTGGCTATTAAAAGCATCTTTTATGAAGAATGCAATAAATATTTTGATACATGTATGTTTTTTGAACCTACAAAAAATCAGCAGGTCATAGATTTCTGCATTTTCTTTCGAGATACTTGTTATTTACACAAGCAAAAAGAGATGAGAAACGAAGTTTTTCTTAGAGCTCTTGGTGCTGATATTACTAAATCTAAAGATTTCCAGGAAAAAAAGCAGGAAATTTGTCCAACATTGATTAAAAAGGGTGATGATCTAGCCTCATTATGTCTTGAAAATATTTCATTTGAAGATTTCAATAATGATATTGATCGTTTTTGCGGTTCTTTAAGCGATCTTATTGATAATGGTAGAAAAGAAGAAATATGTTATGAAAAACTCGGAATATATTCTCCTCTCAAAGAGAGATGTGAAGAGAAAAAGAGCGGATTGAAAAAACTATGCGAGGGAAAGGGTATTATATATAGTCCTCCAATTAAAGGTTTTAATCCAATTGAGCGGGAAATGACATTGTTAGAGAAGATTGGTCTGGAAAATCTTTATAAAGAAGGAAGAAATAGAGGACTAATTCTTGGAACTTTAGAAAAAACGTTGGATGACATGTTAATCCGTTTATCTTCGAATATTAAAGCTAATAATATGGAAAACAAATGCAAGAAACTACTAGATACTAACTGTAGTTATCTTAGAACTATAAGTTCTGAATTTAAAGAATTATGTGAAAAAAATAACAAAGAAGAAAAATGTAGAGATATATCAGAAATAACGGATAGGTGTAAAAATCTTAAAACGAAACTTTATCAAGATGGGACTTTTGTAGAAATTAAAGGTGGAGTAAAATCGCAAATTTTGTATCAAGATGGGTTTTTAACATCATTTACCGAAAATGAATGTTTAGAGGTTATCTCAGAATGTACTTATATTAAAAGATCATGCAATCCTGATATGAATACTGAATGCCAAAATCTAAGGCTGGCATGTTATAAAAAGAAAGGAGATCAACTTTTCATTAAATTAGTTGGAAGACAGTTGCACAAACTTAATATATCAGAATCGAATGATGAAGGGCTTAAGGAATGCCAAAAAATAGTATTGGAAAAGTGCTCTACACTTAATAATAATAATATTGAGATTTTTTTGAGATGCCTTCGGCCAAAGGATATATGTCTTAGATTTGAAAAAATTATTTCGTCTCAATTGAAAGATCTAGAAAAAGCTTTGAATGCAGTAGGGGATTCTCCTAAAGAAAAGGACTGCATTGAATTGAAAAAGGATTGTGAAGGTATTTTAAAAGATTTAGGATTAAATGATGAGAAATGCGTTAAATTGAAAGAGCGTTGTGAATATTTTAGAGTTACAAAAAAACTGAAATATGCGTTTTTAAAAGAAGAAAGTGATGCATTAGCGGATAATCAAAAATGTATAAAAGCCTTTAAGGATAAATGTGATAAATTATCTGAAAAAGAGAAGAATTTATATCATGTTTCATGCAATTCACTAGAAGAAACATGCAAATTTATGGTTTCAGAAGCTATGAATCATTGCGATATTTTAAAAAAGAACATGCAAGAACATAAAATTCTGGATAAAACTAAAGGTTCAAATCAAACATTGGTTAAAAAACTCTGTACAACATGGGGTTCATATTGTCGCCAACTTATGGAGAATTGCCCGGACACGTTAAAAAAAGGTTCCAATAGCCATGATGAAAAAGGAGTCTGTTTACAATTGAAAGATAATTGCAAGTCATTCTGGGTTGAAAAGAAAGTGGATGGTAAACCAGCAAAAGAAGATGGAAAGAAAGTGGAGGATAAGCCACCGAAAGAAGATGAAAAGAAAGTGGAGGATAAACCATCAAAAGAAGAAGTGAAACCTAATGAGGGGATGAAAATAAGAATTCCTGATATGATTAAAATAATGTTGTTGGGAGTGATTGTTATGGGGATGATGTAAATGAATGAAAAAAATGTTAATAGAATGAAAATGTGCATATATCTATTGTTTATATATAATAGAAATGTAAATGAATGAAATGAAGCTTTAATTATTAACACAGAATCTTAGTTTGAAACTATGCTTTATTTGGTAAAGTTTAAGCTTATCGAAGAGCTAAAGTTTATGATTAATGATAAGAAGAACTCTAAGTTGTAAAAAAATCGTTTCAAAACAACTTTTCATTCACCTGCCTACATCCAACTTAGAAACAACGCACTAAACTACCCCCAAATAGGCGGCAATGGCACGGCCGGTTAAGAGGCAAGCACCACAAGCAGCACCAGCAGCGGATGGGATTAAGGAGGAACACCTTTTGGCTTTCATTCTGAAGGAGAAATATAAAAACGGATGCAAAGATGAGCTTGAAAAATATTGTAAAGAGTTGAAGGAAGCAGATAAAAATCTAGAGAAAGTGAATGATAAAGTTAAAGGATTCTGTGAAGATGGAAAACAAGACGAAAAATGCAAAGGCCTGAAAGAGAAAGTTGAACAAGAATTGGACACTTTTGATGCAGAACTTCCAGATGATTTAGGAAATCTAAAAGATGAAGAATGTGAAAAACATGAAGAAAAATGTATCCTTTTAGAAGAGACGGGTTATAATGATGATATTAAGAAGAAGTGTGTCAACTTGAGGGAAGGATGTTACAAATTGAAGCGTGAAAAGGTGGCAGAGGAGCTCCTTTTGAGGGCGCTCGGAGGGGATGCTAAAGATGAAGCTAAATGTAAAGAAAAGATGAAAACTGTTTGCCTAGTGTTAAGCCGAGAAGGCGACGAGTTGATGTCTTTCTGCCTTGATCCGAGTGGAACGTGTAAAGAGCTGAAAAAAAAATTGGTTGAAGTTTGCCGGCCTTTACAAACAAAATTGAATGAGAAAAGTTCAGAAAAAGATTGTCATGAAAGACTTGAGAAATGTCATTTTTACGGAGAAGCGTGTGATGGTTCAAAGTGTGATGAGGATAAGAAGCAGTGCGAGGGAAAAGGATTCACATATAAAGCACCGGAATCTGATTTTAGTCCTGTCAAGCCGAGGGCATCGTTGTTGATAAGTATTGGGTTGGAAGATGTTTATAAAAGAGCTGAAAAAGAAGGAATTCTTATTGGAAAAGTAGGCGTGGATCTACCAAAAAGGTTTGGTGAAGATTTTCTGCAAGATTTCTTGCTACTCTTGAGCGAAGATGAGGATGATGTAAAAGAGAAATGCAAAAAGGCCTTAAAAAAATGTGATGCTTCTAAGCATTTGGATTATAATTTTGAAGAGTTGTGCAAAGAGAAAGAGGATGATAAACAAAAGAAATGCGAAGAATTACTAAATGTAAATGTAAAAGAAAGATGTACAAATCTCAAATTAAATCTTCATGTGAAAGATTTGTCTACAGAATATGAAAAAGCTAAAAAATCAAAACTTTTATTGTGGAGAGAACTGCCAACATTATTTACGAAGGGAGAGTGTACAGAACTTGAGTCGGAATGTTTTTATTTGAAAAAGGCGTGTAAAGATAGTAAGATTGATGAAGCATGTCAAAATGCACGAGCAGCGTGCTATAAAAAAGGACAATATAGGGTCTTGAATACACTCTTTCGAGAGGGGTTGAAGGGGAATTCCGAACATGTAAGAAATTATAACATTCCTGAAGAATGCAAAAAATTTGTTGTAGAAGAGTGTAAAAAACTTGATAAAAAATACCTTCCAAAATGTCTTTATCCTAAAGAATTATGTTATCTGCTTTCAGATGATGTTTTCCTTCAATCCAAAGAGTTAGGTGTGCTTTTGGATGATCGGAGAGATTTTCCATTTGAAAAGGATTGTCTTGAATTGAAGGAGAAGTGTGATCAACTTGAAACTTATTCATTTTCGAATTCAGAAAAGTGTATAACATTGAAAAGACGCTGTGAATACCTTAGAGTTTCAGAGGGATTTAGAAATGTATTTTTAGAAAGAAAAGATGATTCGTTAAAGAAAGAAAACTGTATGAAAACATTGCAAGAAAAATGTTATGCTTTATCTAGGAAGAGAAAGAATCCATTTACTGTTTCATGTGCTTTAGCAGGAGAAACATGTGAATATATGGTAGGCCGTACAAAAGATGAATGTAGATATTTAAAAGTCAACATCAAGAATGAAGAAATTCTACAAGAAATTGGAAAAGCAAATGAAACCGCACTTGAAGAACTCTGCACAACATGGGGCCGACATTGTCACCAACTTATGGAGAATTGTCCGGATGACTTGAAAAAAAAAGAAAATGACAATGATCAAAACTGTGAAAAACTCGAAGAAAAATGCAGTGATACCTTTAAAAGGTTGAAATTAGAGGAGGAGCTGAGTCATATGTTGAAAGGCAATTTAAAGGATGATGATAAATGTAAAAAAGCATTAGGAGAGCGTTGCGCTGAGTTGGAAAAGAATGAAGCATTCAAAATTCTGCTTACTAATTGTGAAGAGGGCACCAAGGGAACTGTTTGCAAAGAATTAGTTGAAAAACTAAAAAAGAGATGTCCTACTTTAAAAGACGGACTGAATAAAGCGAAAGATGAGTTGACAGAGAAGAAAAAAGAATACGATGAGCTCAAAAAGGCGGCAGAAGAATCTACGGAGAAAGCTAAGTTATTGCTATCAAAGTCTGGAAAAGCCGCAATGCCAAGTGGACAGGATAGCAATGCTTCTGGACAAGCACAGCCACCTGTACCACCACCAGAATCTGGGTCATCATCAGCATCAGGGCCACCACCACCACCACCACCAGGAGGGCAATCAAGTGGTAAAATATCAGGCGCACCAGGTGGAGGATCAAGCACACCAGATGGAGGATCAGGCACACCAGGTAGTGGAACGCCAAACTATGTAAAATTTGGACTCGTTAAAAGAGCGTATGTAGATGGAGGAGTATCAGAAGTAGAGGTAAAAGCATTTGATGCAACGACGATAGCATTGGAATTGTATTTGGAATTGAAAGAGGAATGTAAAGCTTTACAACTAGATTGCAGTTTTAGAGAGGAATGTCAGGAAACTAAACTTTGCGAAGAAATAGACAAGTTATGCAAAGAAATAGAACCATTAGAAATTAAGCCTCATCATACAGAGACGCAAAAAGAAATCTCAACCACTACGACGACCACTACGACGACCACTACCACGACTACGACGACAACTACTACTACAACCAAGCCGGGAAGTGGAGGAAAAGTAACAGAAGAGTGTACAATGATACAAACAACAGATACATGGGTGACACGTACGTCATTGCATACGAGTACGACAACGAGTACGTCAACGGTGACGTCGACAGTGACGTTGACTTCGATGCGCAAGTGCAAGCCTACCAAATGTACTACTGATTCAAACAAAGAGACAGAAGAAGGAGGAAAAGAAGAAGAAGAAGTAAAACCGAATGATGGGATGAAAATAAGAGTTCCTGATATGATTAAAATAATGTTGTTGGGAGTGATTGTTATGGGGATGATGTAAAATGAATGAAAAAAATGTTAATAGAATGAAAATGTGCATATATCCATTGTTTATATATAATATAGATGTAAATGAATGAAATGAAGTTTTAATAATTTTAACACCATCTTAGTTCGAAACTATGCTTTATTGGGTAAGGTTTAAGCTTATCAAAGAGCTAATAAAATTTATGATAAGAAGATGTTTAAATTTGTTGTAAAAGTACTTGAATGAATGGATTATCGTGAAAAAAAG